GGGGCGTCGAGAGCAATACTACGAGGCGCATGTCTGAACCACGACCAAATACTCACGATGATCAGATCCAGCAGCAATCTACTGAAACGAAAGCATCTAACGCAGAGAACGAAGAACAAAAGTACGCCCAAACTGGTCCTAGGCATTTAATTCCCGTGCATCCAGGTAACCCTGCATCAAATGGCGGTCTATCACGAACCCCATCCACGAGCTCCAATGCTTCCAGAGACTCCCGTATTGTATTCGAGTTTTCGCATCAGCGATCACGGGCTCCCAGGCCGTTGGAGCCGCCGGTAACGAAGGCTACTTTGAGCGAATTGGATGTGAATAAGATTATCCATAACCCAAAGCTAAGGCACGATATAAATTTCGACCCAGATCTTCATTTCAGGCCGAATGTTGACGGGGAGAAGGGGAGGAGAAAGCAAGAGAAGGCCAACCAATTCTGGAACTCACTCACGGAGCAGTTGCAATTATTTATCATTAACCGGGATGAATTTATGAGCAGATTCGGACAGGGCGAAGATTGGTGCCTCCCGCAGCTTCTAAAGTCGGTCAAGGAGATCATTCAGACTTTAGTTCCTCAGCGGGATCGCATGTATCTGGATGAAGGGCTAAACGTCGAGCTTATCATGCAACAGTTTGGCAAAGGAATAGCAGACTTGGAAAAGTTGGCCTCGTGGTTGTCTGGAGTTCTGAAATCCCATTGTGCCCCTATGAGGGACGAATGGGTGGACGAAATGTACAACCAGCTGACAAACGGCAACAAAACCAATGACATGGAGGAGCTTGTGCAAGGAATGCGCAGCCTCTTGAGCGTTCTCGAAGCCATGAAGCTCGATGTTGCGAATCACCAAATCAGATGCCTTCGGCCAATCCTGATTGAAGACACGGTCCACTTCGAGCAGCGGTTCTTTCTTAAGAAGATACGGGATCGCAAGATGGACCCTGGCCCAGCTCAGGCGTGGTACCTGACAGTGAATCAGTTTTATTCTCAAGACCCAGCTTCAGTCCAGGCTTTCGGAGAAATGGGTTCCTTCTTTGAGGCTCTGTGCAAAATGATAATCCCATCGACAGATCCGTATTCGCACCCGGATACCTTTGTTTTTGACGAGGAGCGCATGGCCAAACTCCGATCTGACATGCTCGACGCGATTAACCTAGAAGTCTGCATGCGCTTATACGAAGGGTTGGACAGAAAATACAGATTCAACGATACGATGTCTAGCGTGAGCGCTATTCCCACGCCTTTGTTAGCTACGCCCTTTTCAGATGCCTCTGGTTTTCTAGGTTCGAGAACTGAGGATGACGGGAGCGAAAGCTGCTTCAATTCTAGGCCGTCTAGTCTAGTTTTCAGTTCCGCTGGATCGGCTCATTCATCTCCTCGCAACTCCTTTGTCCTACCCGTTCAACCAGCTACCAGCCGCCCTGAAGACCAGCAAGCCAAGTCGAGAAACCTCTACAACTCGCTTGTCGCACTACTCCAGACTTCCCCCGCCAGCTCCCGTTCCGTTTCACGATGGAAGGCGATGAAAGATTCATTGGCTTTACAGATCTTCCGATTTACCAATGCGCCTGCTCAGGATCTTCTACAATTTGAGGACGAGCTCGATAACCATATCTCCGAGCTCTCGTCTCCGCTCTTCCAGCAGGTGGAACAGTACTATCATTACCACTTACTTGTGGAACTTCGACAACGCGTTAAGGATTTTAAGGGACTCACAGGCGCAGCTCTATTCTCAGTCGCTACCGGCGGCCGCCTACACAGCCCCAGTCGCGGTTGGGATGGCCCCCGCGAAAACGTAAGCCGGGAACGTACGTCGCTAGAAAATGCGATTCGGGAGGCGCGTGAAGAGGGCGGTGTCGAAGATATGGCCACGCGGCTAGCCCACATGGGTCTCCTTCATTGGAGAGTCTGGTCGCATTTGGTCTACACAGGGGATCTCGAGAATCTCGTCCCGGTGCCTGATATGCCCATGGCAATTTAATTACCGATAGAGTACGCGGCAAGGACCGTCAGCTCAGTACCAAGTCTTCTATTCACACAGAAACACGCTTTACACCACTAGTCGTCTCGTCAGCTTCTTCTCCTTTACGATTACGTTTCGAGCGATATCTGAGACGAGCCGACACTTTAATACCTATTACACTCCGCTTAATCACCTCGCATTGGTCACTTATCACTTGGACGATTTCTTCAATAATCCGGAACCGGCATTGTTTGGGTGTTTGTTTAGGAGTAACAGGATTCTCATATGGTTCCCTGGGGTTTTGTGACAAGGCATGGAAGAGGCATAGTCAGTTTTTAGATTTGCGACCCCCTTTCTCGCTTTACATTTCTATTTTGTCTGTTTTTTTACTTGGTTGCACCGTCTCTTTGGCGAAAGGGCCCGCATTCAAAATAACATACCCGGTCTACATGTCACAGGCGTTTCGTGTGTTATTCCTCTTGTTGTTTTTCTTGGTGGCGGCGGGAGGCGAGGCGAGGCGAGAAATTGATTATTTTTTTTGCATCATAACTAAGAATACAGGATAGCTTCCTTAGGGGCTTGTGATTCTGGAGAGAGCGCAAGCAAGCAAGCAGCTTAGCTAGCTAGCTAGCTGAGGTGGTAGTTTAGTTTATCATGCAAAAGAGGAAGATTTATTTTACGCCTCGGGGCGTGCGGGCGGCGGATGACGATGGTTTTCGCGATGATAATGGGACGGCCATAGTCTTACTAGGGAAAGATACAACCTCGCCGCAAGGTTTGGTCACACGCAGATAGCATTTTTTTGCCTTCTCGGCGTAGCGGGTCGCAGGCGACGGGATTATACACGTCGGCAAGAGATCCAGCACGTCTAATAGATTTTGCGCTATGGAATACATACACACATACATTCATACACAATTGCTGGTGCCTGTTTCTTTACCGCCTCTCCGAAGCCCAGGGGTCCACTCCTTATAGACGTGGCAGTGATGAATCCTTCTGTGTGTGGTGTATGTATGTATGTATGTATGTATGTATGAGTCTTTAATGTGGCATACGATACGTGGACACGGGACTAAGGAAGCATGGCGAATTTTCAAAGAAGCAAAATACATAAGGGTAGTAAGGGATTATTAGTCGTCTTCAGCCGACGTAGACGGCTGATTATATTACCCAGCATGGAGGCGGATACATGTGATTTGGAATAATATGTACTATACCCGCCCCCTTTTTATACCCGCTAGCCCGGCCGGAAAACGTACTTGCCAAATCGGGTCGACGGGCGCACTTTTTAGCCAACCAAATCTCGCGGGTTCCTGAAGATCATTTGTTCGGGGGTGGTGGTTTTTTTTTTTGTTCTACGCTACCTATGCCATACCTTTTTTTTTTTTTTTTTTTTTTTTTTGCTTGAGCCACACTGGCCGACTAGGTAATCAACCGCCCCAAGTATGTAATTACGGGCCGAGGGATGGGATTTTACGGACCGCGCAGCTGAAGGGCTAAAAATACATACATGTACTCACTTTACGTAGCGTACAGCGCGAGGCGGGCGGACGCGCGTGTTTTCGCGGATTTCCCTCGCCTCAGCTGAGAGGAGCGAGGAGCGGTGTTGCATCGGGGATTCCTTGGGTGTTCGGGTTGTATTATGTTATGTCTGCGTTGAATCGGAAATTTTGAGTGCTGGGTTGGGGATGGGATGGGATGGGTTGCATGGCTTCGTCTTATGTATGTACATACCTAGGTAGGTACGGTAGTTATATGTATGCGCGTGTGTGTAATATTTATACGCCCTTGCGACGCTGGCAAATAGAAATGGGGGATGGAAAATGGAGAATGGAAATGGAAGATGGAAGATGGAGGGAGTGTAATCCTGTGCCGCTCGGAAAGTCAGAGATTTAAGGTGCTTATGTTTGTTCGCCTGGCTTGCGTGGTTGGAGACGGTAGATCCGATCGCGACGACGGCTTACCTTACGTTAGGTAGGTATACTAGGATGTAGTATGTATAGATGTGTGTGTGTGTGTGTGTGTGTGTGTGTGTGTGTGTGTGTGTGTGTGTGTGTGTGTGTGTGTGTGTGTGTGTGTAGGAAAAAAGAAATATGCGTTTACTAATTCCTTGCTAGTTGTAAGATATAAGATATAAGATACATTTGTGTGTATTATATCATATATGTACTACTAAGCTCATAGCGGCCACGTTGGCCATACGAGATTCGCCAACGGATAGTTAATTAAGATAATGTATATGCGTATATTTACGTATGTAAATACATGGCGTTGTATAGGTTAGACAGACAGACAGACCTGCAACGCATAAAGGTGGCTTGCGTAGTCGGCTCTTATGCACGACGGCGGTGAGGATGTAACATGCTTTGCTTCATCATCTGTTTACTTCCGTGTCTTAGGTATCCTTTAGTTATATCATATATGCAGCCCGAACCGGCTTTACCGCTTCTTCTCATCGCATTTCTTTGCTTTTGTCTGGCATGTGGCGAGAAGCTGCATGTATATTATATATTCACCGAGTCGTAAGTAAGTATCTAGGGATATCGAGAATCAAGAAAAGGCCCTCTGCTGAATTGAAGACCGAGCAGTCAGCTGGGCTAAACTCTTCGGGCTGGAAATCGGGTTTGGGATATATGGGTGTATATCCCGAAAGAAGAAGGATAATCCCTTATTCTGGGCTCGCCGAGAAGAAGAAGAAGGAACATAATGTTCCCCTTCTTGCTATAAGTTACACCAAGGCCTAACAACGCATCTAATACACCCGCTAGGAATAAGAACAGGCATAATCGCCGTTAGTGACGTTTAAAATACTAGGCCCGAGCACAAAGGGCAAAGGGCTATGACATCGCTATTTCTTTTTTTTCTTCTTCGGAATGTTTGCCTCAATATAATCCATACGCCAATCCCAATATACACCGAACATTGTGCAACAACACCACCGCCATTTACAGCGTGTCACGGAGGTCATGTTATACTTCGGAAATATATTGCTAAGCATGACTAACCGTCACACGGGCCTCGACTTCATGTGTGCATGTACTTGTTTATTATATCTTAGGTAGGTTAGGTAGTTATTATATTTCTTACATATTTAGGTACATACATTTACACACGCACCCCTGAACTACGTATATTACTATGTAGGTATGTATTAGGTAGGTAACGTCACCGGCAGATATCAAACCTCCCCACGCTCGGATCGTGATCCGACGTCCTCTCCGAGTACGGCACCCAAGTGTTTACGTGCACGTGCTCGAAGCGCGTGCTCTCCGCCGCCGCTAGCGCCGGGCTGACGAAGACGTGGTCGAGCTCTTGCGAGTTCATGTCGTACAGGTATGTGTACCGCTCCTCGGGCGGGATACCTACCGCGACGTCCAAGTCTGCTAGGCCCGAGAGGGTGCTGAATATAGTGACTGGGGCCGCGAAGGCGAACTCGTTGAAGTCGCCGAGCGTTACTATGGCTGCGGAGGGGTATTGGGTGAGGATGTCTGCGATGAAGGACTGTTTAGGGGCTGGTGTTAGTGGTTTTTCTTCTTTTTTGGATAGATAGGTAGGTAGGTTAGGTAGATATTACGGATAAGGGGTTCGGCAAACTCACAGCAGTAGTCTCAGCCTGCGCCAGTCGATCCTCTACGCCCCCGTTGACAGGCGGTCGGGCGTCGCCGTGTAGCGAGGAGCTGCCGCCCTTGGAGCCCCAGTGCACGTTCACCGTGAATAGCGTCTTGCTTGTACTACTGTTACTACTACCCACGAGCTCCCACGCTGCTGCTAGAGGCTTCCGGCTATTGGTCCAGGCCGCGTTCGACGGGTCGATGTAGCCCGGGTTGAACTTGAGTTCGGGGCCGGGTAGCACTTCGTTGGCCGTGGTAGCATTACCTGGGCTCGGGTTCCGGAGCCGTAGGCGGTCTGCTCGGTATAGGTATGCGACGCGGATGTTGCTGCCGGGAGCGCCGCCGGATTTGTCGTTTAGGGGGCTGATGTAGGTGTATTTGTAAGTGATGTTAGCAGTGCTAAAGGCCTGAATAGCTGTCGCTAGTGCCGTGAGAGTTTCGTCAGAGCTCACGGTGCCGTCGTCTATCTCGCCGTTGTCGTCCTGGATCTCCTGAACCGCTAGTAGATCCGGTGTGCGCATGGATTGGACGATATGCTTCGCAACAGCTTGGACATGTGCAGTGTCACCAGCGTAGAAGTTCTCGATGTTGTAACTACCCACGGTGATGCCCTTGCACGTCCCTTCGCTCACTATTGAAGTCGGCGGAGCTACTTCAGGGGCGAGGGACTCAGCGACACTCACGTTCGTCAACGGGAGGATGCGGTAGAATCCGAAGGCCTGGTAGACGACGCCGGTAATGGTTTCGAGTTTGTCGCCTAGCTTCGTGTCCTTCGGGTTCTTAGATCCGTCGAGCGGACTACCGATGATAATAGCCTCCGGGTTACCGTCCGCAGCAGAGACGGTGAGACCCGTACGGTCGTTATCGCCCGTTGTATTCCAGTTTCCAACAACCCATGTGTCGCCATACTGATTAGGTCGTCCAACTGCACGTGGGCTCTCGATCGTAACCAGCTCACCCGTCAGACTCTCCCAGAAGTCTAAGCCGTACAACTCTGGTTCTAGTAGGGGGTTCTCGACGGAGATCAAGCTCTGGTTATTCGGCACGGCGAACACATCGCCCTTATCTAGGCCGGAATACTGTTTCGTCGGCGGACTAAGTGCCCCCTTGCCAATCACGATCGGCTCAACTTTCCCACTACGTTCTAGGATAGCCGTAACCTTTGGCGATGCGAGCTCCGTCATGTACAAGTAGTCCTTGTTAGAGCGGTACTCGCTGACCTTTCCGTCGACGACAAGGACATCACCAACATTGATGCTGGTGTTCTTGGCGAGCGCCGAGCCGTACACGTATAGGCCATCTGAGACACGCTTGTCGCAACTCGACTTGATGGATCGTAGCCAGATGCCTTCAGGACCCTTCGCCGTTACGATTCCCGTGACGTTAGTGACATTGTGGCCGTTGAGCGGCGATAAGAAGCGATCACCGTTGATCTGAGCGATCGACTGCCCAGAAACGCCAGTGGCTGCAAGTAGGGAGGCCGCAAGCCACCTGAGCAGCGTAGTGGTAGTCTTCATTGTGATAGGAGCTCTCCTAGCGACTTCAATGTACTTGAGACCGAAATACACTACGGTTCTGGACCTCCATTAGAACAGAGAAGGGAACATCATCGTATTATATACTCCCGTCTGTACGAAGGGACCGCGTGCATATCAACGCGCGGATATGAAAAGTGGACGCCGACCCCGAATCAAGCTATCACCGAGCTACAGGAACACGGAATCTAGATCTAAACATCACAAGCATAAGAGGAACCCCATCGCAAGACCTTCCCATTGGCCTCGTGGCTGCCGAGCTGATATGGGGGAGATAACCAGTCGTATCGACCAATCCAGCCCACGTTGCACGCCTACGGTCTTGGCGATTTCCAGAAACCGAAGGTGGATGATACCTTGCGGTTCGGCCGTTGGCCTTGGCATCGGTGACCCAATCTATTGGTACCCTTCGTGATATACGTCAAAGGGGTAGGTAGTAGGAACTTCGCCGCAATCTAAAAGACTTGGACTAACGAAAAAGCAAAGGCAAAGGCAAATATATCATGCAAGATTAGATAGATGTGCTTGCGATAGAAATCGTATTCTCATTCTCATCTTCGAACTTAAACGACTCAACTCGCTCGCTCAAGACGAACATCCAAAATCAAAGCAGCCAGGTTGTGTAAGGTAGGTACCCAAGCCGAGTAGTACATGGAATATAATCCAAGAGTCCCCTGAATCCCCTCCCCAATGCATAGTATCTAGATGAATAGCCAAACCGTTGGCCACTTTTATACAAGAAGGGAAACACAGAATTATGCCCTTGATGGCTATAGGTGGCATCCCCACTAGCCAAAAAGGATACATGAGGGTATAATAATATTCGACAACAGAAAATGAAGGGTTGGACTATCGGTCTAATCGAGGACTTAGTGGACTCTTACCGGGTCCTTGTGCTCTCTTCAACGCTCTCAGTTCATCCTCGAGCTTCCTCCGTACCATTTGTTCCGACTGTGAAATGTTAGTTAAATGAGATTATGGGAGAAAAGACGGCCCTTGGGAGGCATACCCTTAATTGTTCCTCGTACTTCTTCCTCTCAGCCCTCAGTCCTGACCTGTAGGAGTCGGTCAGGTACGAAGTCTTCATACCGCCAGGCGATAGTGGTCCTAGACGCGCTGATCCTAGTCGCTCTTTATCGAGCTCTTCCTGTAGTTGCTCCTTCTCCTTGCGTAGTCTCGTAATCTCGCGATCTAGTCTCTCTTCGATATCACTGGTAGCTTCTTGAAGCTGCCTCTCGAGTTCGTCATTCATCATATCCTTCTCATCCTTGATCTTGGAACGTTCAGCTTTCACTCGGTCGAGCTCATCCTCCAGTTCCCCGATCTTCTTCTCGCTCTCGAGCGACTGCTTGACAACATCGGTCAAGTCTTGGGCGGTGGCTTTCAGCTCCTTCTCTAGCACTTCAACTCTATTGAGCATTTTAGTTGATTCGTTATTGTTATGCAGAGCCGCAACCTCCGCAGCCCTCTCTTTTCTAGAACCGTAGGCGCCGTCGAGTTCGGCCTTAGCGAGAGTAGCTTCCATCTTAAGTTCGGCAACCATGCCTGTCATCTGTTGAAGCTCCTCGTCCTTAGTCTTGAGATCCCTCTCCTTCTCCCCAATAACCTTGTCGGCAGCCTCCTTAGCATCATTGACCTCCTGTAATTGTGTCGTGATAGCTGCAACATTAGCCTCCGCTGTTGCTAGACGCGCCTGGACTTCTCTGACGCTTTCTTCTAGCGATGCTATCTTAGCATTCCGCTCCTTGAGCTGTTCTCGCGCTTCGTCAATAGCAGTGGATTCTTCTGTCCGGCCATTCTGTGACTCTTCAAGGTCCTGCAAGGCTTGTGAAAGTTGCGAGCGGGCATTGTCTGTTTCCTTCTCTGCCTGATGAAGTAATTCTTTGACCTGCTCTACTTCATCGATTTTGTCCCTTAATGCTTGATCCTTCTCGGAGTCAGACCTGCTGTTGAGCTCGCGCTGCTGCTTAATTTGACGTTTCAGAACACCCTTTTGCTCATGTAATTTGGTAGCTTGTCTGTATAGCCACTGAATCTTGACTGAGAAAGCTGACAATGAGTATTGCTCGTCAAAGTCGATAGATTCACCGTCAGACATATCATCCTCGTCTGGCTCCAATCCCTTTTCTTGGCGAGCCTTTCGTCGTTCCTGCTTCCGTTTTCGTAAATCGGCGTACCCTGATTGGATGATGTCCCAGAGTCCCATGAGAACTGTTTCGTATTGCTCGCTCTCGCCTCTGGCGGCAGAGTTCGTACTGGATGCATCCGCAGCTCGCCGCAGCTCATCCTCGATAGTTGGTAACGAGTCCCGCAAATACCTGAGCTGCTCATCAACGCCTAATTCTGCGTTCGGTGGTGGCGGGTGATTTGTATTGGCTCCTAAGAGTATGTTTTGGACCTCGGCGTTGAGCGTCCGTATCCTCTCTGCCAATTCAAGGCTATTACCTCGGTCTTCAGCGATGGCAATTAGTCCATTTTCAAGGTAATCTAGATGGCTACCGATCATATCACCAGGCTCTAGTCGGCCTGATGGGATAGCACCGTAAGTATCGCTCTTGGCTGGATCTGTGCTGATAACTATTTCACGTAGCCGGTAATTGAGCTGCTCTAGTTTACCTTCTGTATCAGAAATTAGGCTCCATGGGTCTGAACCCTGACCTCTGAGCTCGTTGATTTGTGCCTGTAGCTCACGATTTTCCTCACGTAGTCTCTCGGTCTCTTCCGTTAGCTGCCTATTTTGTCCCCGAACAGGCGACTTTAAAGGGATTTCAATAGCGTTCTGCCGGCTTCGATCCTCGGCTCGTTCGGACATATCAAAGGATCGATACAAACTTGCTTCGTCAAAGGTGAATCCGTCTTCCAAGAAGTCCATGCTAAGACTGTCACGGCCATTCATTGTAGTATACATGCTCTCGGGACTAGCGGGAACGCCGTTAAGAAGGGGGACTCTTGGGGATGGTGTTTTGCTGTTTCCTTTGTGCGTGAGCTGAAGAATACCAGCAGTATGCTCCAACAGTCGCCTCTGGGGTTCCATGGCGCGCTTCTCCAATGACCATAGTTCGGATGCTAGGTCTTCGCACTTCTTTTGGATCGTGCTGAGTTCGTGTTCAGCCTCCCGTGCGGCATCAGTCGATCCACTGTGTCGATGACCTAGGAGACTCCTTCTCTTGAAATCAACTTTGGTTGGGGAATACAGTTTAGACATTGATATAGCAGCATCGCGATATTTGGATTGGATGGCAAGGTTTGACCTCGTCTGCTCGATTCGTTGATTCAAGATCTGACATTGTTTCTTGAGGTCGTCGACTTCCTCCTGAGATAAAATCTCATACTCTTTGCTGTCGAGTAAGGCGGTTTCGGTGAGTAAATGCACTTGGACAGGATCTTTCAGGTCGACCAGCACCGAGCTTTGAACGCGCCCCGGATTCATCTAGTTTGATTGTGAGTATACAACGAGGTGGATACGATGGCCCTCGAGATAGGAGGGAGTCAGAACAGCTGCTTACTGGATTAAATCGCGGCCTGTCTCTTTCGAAGTCGTTGAGGCTGTCTTGTCGATAGGAATCAACTAGTGCTGGACCCCTCGGCGCAATCGTAGGGCGCAGCGGTGGCGGACCTCCGTCAAAGCCATCATACCCACGGTTTGCAAACCCGTTCATTCTTGTCACTTTCGAGTAGAAAGGTTGGTTGTCAAATGCATTATACTACGGGAAGGGTCGCGTAAGAGTCGGTTACTCGTAAATTTATTATGGTTGGATCGTTTGAATCGGTTATATTAGTAGTTGGCGCAAGTTTTAGTCGCCAGTCCGTCGAAGAAGAAACCAAGATGAATAAATAAAACTAAGAACGCCAATTCAAACAGAAGCCCTAGTAGAGAAACAATCCGCAAGAATGATTCACTGGAACAATGGCGCAAGATATATTGTAAGCAAGTCAGAGTCCAAAATGTGATGGTCGGTCGGGTCACCTGGTAATGAGATGGAAAAGGAGTTTTGTCGATTGAGGATCTACGATGTATTGTATGTACATTCTTTACATGGGCTATTTGACTGACTGCCCGATAACCTAAATTTAATTAGCGGCGCATTTTGCACATAGGTACCTTACGTACGCGCTCCACGCTGGAGCGCCAGCGCTAACCTGCGTTGAGTAATTAAGCGAAGCGCGCGTGGATGTGGCTGGGGCGTAATATAAACATATTTGGCATAAGCATAACTTGAATATTGCACAATTCTTTGGTTTTTTTCTTCTTTGCTATCCCTTCACTTATTAATCTCCCTTTTCTTTTCCGTATCTGAACCTTGGTCTTTACGTAGTAATTCACTGTTTGTTTGCTACTTGTTATCTACTTTAGGTAGGTATTGTGCGTGTATAGATCCGTAAATTCACCAGCATTAGCTTGTCTAATATGACACTTAAAATAAATCATGTATCCAGCCACCCCTGCAGTAGGACATGCGTGCACTTATCAAACCTCATTAGAGTCTGATACATTTACGGATCGCAACCATATCTATGCTTTGCTCTAGCACATTAAAACGTATAGAAATGTACCAAAATCGTAATTTCGCTTTGCGCAATGTTGATCGACCGTCATAATTAATCGGCTCGGACCGTTGACAAGGATAGATAGGTCCTTTACTTTTAAACTTCTTTATACTTCTTATTTTTATTGGTATTGCGCGAGATTAGATACATAATTACTTTTGCGCCACTTCCATCTCATAAATAGTTAGACCCTAGCCAGGCTATGCTTGCCAGCGATATCTTTGCTGCACACGTGGATGGCTGATGCAGTGCCATAATTTTCTAAATACGGCGTCGGATGTTGGGTTCGCTCTTTATAGGAGCTTCTAAATAAACCACGGGTCCCGAAAATAGGGAGACGTCGTGGCCGGTAGCGTGTAAGGGACAGTAGTTGATTTGATCGGACACTGATACGTCTTATCTATAGACCATACGCCAACTCTCCTATACGCTGTACTTGTGTAAGTATGCTATTTTAGGTATTCAATGCTTGCGAATGACCTCTGGGGGCCGAACACGTTGGATCTAAAACCAACGATGGGGTAAAAGTCGAAGTCTTTTTTTATTTGCTTGCCAATGGGTCTAAAATGCGCCTTGGAACTGGTCTATAACTTGTTGACCCATAGTCCTGCGTCTTCCGCCTTCAGCGTCCGCTTGGCCCTGTGCGCCGCTTGTCGCGGCTGTAGATCCGTTTTCACCCTCCAGTCTCCTACGCAACCCTTCGAACTCCTGACTCCTTCCCTGTGTTCGCATCCCCACGACCCAGCCAGGTAATCGCCATCGTATTAGTGATCGTGGTAAAACTTCCATCCTCCATGAGAGGCCCAACATCCATCCAACTAGCGCGCCGAGGAGAGATCCAGGCCACTGAAAGAGAGCTAGTTGAAATGCAAGGAGGTATCGATATGACTTGTCAGAGAACGTAATGCCTTGTGTCTGATCGTCTGTCGAAGTAGATGTTGATGTTGATGTTGCTATCTTATATTTATATATCGGCGGGATCATAGCGTGGTACTGGGCTAAGACCGCAAAGATTATAGGTGTAGGCCCGGCAGGAAGGTAGTTGAAGAGCCCCAGCGTAAGTGGCCTTAGAAAGAGAGCCAAAACTGCGGGGACCAACCAGCTCGTGAATAACGATGTGACGAAAATGAATGTCTATAGTATACCCGTCGTTAGCTAGGTAGATACACCAATACGGTAATAAGGAATTGCTCTTACAGCAAATTTCCTGGACCCCCACATCCTCTCAACTGCTCTCATGTTGTATAGGGTCATGGCAGCAAATAGTACCTCGGTCGAATTGGTGTAGCAGAGCTGATAAATGAGAGCCCTCCATATCTGGTGAAACTGCCAAAGGTGCAAGTCGACTAGGATATAGAAGTAGTGCTTGATATCAAGTAGGCTGGCGCCTATTGATATCCCAATAAGTCCGTAGACAAGACTGCGCGTCACCGGCGCATTCGTAAAGGACATGATGTCAACTCGAGGTCCCGCGACAGCTACCGGCGCATCGTAGATCTACCGTTAATGGGTTAATACAGATAGCACTTAGGTAGCTTGAATCGATGGTATTGATCCTGTTGTACACGATCCAAATTAGGTATTGTATATGTATAAGTATAAGCACGTAGATACAGAAAACGATGTCATTGAACTATTAACTTCTTTCTCAGACTAGGGATCGCCCGGCAAGAATTGGACATGTGTACTATAGATAGGTACCTGCGTATCTTAAATAATCCTAGTCGGACATCTTTAACTTTAAGTCATGGCCAAGTGTCTTGATGACGGCTATTACGTTTTGTTACATATATCCGTCTACCCGACACTACCGACACTATGAGGTAAATGACAGGGTCTGGGATGGCAGTACTGGGCAGCTGAAATTCAATTCCATCTAAGCTTATCGATAAGCTTCGTAGCTCTTGCTAAGCCTCAACGTTGTCAATCATACGAACATTCCACCTAGCATTTACGACTTCAATTCATAACGGCTAATAGCCACCATTGTCGTCATCACCCTACAATGCAAAATATATAACTTTCCTTGAATCATTTTTTACGTTTGTTTTTTCCCCTCTTAAGCTAGTCAACCCTGTTTTCACTATCAATTCAACCATGTCCGACCTGTACCTCTCGCATGTTAGGAACTGGATTCTGAAGTCTCCGCCGGCAGAATGGGTTATTAAAAGTGGCCGAGAGCTGCTTATAGGTACTCTGAAGCAAGGTCCGATACCACAGCATGTCGCTTTCGAGATGGACGGAAATAGGCGCTTCGCCAAGAATCACAAGATCGAAACTATAGAAGGCCATCACCTAGGATTTGAGGCCCTGGCGAGGGTGCTCGAGATTTGCTACAAGTGTGGCGTCAAGGTGGTTACCGTATATGCATTCAGTATCGAAAACTTCAATCGACCCAGGCACGAGGTTAGTGGCCTGATGGCAATGGCCAAAGTTAAGCTGGAACAACTTGTTCAACACGGCGAGCTTCTCGACCGGTATGGTGCTGGTATCCGGGTATTAGGAGAGCGTGATTTAATCCCGGACGATGTGTTGCCCTACGTCGACCGAGCCATCGAGATGACAAAACATAATAAAGAGTGAGTAGTTTCCCACGGATATACTTGGGGAGGCTGTTGCTAACGATATATACTAGTGCCGTGCTCAACATATGTTTCCCTTACACCTCAAGGGCTGAAATGACCAGTGCGATAAAAGCTACGGTGGATGAATATACAACATCACCTCGATCAACGAACACACCATTCTCACAGTCGCGAATCACACAAAAGATAAGATCCAACAAGTCGAAAAGGTCGGACTCTTCTTCCCCTATGGACTCTTCCCTAGATGAAAATGGCGTATCGGACGTTGATGATTCTATGTCTTCGACTACCGCATTAGATCCGGATTCGCCTCCTCTACAGTCAACACCAGTGAAGCCTACCAGGTTCAAGAACCCGGAAAGTATCACAACTGAGACTATCAATAGCCACACGTATACTGCCGAGTGCCCACCCTTGGATATGTTCATCCGTACTAGTGGTGTTACGAGATTGAGCGATTTCATGTTATGGCAATGCCATGAGAATACCCAGATATTCTTTCTGAAGTGTCTGTGGCCTGAGTTCGATTTATGGCACTTTATTCCCATCCTTTTAGAATGGCAATGGCGACAAAAGAAGCTAACGGAGAAGGAGGGATCGCGGAAATGAGTAGACGAACGATGCAGCATACCCTTTGTATTGGCGTTGAGGCGTACTCGTTTGAGATTATCTTGGTAGAACCGGCGATGTACACTTGTCAGCGGTTGAATTGTGGTGACGTAGGATAAATAATGTACTATAGAAAATGGTCTTGTCACGCAATGATTGTAAATATTGTTTAAAGTATGCCTAGGTAACTATATACTATTATACTATTATAACTAGACTGGCACCATACTTAACACTACACAATGGCGAAGACTAACTAGGTAATCGATTCTTTACTTTTAACTTTTATTTTCATTTTTATTTTATTCTATATCGAGTTTTAGTTTACAGATCCTGTAAATATACATGTGCTGTCATACCAGCTCTGTTTAGCAAAAGCTTATATGAACGCGCATCATGTATTTGCACGGCAAAACGCGGGTTAGGTAACATGTTCGCGAACGTATGTACCGAGGCTCGTAAGGACTGCAGACGAAGAGCGGAGCCTAAGTCTTGGCTGTTGAAGTCATTGTTTTTCTTATCTTATCAACCAGTATGCGGATTAATTATCGGATCAACGGTCGCTTGTTTTCTGTGGTGTCTGGTCACAGTTACCCCAATCAAGCCAATCGAAATGCCGCTTCCGTGTGTAGTACAGGCATGTACAAGCCCACATTACCAGAAGGTTGCCCGCCGATAGAAACCCGCGCGCAAATGGGGGACTTAGCAACTGGGCTCAGCAGTGCAGAGTGCTAAGTGCTACTTTCTGGGCCGACTCAATTAATAAATCTCATCCATCCGGTTGTCCACCTCATCTTCGCAGTTTTGCGCCTCCCCCCTTCTATGAAGCTCTACTCGTATTCCCATTCATACTACTTCATACTACTTCTACTAGTATCATTCTATTTTTATACTCAAAATGACATAAACTTCATTTACTGAAGCTTGTCAACTTAGTTCCTTCGCAAAGTCTCCGAACCTCTCGAACAAGAAATCTACTTCCCGTTTTCTCGCGTCTCCCATCTCGACTAGACCTACTATTTAAACCCGCCCGAGAAACCAAGATGAAGACCGCGAAGCTACCTCAAGCGGACGCTGGTCCCTCCTCAAATAGAAGAGCTCAACCTGTTCGCCAAACCCGAGCAAATCCCCCGCGAACGTCGTCTGGTACAGCCCGCACTTTCGCTGGTAGAGACTCGCTTGGAGGCGGCCATAGTCACGATCAACCTATCGAGGTTTTCCCCGCAATTACATACTTCACCGATTCTATAACGTCGCTCCCTAAAGATCTCGTCCGACATTTCACCCTTTTAAAGGAAGTCGACGCAAAGATATTTGCCCCCGAAGAAACCCTCTTCCAACTTGTCGACGCCGTTCTCAAGTCGAGCCCCTCCGAACCTAGGAACATCAACGATGCATCCGGTAGCATCGCCACCGCCTCGACGCCAATGAGCGCCCAGAATAGCTCAAGCGGGTTCGCTGCGAATGGCAATACTAGATCGATCGACGATAACTATAGCTCTACGGTATTTAACCCGAGTAATCTCCCGCGACGGCAGCTATTTCATCAAACCGCCCTGAAAGTCCAGGAAATGCTAGTGTCCTTAGAAGAGAAAAACCATGTCATATCGACTGCGAACGAGGCGCTATCTAAACAACTAGCTCGGATCAATGACGTCTGGCCGCACCTCGAGGGTGAGTTCAGCGACGAAGCTAAATGGGGTAGCACTACACACTGGGCCTATCCAGAGAACAGGATCAATCGAGCGAATCAAGCTGAGCGATCGCGCCGAGATGGGGCAGCTACTATTACAGCTGCGGCCCAGCAGCTTGCAGAAGAAGCTGCAGCACGAAGTGACGCGAGAAAACAAGCGATCATAGCTAAGAAAGGGCTTAAGAATCAACACCAAGACTCGGATGTAGATGATCACGAGAACAAGCACAAGGGAGAACCGACAAAAAAGGCATCTAACAATAATCACGGCAGTAAGGCTCGAAAGGCCGCCGAAACAGCCGCGCCTGTTGGACTGGGTATTACTTCAGGCACTGTTACGAATACCCCCAACGGGAATCCTCCATCCAAGAGACGAAAGGTTGAAGCAAATAAGCCAACTAATGGGGGGCAGCCGATGGAACGCGCAATGAGCTCTGTCTTCGGCAATGGAACGAAACCCAAAAACTCGAGCCCTAGAGCAACACCTGCACCTGAACCGCCTAAGAAGCGCAAAGCTCTTCCTACCGTAAACGGTACCTCGAAAAAGAGGTGAGCATATCTACTACCTACTTCTCCTACGCTTCGGGTATTTCAGTTTACTAACCTGAAGATTCTCCCCCTAGCAAAACGACTACCGCAGCCGCCGTGCTTTCTCCTTCCATCGCAGCCTCTCCAATCCAACCAAACTTCGATCCCAAAGCCGCCGCCCGCGGTTCACCTGCGCCTTCCACAACCTCAGCGCGCCCCGCATCGTCTCGAGCGAGACAAAACTCCATACAGTCCACTGTAGAAAATGGTCGGCAGCGACCTGCCTCATCTGCCTCAAACAGGCCGAATGGCGTTGCGGCTACAACTCCAGAGCTTACGGCGGCGCATAACGGCGTTCGTCCCCCGGCTGATACTAAACAAAATAAAGAAACCGTAGCAACCGTGAAGGTTGAGGCTACTAGGGAAGAAGCGGTCCTCACCATCGCTAGTACTAGTGCCGCCACTACAAGTAACAAGGCCATACCCAAAGGCGACGATGCGGAACCGAAAGGGGATGCTACACAAGCCCCATTAACAGCATCCACACCTATTGTCACCACCAAGAGCGGACGAGCTAGTAAGCCGTCAACGCCAGCATTAGGATCATTCCCAGACCCGCCACCACGATCTCGGTCATCACGAAATGCGTCGACTACCAACGGGAAGAGGAGCCATAAGAAAGGCGCAGCCCAGCAACTCGCAGCTCGGCTCGCGAATGCAGATGCGAACGGCAGTATACAGGGCGACGACGACGCTGACGTTGATGCTGACGAGCCACTGTACTGTTATTGCAATGGAGTCAGCTATGGTGAGATGGTCGCATGCGATGCCGATGATTGTGAACGAGAATGGTTCCATCTCGATTGCGTTGGCCTAAAAGCAGCCCCACCATCGAATAGTAAGTTTGTCAAATGTCCCCGGGATCAGGGGTGGATCAGCTAATAGTTCTCGTAGTGAAATGGTATTGCGATAATTGCAAAGATCGTATGAGAGCCGGGAAGAAAGTAAATGGCAGATGATTTGCTCCTTTGCTGCGTGTTTGCTTCAATAGGTATACCAAGCGTCTACTTAGAAATCATGGAGTTCACGGTGTTCATTGAGCCATACGATAGTCGGCATTTAACAGGGCATTTTGGGGTTGGGGATGCAATAAGACCTCACGTACATTGGCGTCTCGGAACTTGAAACCTCTGGGAGGGGTACCTAAAGCGCCTAGGTACATAATCATTGCTTTGGGGGACTACTTACTACATAGGTAAAGGCTTGATATGGTGCTGATGAGTTGCTCCTAGCCCGGAGTATGTTTTGGGGAAATTTATCACGCCAATGGAAACGTGGGTTAGATAGATATTGGCGTTTCTGTACATTGTTCAGACTCCTAGAGAGTTGTTAAGCTGGGAACATATATTGATATTATTGTGAGCTCTACATGTATGCTCTACATGTATGTAAAGTATCGGTAAAACTCCTGAGCAAATCAGATCTACTCGAAAATATCTTACCACCTCCGAATTATATCCAAAATAAAATACTACCTTAGGTACTTCTATGCATGGTATATATTTACATACCTAATACTTATTTCCCTATCTACTTCGATGTACCTTTTACCTACTTACGCTTACCAGGAATAAGTTTAGGTAGGTTTAGGTAACATTTCGTGCCGGTAGCTTTTCCTTAGAAACCGGAATATGAGCCGCAATGTTAGACATGGAGTAGACGATATGCGAAGTGATTGGCCGTCCGGAATTTACCAACAAGACGTGAGGCTATTTCCCCGCAAACAACTATGCATACTATGCATACTATGCATCATCTAGCTAAGTGCTGCAGGTCCAGCACATATCAACGGCTTAGCTAGATCGGCACACCCGGTCTCTGCAGGCAAGGGGTAAGCATCAAACGTTGCATGGTAAAGGAGGCTAATACCTAATAATAACACCTACCGAGGACTTTGAAAATTGCATGTTTATTCCTAGAGCGTTTGATTTGTCTTGAATGACTCTTTTCGTTTCTTTTCTTTGGCCACGTGAACTCGGTTGCACATGTCCCAACAGAAACTAGTTGCGCTTAAGGAACCAAGTCCACGATATATGTACCATCGGGTTGAGTCGGCTAAGACCGAAACTAAAGGCGGTCAAAGACTCCGTAAAAGGGTGATGTTCTAATACTATATCCTCCTCTCCTTATTTTCAACTGGAATGCTCAAAACGGATCGTCATGATTATTAAACAGCCTTGGGTAATAACTAAAGGGAGTAAGAAACGAAAGCATCTGATTATGTATGTAGGAAGCACAAGACCAAAGTCACTCGTCATATCCTAAGATGACGACAAAGCACTTCCAATATGTATGTACCTAGATGTAGTAAGACGATGTAATTTCAGCTCTGCGATATCGCAGCTATATGGAGCCCGGATCAAGCATTGCGAATGAAGTCTCCAAGTGGGAAACAAGCAGATCATACTCATACGGTAGTATTTCATCAGCCGCCACCATTCTCAAATACTACCTACCTCGAAAATATCATGGAGGGGGAGGGACTCACTTTAGTATACAAGATAAATCTGTGTTCCATTAGAGGTTAAGTACAAGTAAGGCAAGTACATGCAGTATTGTGATAGACGTACGTTATGTACATCTAGCAGGTATAGGAAGTACCGCGTAAATTGTATAATCGAATCCGGGGAAAGGAGAAGGAACGTCTTAACGCCAATTAGCCAATAATATTAACGACGGTCCACGCAACGTCGTAGCAACTACATACATACGCAGCCCACGGACGGGGCCACGGAACTAAACTTTCGCTAGACTCGGCTAGCTTTGAATTTTTAACTAGTCGGTCCCCATAACAGAGTGAGGAAAGCCAACCTTCGTTCCGGAAGCTCCAGAAAAAACTTGACCTCCCCTTCTGCTAGTTTCCCCAGAGTTTAAAAAAATAAAATTCCACATCGCGATGACGATATTGCCCCGTGGGCCGTAACAATAGGCCTAGGTCGTCTGACATTCTCATTACCAAATAAGTATCTAAGCGGAGCTCATGGCCAAGGCGCTTTCGGATTTCGCACCATTTGCCGCCAGTCTCGAAGGCAACAAGCGTTGGTGGGTTTGGCTCATGTGACAAAGAAGAATCCATCTCTATGCCATTCTTTTATTTCTATTACCCAATCTATGGTAAACGGAATCATGGGAGGTTTTCTCGTACCATTTCTGGCCACTTGCGGACCCTTCGTTCGCGAGCTGTTGCTACTAGGTACATCCCCTAATAAATTAGACGGTGAAGGACAAGCAAGACCCAGACTCTTATTAGACGGTTCAGGCTGGTATTTTTTAATTTTTTTTATATACTATTGATATTGGCAGGCCAGGGAAGAAACAGACTGGAAAAACAGCCCATACAGGTGCAACCTGGTAGCTTCCTCCTTGGTGTTTCTCATACTCCATACTTACGTATGAAGAACTGATAAACCTCCCCCCTTTAGCTTTTTTCTCCGGGCCTCCAAACACCGACGACGACAACGCCCCGTTTCTTTACGTAGCCCGGTAAACGAGGGGGATCCAGCAGGAACAATTCGCGTGCCGCAGGTTCATTTAATAACTAACCTAACCGTACATATTTACCATACTTATAAGTGATTCCGGCGGCAAACCCATCTCATCAATCCTTCCCCGCATTGCGCCAACGAAACCTGTTACCTAAGAAATCGGCGTTTTGACTAACAGAAAAGCCCATCCGGGTTACCTGGGCCTACTTTGCATCCTCTGGTGTCTTTGAAACCTGGAGCCCTGGCCGGTTCCCTTGGAGGACGGTTAGCATCTGTGCCGTGTCATACCGGGAAGGAAGAGGAAGAAGAAAAAGAAAAAAGTGACATTGCGCTATTGATACCACATCTTGCATCGCTCGCCTGCGCAACTGCAACCCTGGCTCATCTTCCGATAATGGATCGAACAATCACCTCCTCTCCTGTTGGACGACACCCAAGCCAGAGGCATATTTCCAGCAAACTTAGTCAAAGCCCTACTTCTAGCCTACGTGACACTATGGATCCTCTCGAAATCACAACTCCGCCGGACAAATCTCTTCGGTCCTCTTTCTCTTCCGTCCGGGAGGCCGACTCAGACTTAGCTCAGAACTTTACCTCCACCAAGATATCGTCTTATTCTAAGTTAGCAGAAGAAGCTGAAGAAGCTGTCGACGACTTGCCCTCGCCCCCGGAAATGGCCACGCAGACCCAGTTCATTCCTCCCGTGACTCAACCGGATAGTAGGCTGCACGGCTGTTGGTTCCCAGCTGTCGCCGCCGAGGGCTTCCAAGGCTGGAAGCAGATAGGTGTGAGGGGGAGGCAGGCCAGCAAGAGTTATGGGGATTTGCAAGCTTTGAAGATCGTGTGGTCTCCGGCGCCTCCAATTAAGAAGAAGGACCCTGAGAAGCCCTCTCCAGGACAGTCCACTATCGAGAAGTTGCCCGCGGAGATACTTGGTAAGTCGAAAAGAACGTCGCCATGATAACTGGAATAAGCACCTTACAAGTTAATTTGAAAAATAGGTCAGATCATTGATCATCTTGTCCTCGATGTCCCACCCAATGGGGTTTCCGCTCGAAACGTGGATCTCATGTCCTTGTTGCTGACGTCGAAAACGCTGCACTCTGCAACGTTGAATGCGCTCTACAAGAACATTACCATCCCGCACTCGAGAATTTTCCGAAAGTTCTTGTCCCACATCGCACAGAACAAAGAACTGGGGACTATTGTGCGACGGCTAGACTTCAGCCACTTTAACCCCACCACGCTCTTTGCGACGGCAAGCGAGCGAGCTACTACTCGCAACTTAACACCCGAGACTCTGATGCAATGCTTAGAGCTAACTCCTTTCCTTCGTGAATTCTTAGCGCAGGAGTATATCGAAGACGAGATCGACGCCAACGTCTTGCGGAAGGTATTTTTCGGGCTCGAGAGGTTACAGGGTATCGACTTCTGCGGCTGTTCGTCGACTCACTTCAAGAACGCCTTCCAGTCGATTCTCCTGTCGGATTGGCCGGAAGCGCTTTCGATTTCTCGGCTGTCTCTGCACAAATGCATTACTTTGCCTTCGTCCGTGTTTGAGACGTTGCTCCCTCGACTAGGGAACTTGACTCATCTGGACCTCGCAGGGACTCGGGTTACGAACGAGGCGCTCCTGTCAATCCCTCATAATGCCAAGATCACGCACCTAAACTTGTCTAAATGCAAGCTGCTAACGGCAGACGTTATCATCAACTTTATTGCAAACCACCCCGCAGTTAAAGAATTAGTGGTTTTGAGTCTTGGGGTAGATGCACGGAGCCACCAGCTTCTGGATGAGGATGATCTGAGCAAGCTGATACCAGTTCTTCCCCAGAGCTTACGTTCGCTAAGCTTGAAGGGTAGCAAAATGGCCGCGTCGCACATTGATTTACTCCGTCCATTAACAAAACACCTAGAAGAGCTTGCGTTGGGTCGGAGGTTGAAGATCACCGATATTGATCGTCTCTTTGTGCCCGACGAGAGCAATGATGATAACATAGATGAAGAGCTGGAATGGATTCCGCACTCGCTAAAATACTTGGATCTCTCTGACTATACGGCAACAGAACTCGACCTCATTACCATGTTCGGTCGAAATACGTCAATTATGAAGAAATACTCGGCGCCATTGGAGGTGATTGAGGTTACGGATGATTTATACGCCCGATTAGCAAAGTCACCGGTTGTAAAACAGCTTGGATGGACGGTCACGGAGAATGGCAGCCGGGCTTGGCTTGTCCGCGTCCACAGCCCCGAGGACGGACCTAGGGACTCCGGACTTCGATTTTGGAAGATGGGCGCCTCATTTTGGGGTATGCGCAAGATACCCATCGCTTGCGCCGAAGTTGGCGGCATGTACGGCTCATACATGTTCAAGCGAAAGCTATAACGGATAACGCGCGCGACGACCTCCCACTCTCGCCTCTACTCTTCTCTTCTCTTTTCTCAACCCGTATTTCTTGTGACTACACTTATAGGATGGGCGGAGCTTAGACTTGCCGAGTATTTGATTAGATTATTAGCATAGCGACATGGTGCATCGGTTGGATTGACGATTCCCGAACGAGCTACGATACGAAAAGTTGGTCGTTATTACATGCTTTCTATGGGATAAGGATGGCGGAAAGGCGATTAGTGCATAGTAATCATAGCGTGTTAGCGTTTTGTATGCTATATTCCTTACTACTACTATTTTAATATATTATAATTGGATTCTTAATGAGAGTATTGGTCTGTTGAGATGGTTGGAAGTGAAGAGATAGTAGAACCTTTTTAAGATATTTATGTAACTATGGAGGTTTGCTGACTAACATCGTATATGGACTCTACCTGCAAAAATCCCAAGTAGCTGCCACTTAATAGTCAAGTTGCTTTTTAAATGCATACCTCAAGGTTACACCCTGATTAAAACGATACCTCTCACATTATTTCTGAAATATTGGACCAGTGAGGCTCAATCGCTCAAATCGACCCTCATCTAATACGCGCAATACAAAACTCGGAAATAAGAAAGGAAATCTAATCACGATGTATGCGCTCACTTTAACAGCGGAATTAAACGGGTATGCAATTTGGAAACGAATCTACTATTTCCCATTCGGCTGATAAGGAGGACTATATATACAGGGTTACCAACCTCCGACCCAAGGACACTGCCGAAAGCCCGTTCTGGTATACCTTCACGGTCCAGTGCACCTCGTGTCGGGAGACACATGGGAAACCGGTTGCGGTCAGCAGATTTGTGAGGATATTAACATACGTCCTATGTATATAGGATATAGGGAACTACTCGTTACTAATTTTACTTGCAGGAGACCAACGAGTTAAGTGGAAGTAGGGGAGAGGCGAACTTCGTATGGAAGTGCAAGAATTGCAAGGTTGGTCCGCGGAACAACAACGACGACAACTCGCTACTTTCATGACGGGGGCGCATGTTTTCTAATTATGCGATATTTAGAGAGAGTCCTCTTGCTCGATTAAGACGGCGCCTAAGCCCTACGCGCAAGGCGAGCCGCCTAAGCAGCAGTCTATTATCGAGTTCGACTGTCGGGGCTTGGAGTTTACGGATTTCACTCCCGAGGTAAGCAGAATAGATTCATGTAGCTCTGATCGGCCTTTTGTTCCCACTTTTGGCTAATTTTTCTAAAAATCGGCGTAGGGAGAATGGCTGGTAGATGGCATCGAGTCGAATACTAAGTTCGAGGGGGTGGAGCTACAGGATGGCGAGTGGTATGAGTATGATGAGAAGGCCGGAGATGAAGTTAGTATTAAGGATTTGAAGTGGGAGATTAAGAGGGCTTGAGGGGGGTTGTTCTAGATATGTAAGTAGGTTGAGTCTCAGAAACCTATATGAATCAATTTTAGTGAAGACATGGCATAGTGATAGTCACACTACCCAATGCGTCCCAGCTCCTTGATATGAAGTTTACCGTCGACCATTCACAAGGGAGATATATGCAATTCCAACTCTTACATATGTAGGTACCTATGTTGTACGTAAGTCGTTCCAAAATCCATTTACCTTTATCTTATCATCTTTCAAGCTCAAGTGCGGGGCAGAAATACTGCATACCCCGATATATACACGAATCCACCTTTAGTTACAAACACCCCCATTAATCAATTAAGCTAGAGTTTAAGCATTAAACAAAGCTCAAAAATTCCATGTACACTACTACAACAGCCTTCAAGCTTCCCGCGAGTTTACACGCGCTCCAAACACATCTATCTACAACCACCCATCCGCCACGAACCTCACAATCCCTTCCGCCATGAGTGTAAGCCGCCCCCTAAGCTCCCACATACCATACCTCCCCCATCTCTCTATATAATAACTAACACAAAAACTCCATACATAGTTCGTACCCGTTAACCCGCGGCCCATGCTGCAAGACCTGTACGTTTCCTCCTTTCCTCCCTCCCCTCCTCCCGAGCAGCAGTACAACTCTCGACAAGAGCCAATCGCGTGAGCGCCGGGCTATGCTAGGCTACGCTAACACCGCAGGCAGCGTCAACAAGGACATCGTCGTGCGCCTGAAGTGGGGCGAAACCGAGTACCACGGGCGCCTCGTCAGCTCCGACAGCTACATGAACATCCAGCTGACCAACGCCCAAGAGTTCATCGACCAGAAGTTCACCAGCGACTTGGGCCAAATCTTGATCCGGTGCGTGCCCTTTTTTCCTTTCCCTTCCCTTCCCTTCCTCGCAGCCAGCCTCGGAAATCCGGGGGAAATAGACCGTGCACTGGGCTAACATGTACCAGATGTAACAACGTGCTATGGATCAAGGCCGCCGACCAAGGCGACAGCGGCGACGTCAAGATGGGCGGATAGACGAGACTTGGGGGGAACGGTCGGATGAAAGGCGGCAGATATATACCCCGGTTGAAGTACAGCACGGTACCAGTACCTTGGGAGAAGCAGGCCAAATAAAGATGCACCAGGCACATCTCGACAGCAGGAGATAATGCCTAATATACACGGGCAGTCTGGCTGCTTGGCCGGGAATACAAAACAAACATAAAGGAAAGGGTTTTACGTCTGGTCATGCTAGTCTTTTTTTTCATTCATCGCGAAGGCGCAGAGCCCATTCAACTCGCTAACTTTAGTGATCCTAATCCTTGGGTAGAGCTTGGTAGAGCCTCATAAGAAAAGAGGTACCTCAAAAAACAACAGCTTTTCCCCAATGTGTTTCCTACCGCTTCGGCTGTCTCGCTTTGTAGAGCAATTATTTCCCTAGCGTCTTATCCTGTAACCAGTTGACATCCTACCGCCCTTTCTATGTATAAGAGAATCACAAGAGACAGGCCACTTTGCGGCTGCTGCACATATCCGAACCCCCAACCTTGACCCGCTGGGATGGCCCAACCCACATGAACGCCTCGACTATCCATTCGTACCATACTTTTGCGTCGTCAGTCTGTCGCCACATGCTGACTTCCAACTCAGTATCCGGCGGGAAATAGAGTGGTTGCTAAGAACTATTAGTAAGTATATCCGTATAGGAGGTTGGTAAATAGATGTACCTTAAGCGGGAAGAAGATCGGAAACCAAGAGATCATGTCCTTGCTCTTCCGATCGATCATATCCGGCAACGTGCTCAGCTCGATCTTTTCTGGAGCCACCTCCCCGTGCTCCCGCCCTTCTTCGCCTGCCCCATCAGCAGCTCCACTAGGCGTGTACAGAACCGACTCGAAGTAACCCGCGAGTCCGTGTACGACGCCGCGGGTACGGCACACGAAAGTGAGGTGGCAATGTCGCGTGTTGTGGTCGTTGGCGCCGACCGCGCCGGCCATGCTACCCCCACCACCTCCTGCTACGCCACCCGCTCGCCGGGCCTCCATTGCGTCCATCGTTGCCTGCGGCAGTGGATGCGCAAACTCCCATGCTTGCTGGAACCGCGGTCGATCAGGTACCCGCTCCGCGACAAAGTCTAACGCGAACAGTCGTACCACCCACGGCGTGTCGAAGGCATCGCTCGATGGGGACGAGGCAGCCCGCTGCTTGATGTCTGCATGGATACGAGGCGTCGAGATGGGGCTTACATGCGCCGTGTACGATGCCGGAATCGAAATACCGACTTGCGGTGCCAGCACGTGTTGAATGCCGTCCAGACACTCGGGGCTCAGCTCGTTGTCACCGAACGAGCCTAGGAGCTCAGATACCAATATGTCGACTTTGCCGTAAACGGGGCCGGTAGAAGAAGACGGATCGGAGAGTAGTGGTCCTTTCCACGCACGCATGTCCGTCTTGACGACGGTGACACGACCATCCCATTCCTGCTGGTTTTGCCGTAGTAGGTATACGTAGGCGTTAGGGTTCTTCTCAACAGCCCAGACGCGCACAGGAACGCCAGTAGATTGGCTAGCTCTCAGAGCACGGGTGACAAGCGGTCCACGACCAGACCCGGCAACAGCTATAACGACCTCACCGCCAGGAGAAGATGTGGGCTTGCCCTCCGCGGCCCAGTCCCTAAGTGCGGCTGCGATTGCCATCTCGTATTGGAAATACTTGACCGGGTCGCCCTCAAAGACTTCGTACGTGACGGACTCGAGGTTATCCGAGAGCGGTTGCAATGGCGACTGTAGCCAATCCTGGAAGTTGGTCAGGGTATTTTGCTCCAGGTCACTAAGGGACTCCTGCTGCCTCTCGAGGTGTCGGAGATAGGCGGAGTAGGCGTTCTGCCCTTGGGACTTGATTTTTTCACTGGCACTTGCAGTTCGTTGTGCGGCGGCCTCGGTGAGAGTCGGGAATTCAGCTGACGTTATCTCTTTAGGATGAGGGTCTGCTTGCAATTCTGGACCGACGTCGCAGAGGAGAAAGTAGGGGGCATTTTTTAAGCGCATGTAAGTGAAAATCATGTCCTGGTGGTAGCGGCTTAGGGAAGGATGGCCGGCCTTGTTCGTCTGGAATGTCTGGGGACTGAATGTCAAGTATTGAAGGGGCTCGGAGAACCACCTCGTCTGGAGTTGCTTCTCTGGAAGGACCCGCGGAATTTTGAGCGCTTCATATTCCTCCAGTCAGCACCATTCTACTTATAATGATCCCGTGATAAGGAGTAGATGGTATTATTTAACATAGAAAGTAGCTCAAGGTGTACTTACCAACGAAGAGTCTAGTATCATACTCGCAAACGGAACGGATGACATGCCAAGAATCCCAGGAACTGAAGAGGTCTATTTCCTGTCTAGCAACAGATGTCTGGTCTGCATTGCTATCTAGCACAGACAGAAGCGGCACTCTCTCTTCCAGACTTGGCTCGCGATACATAGGAATATGGATGATGATGCTGACTCGAGTACCGATGGAAAATGCTTCGTGGATAGCTCGAGCATACTGCGCAATACCTTGGCCGTTACCTGTTCTGACCGAGTCTTCTCTGGGTCCAGGGATTATAATGCTCCTCGCCCCGCAGAAATTAGCATAAGAAACTTCGAGGTTTAGTACCTGCCTCGAAATGCTAGAGATAACATGGTTGGGAGAGCACAAGTCTATCCAAGGACTAGAATAGGCGACAAGCCCGCTCGTATAGGTTCCCGGAAAGAGGGTAGTATCCTCGGTGGTCAATGGAGGTACTACGGGATCGAGAATAGAGCCGGCTTTCCCATTGTATCTGGCATCTGATAGACTGGCTTTGACCAACTCCACGACGCGCTGATGAAAATTCTCATTTGTAATCGGGGTTGTGACGAAGCTGAACTGTAAATATATAAGCCTTGTTGTATATTTACATATATTCTAAATACTGGTTACTTACACCAGCATTCAGCACTTGGCCATATTGTAAATCGGTCAAGGTCTCCAATCTCGTCGAGTCATGCTGGCCAATGTAAAATGTTGGGCGGATCTCGTTGTAGTCGTCAGACTCCTGATCCATATGGTCCATATATTCTTGCGACATGCTGAAATAACTCTATTCGCCTATATCCTTTTGCTATATCCTTTCGGCGTGCTGAGCCGCTGAGAGACCCCTGTCAATACGCAGATACTTTGGGGAAGTACTAATCGCAGTCTGCTGGCAGCACCTTAAGGTAAAGCGGGAGGGTTTTAATGATGTATGAATATTTGAACTGTGTCAAGAATCCATCACCACATAAGGGAACAGAGATTCAGGATGATTGGGAAATATAAACCTGTTGGGAAGGCTCGCTTTTACCTAAAGGAAATACCTAAAGGAAAAATGCATCCCAATATACATATTTCTAGTGTGTGGTATGATTGGTGTATCAAACGGATTCGGTCTACTTAAATTATGTACAAAAGGAAAAAAAAAAAAAGGTGATAATATTTAGGAAGGTACAATTGCATTCATTGGCCCGGTGGCAGGTTAGCCCCGATGTATCATAGTAATGCCTAAACTACGTTGGGTAGCTTAAGTTTAACGATATGTCAAAATGACAGTGTTATCAAGTGCTATATGCATGATATATAAGACAGCTTCTTGGATTAAGTGTAAGTTTATGAAGTTTCTGTAAATCTACTTGGGTATGGTTACTCCTTCGCTGAGCTGTTTGATATTTGATAATATGATTAAAGACGCTTGGGTGCATATCGGAAATGGGGAATGAATGGGTATAAGCATTGCAGAAGTTAAGATTCCTTATCGATCATGTGATTAAGCCCTCTATGTAGATCAGATACATTAGTACACCATCTATCTATCTATCGCAATGTACCCGCTACACGTCTACCCGCACTTAAGCACTTAGACGCGCCCAGAATTCACCCCACCTTCTAAAGCTCTTAATAATTACGACTGCCCCCCTTAGTAAGTTGCTCTTCGTCTAAGGAGCAAATACTTCTAATTTCCTACAAAATGAATAGGCGCATGGTTCGTTTCTCTACATTCCTAAACCACTAGACTCCCGACATACTAACCGTCGGATTTCCTACGTTAGCTTACTAAAGAGGATGAAGCGGCCGGCGATGAGGTCGAGGTGCGCCGCGAGGACCAGGACAAGATCAACAAGTTCAGTCGTCTACATCAACGTGAATTAATCCTGGAGGAAGAGCTGAAGGCCAAGAATGTATGGGAAATGAACCACTTGACCGGATGAGTACGGCGCATGTACTGACGGAGAGCATTGCATCGTATAGAAGGAGAAGGAAGAACTCGACGATGTCTCCACTGAACTCGAGCTTGCAGACGAAGACGACACGGTGCCGTAAGGATCCCCGGCCCAAGTTTCTACACTCTAGGATATTATATATGAGTTTTGGTGAAATCCAGGTTTAGACGCAACTAACGGTTATCCTGACCATAGTTATAAGATCGGCGATGCTTTCTTCCACCTACCGCTTCCACAGGCACAAGAATTTTTAGCCTCGTCAACTACAAGAGTGGAGGAAGAGGTGTCGGCACTTGAAGACAAGATTGGTGGGCTGAAGGACGAGATGACGCAGCTGAAAGTTGAGCTCTACGCGCGATTTGGGCGTAGTATCAACCTTGAAACATAGGAGTATCGGCTAGCCGTTGCATGAATGAACTGGTACCAAGGTCATATGGTGCCTCAGAGATTTCACTCGGAGGTTGGGTTGTCTTGTTACTCAGGCAAGTCTCACGATGGCCGCATTGTGCCGACCAAGTTCTCGGTGCTGAGTCTCTAGCATGGATAGAGATATGAACTAACTGTCCTCAAGTAAACCTTCACGATGCCTGCTTGCGCAGCTGAATAATAATGGAGACCTAGACAGTAATTATCTGTTACGAGTCTACGTAGATTATACGATCCTAGGTCTCATAAACTCACAGCTTCGCTACATGAAATACAACAAAATCTAGAATCTTAACCTATTATCCTATTACCCTAGGTAAGGTACTTAAGGTATACAAGCCGCTCCAACCATGCTTAAGGGTGAAGTCAATATTTTGTACTTATTAAAATTCGTAAGACTTGGGTAAGCTCTGATTGGGTTAGGTATTTAACTGTATACAGCCACGATGCGAATCCAGCAGTGAGGGAAATAATGTCGTTATTACCACAAAGAACTATCAATCTATAGTAAGGTACATAAAGGAACCCTTTGTATACGACATTTAAGAGTACATACGGTCCTTCGAACGAAAATGTTTAAATTCTTATGCTATCAAGCCAAGGATATATCTTATTCGAGCCAGCCAGTTATCCAAGTCATATCTGAATCCGTCGTATAAAAGAATACCTGATTCAGATCGACTCATGCCAAGGCATTGTATGTAGGTGAATACTAGGTAAGGTAGTTACTAACGTGACATATGTACTTCTATGCTATCCTATACACAAGGGCGTGTTCTTACACAGCAGTCACGATATAACCTGTTGAAGAACACTAACAAAATGAGCCTGTTGTTTTATTCCTGTTTTAGCACACCTACACGTCCCGGAAACGTGTCATTATTCAAACATGTTCTCTAAGCAGTACTTATATGCCGCAAAGTCCGGCTTCTATGGAGTATTGCTTGATCATACGAACTATACATAACACAAAACATACACCAGATACTACATACACCACTTATCATAAGCATTTTCGCTTCATCAATAATAATGTCTTCCGCAGAAGCTACAGTCGGAGCATCCTCACAAGGTCCTTCCTACCGGGAGAAGCTAAATAATATAGGGGACATCACGCCTCTTAACGCACCTTTGATATCGTGGGGTGGGCAGCGCGGCAGATCACCTACAGAGTATTTAAAGAATTACAAGACATCCTACACAATCCCTTTCGGCTACAAAGTCGCGACATGGCGACAGAAATTCTTCGGCGGGGGGGATATGATGTTGCCGTTTTCTTTCCGAACAGAGCCCGAAATCAAGCCCTCTAAGCCTAATGAGCCAACTATAGTACTCCTCTTCTATCCGCGCCCCGATGAAGACGACGCAAGACCGATTCATAGATCCGCATCGTACCTTCGACGGATAGACCGGATTGCCAGAATGGGAGAACAGACCATCATCTATGTGCCACCGGAGTTGAAGGCCGCCGTTCAAGGCATGCGCGGTGATGCTTATTGGCACGTTATCGATGATTACCCGACGATTTGGGACATGCCCAACAACGCGTATCAGAAGGATAACTTTGCGACCAAGCAGCCCGCGCTCTTCGAACAGTTCGATGGGTACACGGATGCGGACGGGGACCTGAGACCCGAGCCGCGGTACAATCGTGCACATCATAGCGCTGTGTGTAATGCGAAGGCATTCGTCATGTATGATGCTATCATGCGCAATCCATTCGGCTCAGACGACTGGATGTACGTCGATGCCGGGTTCCTCTTCGATGATGGCCCCCAGGACGACGAGGGCACACCCTGGGGCGACCTCTTCCGCGCCGGCCTCGACGCAGACAAGTTCGAGCGTGCCATCTGCATGTCCCGCGACACGGGGGTAGTCATGGGCGAGTACTCTCACCGACACGGGTATCCCGACGCCGAGGACGAGTGCTTCACCAACCCCAAAAGATCATGGCGCGCACGACAATTCATCGCACAGGTGTACGTCGGCAACTCGCTCGGCATGCTAAACTACAGCGTCCGGTTCATGCAGACGGTCGACGACATGGACGCAAACGGCTTCTACACGGGGCGCGAGGAGCTCGTGGTCCCGTTCGTCGCGCTGCGGTACCCGAATACGGTCTTCTCGGTGCCGTACTTCCGGCTTCCGCCTCACCTGGACTACCAGTGGCAGTTCCCGATGAAGTTTGTGTTTTCTCGGGTGGGAGGCCCGAAGTCCGTCCCGCCTATTGTCGATCCTATTTCGACTTTGTACTGCAAGGGGTATACCCCGAGACGTCCGAATATGCCGGCTGGGGGTATTTATGAGGACCCGAGGAAGGATGATGAGGAAGAGTAGGCTTGACGATGGTGAGTTTTTGTGTTTTGACTGGTTAGCGTTGTAAGATAGATAGAATATTAATATTTATTTATAAAAAGGGGGTACTCCTGATAATGCTTTACCTAGGTAGAGTCCCACTAATTTATATGTTATGATATTATAAGATGTTAGGGATCGTGTTGCACGGAGTGGGAGACAAGGACCTAGCTTGTAGTATCTTTGTTAACTGTATTAACCCATGCCCTATAAAATAGGGGGGGATACTCCCCCTATATATAGATCTGGTATCTAGCGGCTACCCTACTGGCTAGTCCTATCTCCTGACATAGGCGGGGAGAATGGCAATATTATATGAACAATACACTCTAACAGTCACATGTAAAGTCCAAAGTTGACAAAGAATTGGTTTAACATATATTGTCCTTGGCTACATTATACGACACCGTATTATCATGCCCTCTCCTCCTTTTAGAACGTCGTCTTCCCGCAAGAGGATCCAGCTGCCGTTCTAGGCCTCGGAATCTTGCGCCACTTACTGGCCGCATTGTCCGGAAATGAACTGGAAGGATGTCTCGTTAGGAGGGAACTGCAATCCACAACGACCGTCGGCCCGGCAAAACCCATTAAATTTACCGTCGGTGCATGCTTGGCCATCGACTGAGGCCTGGTTAGCGCCTTCGTCGTCGGTAGCAGCGTCGTCGTCAACTTCATTGCTCTTGCGGCCGAAAAAGTTGTCAAAAGCTCCTCCGGTGCTATCAGCTACACCACATTGTCCAGAAATGAACTGGAACGATGTCTCGTTAGGAGGGAACTGCAATCCACAGCGGCCATCGGCGCGGCAGAAACCTTTGAATTGCCCGTCGGTGCACTCTTGGCCCTCAACGGATGATGCTTGACGTGTTGTTAAGGGCACTGTTAAAGGTTAGCCGATGCGGTTCTTCTAAGGTAAAGTGGTAGAAATCAGACTTACCTGCGGCAGCGTTACCGGCAAGGAGACTGGCAAGAAAAAGGGAGGCGGCAGTGAGCTGCATTTTGAGGATTTTATAGAAGAGTGGTTTGGTGAAAGGTGGATAGAAGAGTGGTTTGGTGAAAGGTGGGAATAGGCGAAGAGATTAAGGATACGAATAATACGGTGATGTTAAGATGTGACCGGCACAAAGAAGAACTGAAAGGCTGTTGAACTGGATATCGAAACGCAGCTGAGGGATTCAAACTCGAAAACTCGGAGAATTCATGGGTAGATATGGGCGCGTTATTCACTGAGGGTGCTGGCCTGACGGATATCGGCACTCATCAACGATACTGCCCTGGTGAGGCCAAAACACAAACCCTTCCCCTTTCGGCCCCTCAGTAGCCGACACTGAGAATAGTTGGGCGCCATAGTGTCGTGAGTTTCATCTCGCATCAACACGGCCAAGACTACCTAAATGACTAGGAAGACTAGGATGTCTACCTAGACAAGATAATGCATCGTCCCATTAACTTATAAATAGTAGCCCTAGTTGACTACCCAGCCGTCGCTGTATTGAAAGATAGTGCTGAATTACTTTTGTAATTACATGTGCTGTGAGATATAATTAACCGTAGCCATCGAGTATCTGATATCTGATAAATGTTCACGGGGAAGAAAACGTGAAGCTTAGCAGTAGATCTGTAAACGGAACGAGTTGGCCTAAACCAAACAACCCCCTGTTAGCTGAACTAAACCCCGTATTTGTCCCCGTGTCGCCCAGATGTTTCGGGAGCTATGTAAGCGCGCTGCCAAGCTGTTTGAGCAGGCAATTTACGAGGTAGCAAAGGCATAGCATAAATCTCCACTCGTCAATATCAATCAATTTATCGTAATAGGCTATATGAAAGACATCGATCTTGTTGTAGGTGCAACTATGCTCAAGTAATATAGTCATGGTAACGAATTAAGGCCGAATAAGCGATTGGTAATAAAACTCTTTGAGAAACGAAAGAAGTTTTATGTCCGATTTACACTTCTAGAATATCTGAGTTCTAATCTCGTTTCGTTAAAAGAGGCAATGTAATATGTTGCGAGTGTATAACCTGTTGGTACAATTTATGTAGGGATAGGATTATATCTTTTGCTGAAATAACGTAATAATAGTATATTGTAGTATAATATTAACAACCTTTGTTAAACTTTGGGTAATAATTGAGTTAATATTAAATATTTGTATGTGACTACGCTAGACTTGGGATATATTGTCTTTCTCCTTACATAGAAACATGCTCCAATATTTCCCCATCAGCTACTGAAGCCGCCATAAGTTGAGCTTGGACCATCGCAGGATCTTTTGTTTCTCTTTCCACCTCTTGCGGTCTGAGGATATGATCCACAATCCTGCCGGCCTCTTGAGCGTACTTGCTCCGATCGCGAAGCCATTTACCAAACCTATTAAATAAGAAGGGCATCGGGGCACAAGCAAGAGCTAAGAAAGCCGGTATCGACGAAGCCCATTGTACCCCAAGATTCTGGTACATAATGGGCGTGAATAATGGACTATGGCGTTGTTAGTAATTATGATCACAACTAACTGGGGTTGGTTCTTACAAAGCAGCGCCGAATAATGCTCGCAGAATGGCACTACTCGCCAAAGCAGAGGAAGAAAATATAGTATACGCGTCAATCATATAGTTGAACAAACTGATGAAGAGCAGGACCTGGCCGAATCCAAAGAAGCTCGAACCGACAATACTCACAGCCCAATGGATATTCGGAAACGTAGTCCAAGCGAACCAGAAAAGGCTGATCGGGAGCAGTACTCCTCCGATCATAGCGGGTGCTAATCGAGCTTCGGGTGTTGCTTTAGTGGGATCCTTAGCGATCGCTTTTCGGTATCGGGTTTCGAGGAAGATGTAGAAGAACATGGCAAGAAATTGGCCAATCATAATACCCAAGTATGAGAGACCAGCAATTCCTTGAGACCATCGCCGCTCCTGCTCGAATACGATGGGAAATGCTGTAAAATTAAGATAAAGTGTCCCATAAACTAAAGTTGGAACTGTTACCTAGCAAGAGGCATTTAATACAAAAGGGGTAAACCTGACTTACCGATCGAAGCATAGATCGAAAGTACTAATACTATAGGTTCGAAGAAAAGAAGGATCCAAGGCCGAGCAATTGCATTCCGGAAGACACCGCCGGCGGTCTTCTTGGGTTTCCCAGCCTCAAGTTTACTCGCATATACCTTTCCAGTGATTTTTGACAGCTTCTTAGCGCGGCGAATAAGAAGATAGGGGGTATAGGTTTCAGGAAGACATAGAACCCCTAAGATGAACATGGCACCGCTGAATATGACTGTCAAGCCATCAACCCACTTCCACCCACCGCTTTGCGCGAGAAAACCAGCGCAAATAGGACCTAACGTCGGACCGACAAAAGGGGCAATCGTGTAGACCATCACAGCAAGACCACGTTCCCTAGCGACGAAGATATCAGAGACGACACCGCCCGAATTCACGATAGACGAGGAGCCAAAAGCGCCGGCGAAGAAACGCAACACCAACAAGGTCTGGATGTTAGGGCTAGCTATCGACGCACCGCCAAAAAGTGTAGTTAAAAAGAACATAGCAGCGTAGATAATCTGCCGACCATACAGCTCGGCCATAGGCGCCCAGACCATCGGCCCAATAGCGAATCCAAGAACGAACAACGAGACGCTGAGGATGCCAAAGCTCCGACCCAACGTCGAAGCCACTTTCGATCTGCCGCAAGCTTCCCGGGAAGGCGCTGGAAGAGAGCGACACGGAGAGCGTGCCGAAGGCCAGGATGATAATCATCCACCACTTCGTGCCGGTGGCGATCTCGTACGGATTCTTCGCGTCGCCGGGCATCCAATCTACGAGATACGGGTCTTCTTCCGTGCCGGAACCGGGGTATACGTATGCAGTGACCTCCGGCGTCATGTGCGTCTGCGACAAGACTAGTGTGAAGTGAGACGGCTTTCCGGCGGCCGGTTTGAGGCCGTCGTCGGTAGTCTTGATATCAAACATTCTGAAATACGGCAGATATTTCTAATCATTTTAGTCGAGAGGTATCTGAAGCCTAATAGTAAAGTCGACTATAGGGTCACATTATCAAAGCACGACAACTTCGGGATAATCGATGCCATGATATATGTTGCCAAGGACGGCCAGAAAAACAGCAGTAATAATATCAGCCACACCACTTCGTAAAATAACACTAGATCCAGAAAGCGAAAGAGGACTTTGGAGCTTCTAAGTCCGTGAGACAGGTAGTTACCTCCGGCAATACGTACGGGATAAGTTCGTCCTTGAAGTTGGTGAAACCAGGATAAACATCGGGCTAACATCGAGAATTGAAGCCTATACCGGAATAAGGGCTGGAGTAAAACTCCCCTGGGTTTATTATGGTTACGATATAGTCACATATTAGGTAGGACTAGGCTTCTATTCTATTTACAGGTCGGGTGGATTTTATTTGTTATATGGTGAGGGTATAGCCTAGAGTGGATTTTAAAACAGAACTTGATTGATATGAAAGAAGGCTAGTTTGACTGGAACCCCGTTTTGTATACTATCGTGGTTAGATACACTGGTATTTACTATTGCTTATTAAAACATTATCGAACCGTCTTGACTGATACCCCCTATTCTGTAAGATGGCCGGACTGTCTGCTTCGCGCTTTATATAACTGGTATGGGCTAAGTCCTGTGTTATCGCGCACTACCATTGACTCTCAAGGACGCTGGGGTTTACGAGATAAGGATAGTTACGAGTGTAATTCACCTGAACTCCGGGCTTATCCGTTGTAAGCCTAATGAAATAAATTAAATCCGAAGCTCAATTAGCACGTTGCAGCATAGGATATTATGTGTTCGTCGCTTTAAGATTGGTAATAGCATACAAGCTAGAGCAGCTATCTTAGATCATTTGAAGTCGTATCCTCATTCCTTCGTCAATACACTAGCCTGGATACATCAAGCCTTGGTTCCTGCTACCAAAATACCACAACTCCTATTTAACAGACTGACGTTCGAGCTAAAGCAGAAACGAAACCTACGCGACGCCACCTAATACATAACTATAAATACAAGGCATTTAGATCCCGATGGATACTAACTTATTGGTCATTGGTCACTGATTTAGCTACTCCCACCTCATCAGCGTTCCCTACTCGGATTTGAATATCAGTACGGACGTAGATATCACTCGATGCTGATGAGTTTAGATTCACTGCCTGATTAATATGGTTGCCGTCGGGAAATCTTGTCGACAAGTGAGAATCTTTTGTCTGATTCTCGATATTTTCGACGTGATCAGGTGTTTGGTGTTGTATATAATTCAAAGCGCTATCATGCCTATTGTCTTTCGTATTCGAGTTCCCCGTAATCTCAATAGTAGTTAAGGGGATACCGTCTTCGTGGGAATTATCCACTTTAGAGGCGTCAACGGTCGTCGGCATGGTCCAAATATGGTTCAAGCTAGCGACACGCTTGAAGCCGCGGGCGCTCCGTCTCTCGGAAGAGGCTTGAGCTGCGTTTTTGTCGTAGACGTAACTACTACCTCCAGCCTTGCCTTTGAACCTCCTGAATAGCTGAGGTACGATTACGGGTAGGCTAGCGCACACTACCGCGGTAGTCTCCTCGGCGGCAGTGAGTATCAAGAATACGGCAACTCCATCTATCGCTATAAGTGAGCCAATGCATCTAAACTATTGAAATAGACTCGCAACTTACAGCTGGGATCGGTCTTATCATCGGTATCGAGTAGGAGGACCAGCACGCGAGCCAGTTCAAGAAAACAGGCAATTAGACCGATGCCGAAGACGACCATGAGACCACGTTTCTTGTGCTTGTTGAGCCGTAACTGGGAGATGGCCGAAATTGGTAATAGCAAGAGACCAATGTCTGACACAAGACTGAAAATGGGTGGTAGTGCTACATGAAGCACGCTTGTGGCATCACAATTTCCTATTATGTTTCCAGGGACGGGTTTGTGGTATCGAGAGAAATATTGGATGAAGTACCATCGCACGGGCTTGCACTGGAATAGGTAGAAGCTCGTTGCGCCGAAGAACCAAAGGACAACATAGACGAAGTTGACCCACCAGAAGATGCGGAGTTTCTTGTTGGCCACCAGGAACAGTCGTCTGTAGAAGAAAAGCAGCGTCATCTTTATACTGGTGAAGAAGCTTCCCATCAAAACCATGGTGATCCAGATATGCTTTCCTCGTGCGATATAGTCAGCTGGCTAGGGCTACGACAGAGAATAGGGGGTAGCTGTATTATGTACCCTAAAAGTCTTAGATAAATTTGCGGGATATTCGGCATCTAGGAAGTTTATAGCGAAAACGTGTAAGCCGAGTCCGTAGTGGGTTGCTACCATAAGGTTTGCGATAATAGCATTCACAAGGATCTGATGAGTCCTCCTAGGTATTAGTAACCGCTACAGATAGGCACTTTTAAAGGGGGTGGAAACTGACACCGCTCAAAATGATCGATACGTCCTCAGCCATGACTCGCGAACGGCTCGCTACTGAAGTCCATGTTCCCCATAGCCTTCCAGCGATGGCTACATTGTTGATGACAAGGAAAACGGTTAGACAACCCCAGAGCGCAGGCTGTCTAGTATCGTTAAGATGAGCCTCTTCCTCCTGGGTCAGCACGAGTCCAGACATTATTCAGCTGATGGGTCTTGCTAAGCTCCTCATACTCCATAATACTAATGATAAGCAGGCTAAGGGGTTTCTGGGGAAGCGGAGATCATGTTACTAATAAGCAACTCCCGGTATCCCAGGCAAGCTTACCTTAGGTATTCACGCGATTCTGTGCTCCCAGAGAAGCCCAAGGCTGAGTATTTCAGGCCATGTAGTTTTGATTAAACATTCTACGCCATGCAACCTTGGGATACATTATTAACGCAGGTGGCACGAGTGGGAAGAGAGCTGATAAGCGGTATCACTCCCTGGGGCACTTCCGCGTTCACGATGAAGGCAATCGGGCAACAGGAAGCAAATAGCAACGGATAGTCACGGGTAGCTGATGTTATCAAGCCACAATTCTGTGTGCTAGGTAAGACACGTGTTGTACTATGCCAAAGCAACCAGGAACGATCTCTAGAATGCAGAAATCCCTATGCAGTAAGACTGGAAGTTAGTTAGTTCGGTGAAGCCACGAGGTATGAATGTTCAGCTAGTAATCTCATCTCATTTACTTACAACTTCCAGGCGTCTGAAGAGAGGAGGCTGCGAGTGTAAATAGTAGTGAGCAGTAGGATTTCATGTATGTCTCGGGTCCGGGCGCATATATGCAGCGGAAAGTGTCTATGAGGAAGTTGATTGAATCGTCCTACCCCAGAAAAGTGACGAAAAGCAAGGATACCCTGTATAGTTTATATTAACACTCATTGATCAGCCACCCCTTTCATCCTGCATCGGACGACAATCGCCGCCTTGTACTGCGAACATGGCGGTTTGGAGTCATAAGTGCGAGCGTTTGTTTCGTGTTTGTGATGTAGTACTGATGTTAGAAACGTGTGTCCGTGTAGGACATGATTTCGAAGATTGTACCTGTTGGTGATACCGTACAGATTCCAGAGCTTATAATTAGGTAGCCATGAAAGAAGAGGTGTAGGGGGGTTGGGGTGGGTGATAACGAAAAAGGGAGACGAAAAAGGGAATGGGCTCAACCCGAAGATGTGGTTGTACCATAGTCACAAAGAGTTCGGAGAACAAGCTGGATTAAGCTTTTTCGCCAAAGGCATAATCCAGGATACATTTATTGCCCAATCATCAATGAGATGGACTTGGAGATAAACGAGGCTCGCAATGTGTTGCTACCGTGGTAAGTGTTGTGTTTGGGGTGGCGGGCAGGGATGGATGGGATGGACAACCACGTTCGCTGTCAATCCGGGGGCCAATCCTTCCAGAAATAGATATCGGATGCTTTTAGAGTTAAGAGGTAGGTACTATATGTATGCAGGACCTGCCTCCCTAAATACAGCGCATTCTATGTGGATTAATTCTAAAGATAAATCTAAGTATTGTGTGCACTAGTTAACTAGTAGTAAATGAAAGTAATTTCAAGTTTCTGTATTCCCTTGCATCCTAAGTATGATAATATACCTGATAGTGACCTAAACTTACATGATCGCTTTGGTGCCTGAGTAACACAAACCAGATGATACATGTACCTTAGGGATAGAAAATGAACTAAGTGCAAGTACCCTAAAGATACTAGCTGCTCATTAGGTAGTTACCGACAATCTGTAATGAGCATTCCCCCAAATTATTAATTGGCCGGTAGCGAGATCCGTGGTCTTTCTACAGTTACATGGCAGTAGCGATGGTCTAAAATCCGAGGAAGGTGCGAGACCGTGAAGATCAGCACTTGTACCACACAACTTTTTAGGACAACCCAGGAACAAAGAATTATAGATTCTTTTTTTATTTCTTTAAAACTGCGAAGTCGGCGAGTTGATATTTTGAGCTTTTTTGAGGCGTTATCATTAATGAACCGGGGGCTTCGGACCCTTAAATATTTCTTTCGTCTTTCGCAGCCAGCCTGTTCACGTTCATCTTCAATTCGTGTTACCCGCTGGTCTTGGGAGGTTCACAAGGTTGCATTACCGCGCCAAGTCTCCCTTACCCAGTTGTCCAATACCTTGACAATTTGACAATAACTTGATCGGTCATGTCCCAAGATAAGACAGCCTCTGCCCTCGAGGCAAACGAGACTGCAGTCTCCCAGCCTGCCGACTCTCAAGATGGCATCCCTCAAGATGTCAACCTCGCGGATTACACTCCCGAGCAGGAGGCCCGCGTGGTCCGCAAGTTGGACTGGAACTTGATGTCGCTCTTCTTCGTACTATGTGAGTTAATAACCCAAATTGTATATCTTCGGCAATATAATCAATATGCTAATATGAACTTTTAATGCCAAGACATGCTGGCCTACCTCGACCGTGGTAACATAGGCAATGCTAGAATCGCTGGCATGGCACAAGATCTCCATCTTGATGGCAATCGATACCAGTGGCTTCTCAACATCTTCTACATTGCTTATGTCGTCTTCGAATTCGGTGTCCTAATGTGGAAGATCTTCCCTCCTCATATTGTTGGCGCTATTGTCGTCTTTGGTTGGTAAGCTACTCTAAAGCATCCGTGTCGATCTCTTATAGTGTTCTGTCTGACTAACCATGTAAAAGGGGTTTGATCGCTACGGTGCAAGCCGGTGTCCACAACTGGAGTGGTGAGATGGCTCTGAGATTTTTCCTCGGTGCCTTCGAAGCTTGCTACGGGTATGTTGTAGACTGCATCAATAAAGCCAACCCTTCGTTGATACATGACTGTTGCTGATACTAAGCCCATCTAGACCAGGGATCATCTACCTCCTTTCGTTCTTCTATCTTCGACACGAGATTGGTTTCCGATGTGGCATCTTCGCCTCTGCAGCTCCGCTAGCCTCGACATTCGCAGGTGCTCTAGCCTATGGCATCACAAGCGGACACTCGCACCTCGCTAACTGGCGTCTGCTCTTCCTCGTCGAAGGATTGCCGACTATTATTATGACCATATTTGCCTTCTTCTTCATCCCCGATTCTGCGGAGAAAGCCAGATTCTTGACGGCAGAAGAAAAGGATATTGTCAGATCCAGGGCTATGCGCCAAGTCGGCACCAACGCGAATGCCAGAATCGGAGGATTTAAGATTACGGACCTTTTGCCGGTATTCACTGATTTAAAGGCATGGTTATGTGGACTAATGTACTTCTGTGGCAATGTTACTTACTCCAGTCTGCCTGTTTTCCTCCCGACCATCCTACAAGATATGGGCTACACTGCTATTAATGCGCAAGGTTTATCCGCTCCCCCGTCCTTCGCGGCCTTTTTGTTCGCCTTGATTACGACATGGATCGCAGACAAAACTCAGCAGAGATGCATCGTCCTCATGGTTACTTCGATCGTGGGAGGGATCGGTTACATTATCCTTGCCACCGTTGAGACTGTTGGCGTTCGTTACTTCGCGACCTTCCTGGCATCGGCTGGCGTTTTCTCTACCATTCCTAACATCCTCGGGCTGACTTTAAGTAAGTACGCCCGTATCCCTTGTGTCTCCAGTCAAGTATCTGGGGGAGTATTCGGGTATTAACGAGTTTCATAGATAACCAAGGTAGCGATACCCGACGTGGAATGTCCATCGTTCTCATCAACGTAGTCGGCCAGTGTGGACCTTTCCTGGGAACCAACATGTTTCCTACGAGTGACGGCCCCAGATTCATTAAAGGTATGAGCGTTTGCGCTGCCTTCATGTTCTTCTCAGCATTCCTGGCATTCTCCCAACGCCTACTTTTGATGTGGGAGAACGTCAAGCTCGACCGAGAGTACGGTACCACCACCAAGGACAAGACCACCGCGAAGTCGAAGGAGGTTGCTGCGGAAAACTACGGCCCCAACTTCAGATACGTACTTTGAGATGATTCAGGATTATAGGCCTGTCAAGCAGCCTAGAATCGTTGATTTAATACCCCCTTTTCCAGCATAGCCTTTCAATTAGATAGAGACTACTAAGACAGGGTTACTAGTCTTGTTAGGAGAATGAATAAGAATGCAATGATTAACATGGACAAGAGTTTTCAGTGAAATAAAACAGTGTTCGACCAGCTAACTTGGGCTTATGATGAATCTAACCGTGTCATCCAATTGCCGTGAGCGGCCACCAGTAAAACGGTTGATGCTCACAGGATAAGTTAGGAACATACAATTCCCAATGGGATTCGAAACAGACTGACCAGATTCAGTTTGAACCCTAAAGCGACCGAGGGACCTAACCGAATGGGTTCACAACTCTCTATCTATGGCTCAGAGGCTAGGATTTTACCTTGATATTAAGCATTTCCTCATCCACAGGAGGTGGGTCACGAGAAGTCCGGAATAGGGGCCCCACCCACGATACGATTCGGCACATCATTAATAGCCATCCAGAAATGCATTTTGGACATATTATGTTTGGAATTTGCTAAATTAGGAGACCGCATCTCGTGTCTAAATTTTAGAGTTACGAGCAACGTAGTTCTATAGTTCTATTACTATTAGCACCAGCCTCCAACCCGCAATCTTACGGCCCATCCCGAGGGGAAGCTAATACTTAGCCCCGGTATTCAGCGGGCTCTTCGGGTCGTACACATCGGTCGTAATCACATCGGGGTACTTGACATCGCCCTGCTTAAGCGCCTTGTCCATAACCTCCATGATAACGATACTCTCGGACCACGGCATAGTAGGGCTCTCCTTCTTGCCGTCGCGCAGACATCGCGCGCACTCGTCCGCCTCCCAGAACATGCCGTGGCCCCAGCCTTCGCGCTCCGGGTCCTTCGGGATCGGGCAATCGACGACTTCGACATTGCCGCCGCCGTCCTTGCGCACGATCTTGTACTGCAGGGGCGAGTAGGCGGGGCCCATGACGTGGATCTCGCCGAGGCCGCCCTGGATCTTGATGGCGGGGCCGCCGCTGTTCTGGCCGTCGGTGTTGGTGGCGAGGCGCAGGGTCGTCATGGCGATCCCCATGCTCTTGTGCTTGGGGAACTGCAGGATGATGTTAGTCGATTCGTCGGCGCCGGTCGAGTACTTGTTGATGGCGGCGATGGTGTGGGGGGCTTCTTTTTCGGGCTCGGGCTGCAGGTGGTAGAGGATTTGGAAGAGCCATGTTAGGGAGTAGATTCCTAGGTCTAGTAGTGCGCCGCCTGCTAGGTCCGGATTCACCATTCGGTGCTCGTTGGGGAATGTTAGGGTGCCGTTTGGTCCGTCACAGCCAAATGAGTTGTCGGCTACGATCTGGTGTTAGTACATATGTGGAATTTGTAGCTTCGCTGCTATACCTTCCTGGCGCCTCGTCTAGGGTCTTGGAACTTACCAATAACTCGATATACGGGGCCAATGGCTCCGGACCGTACTAGTTCTCGGATCTTGATGCTGAGAGGGAAGTACCGTGTCCAGACGGCTTCCATCAGGAAGAGGTTCTTGGCCTTGGCAGTTTCAACCAGCTTCCGCGCCTGGGAAGCGGTGACTGTAAAAGCCTTCTCACACAGAACATGCTTACCGGCTTCCAGAGCTAGCATAGTGTTCTGGAAATGATGGCTGTGGGGAGTTGCGACGTAGACGATCTCGACGTCCGGGTCGTTTACCAACTCGGCGTAAGAACCATACGCTCTGGCGCCTTCTGGGGCCTTGACCTTTTCGAGGAAAGATGTGGCGCTCTCCTTGGAGGATGAGGACGCGACTGCGATCACCTTGTGAGCGACGTCGTGGACATCACGCCTTGCGGGATTGGCAAGTAGGTCCTTGGTGAAAGCTATAAAGATGAATTGTTAGATAGGGGAGTATAATCGGTTGTAGCTGAATATAGAACTCACTCTGAGCAATGCCACCGGTGGCCATAATACCCCACTTGAGGGTGAAGGGTTGAGAGGCCATATTTGATGTTTTGTAATAGTCTAACTATAAGTTAAAGTATTCTTATCGACTATAAGAGTACTATTTTCGGAGAAGATAGTATGAATTAGTAGTTTCTATTTCTATAGTGAAGTTTAACTAAGTAAGTTAGATGGGCAGATGGCGAAGTCGTGAGGCACCCCGACGCTGGTCGGTCAAACCGTGGACTCCGTGGAGCGGTGGTGAAGATAATCAAGGGTGGGGTAGTCGGTACGTTACATATATGTACCTATCTTTTTTTATCTACGAAGCTTGTATACCGAGGTAGCTTTTATTCTTAAAGTAGTTCGATAGGCTAATAGTAAACAATATGCGCCGTCTTATCGCAGCGTAGTTCTCCATTCTTCTCACGGGGAAAGTTTATACTACCTAGTGAAAATAGGCGAAATAAACTTCATTACGTCAAGTCTATTTCTTTTTTTTACCCCACGTACGAAGTTCGGGATGATATAAAACCGAAATTGGCTAATTGAGATGAATTGGTACGGTGCTGTACTATTAGGTAATCTCGGAACTCTTAGATGCATTAAATATGTGTAGTTACCTATTGTTGACCGTTATTCGTTATGTATATAGCCTCTCTCATTCTCTCTTCTGATTACCGATATCATTATCAACCCAATCATTGCGTGTTGTATCATCATAGGTCAGATGGACGCACAAGACTTTGGGGAGATGCTACCTAAGAGCAAAGTATCGACACGGTCGAATGACTATAAAAATATACAACTCGGACTAATTCTCGCAGGTTCGGAGAGATCCTTTCGCGCAGATGAGACACAATGCCAGTGTCTGAACCATGGTAATTCAAACCTACTGCTGCTTAATAACTGCTTCAAGTATAATAACTGGACAATGATGCGGCCCACCATATAACCTCAAACCTCCACCTGACCAGCATGCGACGTGTAGGGATATGTTTAGATAGGGATATGTTTAGATATACCTCGGTACATTCTCTAAGCTTCAACGAGTAGCTCCGAATATTTAAAAGCCGCGTCTACCTAGCTTATCCAAATATACTTTATCATTACCATGTAATGACCAGTTAATTGTGATGTAATTGTAACCATAGAACGGATCGGTGAAAACTCCGTGATAACTCTTTCTCTTCTCATTGTTGCTTCAGAAGCCGTGCTACGAATAAGGAACTCTCGTGGACGGGGGAACCAAGGGAGCCGCTTACAAGCATTTAACCTAGACAGTCCAATCATAACAGCCAACAGACTATCTATCTGTCTTCTGGCAAGAAGACTTCCTAGGTAGGTATGTATTGGAACAGTCGCAATGGTCGACTGCTAAGTGTAGCAACGTTCCCTCTATCGTCTGCCTGTAGGCCATGCGGTGTAAAGTATCGCAATCCAATCATAAAATGCTCGCATCACGGACAAGTCAACCCAGCGTTGACCCAGCAAACTTTCTATCTCAGCTCCCTTACAATGGATACGAAAGCGACGCCGATGCCGAAGCTGTTATATGGGACGGCCTGGAAGAAAGATGCCACGGCTGACCTCGTATTCTTAGCCTTGAAGACCGGGTTCAGGGGTATCGACACAGCAGCTCAACCGCGACATTATAGAGAGGATCTCGTTGGGGCCGCTGTTAAACTAGCAATATCATTAAATGTCGTAAAGCGGGCTGATTTATTTGTACGTTGTTGACTGTACGTTCTCTATTAGTTAAATAACATGTTAACAAGTGCCAGGTTCAAACCAAATTCACTTCAGTAGACGGTCAAGATCCGAATAACTTACCTTACGACCTGAATGCGCCCCTGGAAGAACAAGTCCACTCCTCTGTAGAGTCATCGCTTAACAATTTCTGTTATTCGGAGTTTGAGGCACCCTATATCGACAGCTTGGTTCTACACTCCCCGCTTCGTACGCTATCAGACACGGTCAAGGTTTGGGAAACGCTAGAGACATATGTGCCGCACAAAATCAGACAGCTGGGAATCTCCAATACGCCACTGGAAGTTGTTGATTACCTAAACACCAGTCCTGATATTAATATTCGTCCGGCCTGCGTACAGAACCGCTTTTACCCAGCCACACGCTGGGAAGTGGATCTGCGGGCTTACTGTCGAGAAAGGGGCATCGCTTTCCAAACTTTCTGGACGTTGTCGGGGAATCCTCAGCTTCTAATGAGTACAAATGTCCATAAGCTAGCCACGAAGGCGAATGTCGAACTGCCAGTTGCGTTGTATGCGCTTGTGCTTGGTCTCGAAGGTACATCGATTCTAGACGGGACGACTAACGAGGCACATATGAAGGGTGACCTAGAGGGTATTGACACTGTGAGTGCGTACGCACGGAGCGAAAACGGTCAACACGTCTGGTCAAAGTGTCTACGCAATTTCAAGAAACAGATTGGAGAAAAATAATAAAAACGACTTGTATTATATCATATTGACAAGAACTCAACAGGGGCTAGGAAAAGGGGGCGGACTAGCATCAAGTCATGGCACTAAAATGGCGAAGGCCGTTTGGATCGTTCTTAACCGATACGTGGCACGATCGTATCTGCTAAGCAGTTGAAAATTGAAAAATAACACTAGATGAAGATGTGAAATTGACGTAAATTCGCCAATGAGAGAAGAGGTCGGCTAGGTATTACCTTGGATGTCTGGAATACACCAACTGGGAGTTTTCGTAAACCTATGAGAGATTTAACGATCATAAACCACCGGGGAGAAAAGTTAAGAAAGAAATAACAGCTCGTTCCCCTCACCAAATGGCTCAACTTCCACTTTCATCCCCAACCACCCTAGACACTTCTTCAATCAACCATACCCCAAACACCTAGGTAATAATTACGACACCCATCGCTGCTAGCTTAGAGATCCTCCATAGAAGAGCCTCTATCTACGCCGAAAATACAAAGTGTCATGCAATCAAGTGAGATGAGGCAATGGCCAAGTTTACTACGAACACGGCCGTCGTGTGCTAGCCCTCTATAGCATTAGCATGATCATAAGAGAAATACCCTAGGTAGCTTCTAGGCCACTCCCTTATTAACTTATACATATTGTAATTGCCGTTGGACGTGCCTCCCAAGGTAAAATCCCCGATGTTATATTTATAAGACTCGATATGTAGGTAAATCTTCAGCCTAGGAAAAGACATCGGTGTCACGAGGTAGAGCAAGAAACATGAAGATAACTTCGCTGTTCCACAAGGAAATTCAAGCCTAACTATAGAAGCTTGAGCTATATATACCTCTGAAGGTATTTATTCAAGATGTCTCATCTAGAACCCTAACAATCGGTAACCCCTTAGGTAACCGACATAAACTACACCTCCACTATTTCCTTCCGTACTGATACATGTAGATCGGCTAATTATATTTTCTACTTCTAATTTTTAGAGACTGATCGCAAGAGCCTTTCCTATTGCGTTAGTAAACGACCGCCGAGACTTACGTAGTCGTGAGCACGATGCCCTTCCGGACGTTACTCGGCTGAATAGCGTCGAAATAACGTCAAGAAGGGTGGCGCACCTACTAGCATAGTTGTTAGGTAGTAGGCTGCGCCGGTTATTTTGACGCTAGGTATTCTCTGCTCGGTTTATGTAGCCAGCATAGGGATGATACCTAGCACTGGCGGTGGAAAGGGGAACAACCCCTTAATTTGTTTAGTTTACTACGATCCTATGGACATCCGGGCAGTAGGACCCTATTATAGACTACTGCGACCGGTAATCCGCGAAAATACAGCAGGTTGCCTAGGTTCAAACTCCCTTCTTCGTCATAATGTATGGGCACCCCATATAAGGAGGCTTACTAGCCTACCTGTCTATAAACTGCTAAGGGAGATATCGTGTTATAGAATATGCGTTGAAAGGGTTGTACAGCGTACACAAAGGAAGATATAACAACGGGAGGGCTTATCAGGGATGGAAATAGACCGGGATGGGAACAGAGGCTATATAGATCAGGATAAAGCATATAAATAAAAGACTTTAAGCTCGATGATATCACTGGCTGACAGCTCCAAAGTCGAGACCGGGAGGCGTAAGACCGCGCGGCCAATGAGCTGAAATATTAACCAGGCAACTAGCCTACAACAAGCCAAGGAACCCGCCAAGTGTATCTGCCTTCGATTTGTCCTATATTTCCTCCGCCGGGATGTTAGGATCTCACGCATTTCTTCTCTACCTACTAGCTTCATGAGCTAGTGGCGAACAGAGTGTCGTCCTGGGACTACAAGAGTAAGCCGCTCATGTCCACTAAAATGCCTTGTTTAAGGGACCGGTTCACGTGGCTGAGGTGATAGGATTATTGGACGGATTCGTTGGCTGGAACGTATCGGCACATGGCCGTGGCAAATACAAGCGCCGGGCAGACGGCAGCCAAAAACATGATACATCCATTTCAGCTGCCGATCAAATGTTTTTAAATCCCTCTCTGTAAGAGGTGGGACGTTCAGGCAGATTAGGATAGTCGTCTAAGTAGGTTTATAGGAATATCGTAAAGAATGATGATCAGAAAATACCCGTTGTGCTCCTTCAATTTGGTGCTAAAACTAATGTGTTAACATTGACCAGATCAAGGGAGGTATCGTTTTCAGTAGTGAATGGTGATTATGGACGTTACTAGTAATAGGGTGGTCAGTGCAAGAGGATAGGTTATAAATACCTATATCAAGCAATACAACTAGTATTGCTGATCAGGCAAATATATTACCTGTTCCATACTACGGACTTCACGTATGCCCTATGTAAATAATAGCAATCACTCGGACGTGAACAGCCCGCTAGAACGGCTATAAAGCTAACGAAGGTTACTAAATAAATTTCCGTAATTTTTGCTATATTTTCCCAATTATTCTTACTATGATCTTCTCACTATTAACGGAGGTTAAAATTGGTGTGCGCAAATGCACACATATATGGAGATCACTTTTGAATCATGAAACTTTAGCTCTTATTTTATCTTTTTCAACCTAACAGTAAGCCCATTATAGAAATGTACGAGAAAATTAATATACGCTGTCCATCTATGGCAAAAAAGAAGATATGGTAAGTTGTTGCTCGACAGGTTCATTTTTCTACCTCTGAAGCTACCTAAGATATCAAGCTTAGAGAAATTTTCTTCTTTAAGGCCATGAAGAGGCTATATACAACATCCAATTCTAATGCGTGACTAGTATCCAGTTATTAGAACTTAACTTCTCGGCATTGTACGGTGTATGACCCTAGATAAACCGACCGAGACAGCAAATACTTATGCCCGTCCATTGACGTTAAAAAGAAACAATATGAAACCGCAAGTTGCCATCGCAAAACCTGAGGGTTTCTGGGGCTCAGAGACCGCGCGCTGCGTGACGTGTGTGAGCCAAGTGTAGAACATAGCTAGGTAGTTACTGCTTTCCTAAGTTCCTTAAACTGCATGCAACTGACCCTGTTGGCTTATTATATGCTTAGAAATCAACCCCCCAAATGGACGCGCAAACAAGCCAACGATAGTGGAGGCCATACCTATCTAAGTAAAGCTATACGAAAAGTGCAGTGACTTGATGTAACATCACAGACTTGGTACACATTCAATAGTTTCCAACTCGATCATTAGACCCCTGAGCATCTTGCATATGTATGTATGTCTTAGCATTTACTAAAGTTCATCTTTGGGTCGGAAATGGTCCAATCATGCTGATTGCTCACACCATTAAGGGGTTCGGCATTTGTATATTACCTGTTCGTGTAACAAAAGACGACAGGTAATAATTTATACTAGCTATATTTAGTTATTTCAAAAGGCTTGATAGCCTTTAATACCTAAGTAATATTATTAAGTTGTTGATAAGTTGGGTAAATCAGTTAAAATATGCGCATAGTTAAACTATCACAACTGCTACGGTAAAAACTTTGCTGGTATAACTATTAAAAAACTTTAGGTTCACTAATAAGAAACTTGGCTTTAAAGTTGAACAGGTTTTATAATAATACTTTCATACAGAATATTACTTGGAATTAAGTACATGAGAGATGGGAAGTAAAACGTGGAAACACCAAAGTAATACTGACGGGCCCAATAATACTCATGGTTTAAAATTTTTCTCGTATCATTAACACTCGGACTTCAGAGTAGACAATAAAGCACTCAAAGGCTGGAAACTACTCTATTCCATACTAATGCTACAATGCCAACCATCACAGAGAGCAATACCAATCCTAAATCGGTACACCCAATATTATTGCTTTGACCTTTTAGATCTTGTCGCATTGCCACTCCAATCATGATAGATTCCCGTGAATCAAACCCCTCCCGTTCGAGTGGCCAAATCCTTGAAGTGGATAGTTCCGATCAAACGCTTGTGACAGGCATTCGATCCGGCACAATCGTCACCGCTGATAGCAAAGGACCAATTGCAAGTACAGCCGTAGCTCAGCAGCCAAAAGCCCAAGCACCGGTGAGAACGTAATAAGTCCACAGACGTATTGGATTGCTGCCAGGATGATAACATCTACATTATACCGTAGCTCGACGTATTTCCAAGCTTCTGTTATCGCTTTCTATCGTCGTCGCCAACAATGGGGCCACGTCGAATGATATTGCGCCACCGGATGGACTTATCGACTTCGGTAACAGAGTAGTATCCGGCAGCTGACCGCCTTGCCCTTGTTACTGTAATAGCGTCGCTCTAAAACCTTGGCTACTACAACATATTCCCACGGGCCAAGAGTTTCATAGATCAAGAGAGCTTGGAAGATATGCCACTATTTCTAACTTTTGAGGTATTGAGATAGTTGATTATATTAGTCATTATTTATAGGATGTTACCTGAAGTTGTATAATGGGTACTCCCGGCCTAATACTTCGTGTAAGTGCGACTTGAATATAGTAGCCGCAAGTATTTGCAACACCCCCTTTTCCAACCCCATCTAAGAAGTTATTCGTACAACCACAAACACTCAATCGCTAATTTAAAACCGACCAATAAGTTAACATGCGCTTAGTTTTATCAATCCCCTGTCCCGTCTACTGCCCGACTTCAAAAATATAACGGGAGCTCTACGGAACGGCTAATGACAAGATACATATGCCCGCCTTGGGACTAAGTAAAGTCCTACTGCATCGGAAATGCACTCTGTCAAGTTGAAACCCTGCTTTTCAAGCAAGGTAGGACACTTGCCCCTTGACTCTACCGAATTATTCAAACGGAACGTAGCCGTCAAGGGAACCCCAATCCCGATGACTTGTAATATTGATATTCCAGGCATGCCGGCTCAGATTATACTTCCCCGGTCGATCTCGTTCCAATAACGAATAGTGCTACAAGGTCTCTGTTATTCGCCCCGATCTCGATTTGCCTTTGGTACACCTATTACAATTCTGGAGTGTCATGAGGTGATACCAACTACGAGATCAGGGTGATGATTGCTTATAAGAGTTTGTAGATAGGTACCTACATATGTTAGGTACCTTAGGTAACCTTAGGTAACCTTATGTACCTAGGTACCTAGGTAGGCATTGCAGATTAAGTGCGGACAACACGGCACATACCAACACAGCATAAGAGGTATGTACCTAATATACCTAGGTAGTACCTACGATTAGTACTGTATTAATAGGTAACGATACACTCGAAAATACCTGATATACATTAGGTAGGCATTTTTTATATAAGGAGGAGGTATGTATGCTCTACACATAACCAACCAGAACAGTTGAGTTGCTATCAATTCTGCCAATGCCGCCAATGCCGCCAACGACGCCAAGCATAATACTTACAGAATTCGTCAAGTTAGGGCCATGCAATAACGCAATCAATGCATTGTTATAAGAGCCGAAATGAACATGTCTGTCTGCATGTCTCGGGATCGTACCGGTTCGGATTTGTCGGTCTTGCTTGCGGTGCAACGGAAATATCTGAGCACATGGCCAAATTTTTATTTCTCCTTGTGCGGGCCGCATCCATGCCCCATGCTTCCAGGATCTGGGGGGTTTTGGGAGAGAGGGGGGGGAAAAGAGATAGGAGCTGAGCTGCAAGATCTAAGACATGCAGCAATAAACTCAGTAGGAACCAAACCGGTTCGAGCCGGGCCATCGGGGCACATCACAATCCTAGCGCTTGAACGCTTGATGCTTGACAAGTTTGACACTAACGGACGCTTGACAGCCTGACAAGACGAACCACGCCATTAAAAAACGAATTCCCCACTTTGGATCTCGGAGCGTTAGTTTAGCTTGGGGGGATCTTACGTACCTAATATACAAGGTACCCCCCACCTAACCCTAGTACCTAAGTACATGAAAAAGCCACATAATAGATATCACGATTAGGTACCTAATATTTATTCCGTAGTTTAATCCGATTTTTCCCCCACTTTAAATTTTTTTTTTTTTCATATTCCTTGCTGCTTTTACTATAGTACATATGATTATGTACTTGATCGATATTGGATTGGACGTGACACAAACTATACATTTAGCTGCATGCTTTAGGCACATAAGTTATAGGGCTTTTAAGTCACACAGCAACAAAATCGATACATGTATATAATAGCAGCGTTATATAAGTATATATACATCTACATATACATACATCCGTAATCAACGATCTAGCCTTCGGGGTCATTTGTCAAACACCCCCACTCACCTACCCGCCAAGTGAGCAACTTTACCGGGTTACTGGAACCTTCACCTCCTTACCTTATCCCAACGACAGCAAGCTTTGCTGTACTACCGCGAGCATATACCATACCTGGTTTAATCAGAGATAACCCTTGTCCTGCCTATACCGAGCGATATCAAGTTATAAGGTAAATGTATATATGTACCTATCTGCATATGTATATCTGACTCCAGCTGCCCTTGTATCTCGGTCTCGATTTGATCCTCATCCCTACCACTGCACGCACGCACGTACTGTATATGCATGCATCATCCAGGTCGCTGCGTTTAATCTAAACGCACACCCCCCTAAACCTACCCTGTACTAGGTATCCTTACTCTGACTAGATCCAGCACCAGCATCAAGCAACTTACACGCCCGCCAGCCAACCATAGCCTCGCGTGTGTACCACCATGCAGCAGCAGCAGCAGCAGCAGCAGCAGCAGCAGCATCAGCAAGAACAAGCGCAGAAACCTGATCTAGGCTATGCAGAAAGTGAAAGTGGGATGGAACGGCGGCAAGACCGCGGCGAAAGCAGCGACGATTCCGCGCATCTTAGCGCCAGCAGAGGTAACTCTTGTTCTGCATCTGCATCTGCCGTTGTCGACGGCACCGTGCCCAGAGAAGCGGTCACTCTGACCGGTGGGCGAGAGTTCCACCACCACCACCAACAAGAAGTCCGGCATCAACGCCAGCCGATGCACGAAGCTGTGCCCTCCACCTCCACCTCCACCGGTTCGCATGGCGCGGCTATACGAAACCAACAAAGCCACGTTTCCTCATCAACTGGTACTCGAATTAACTATCCCAGTTCCAGCCCTAACGCTACCGCTACCGCTGCCGCTGCCGCTGCTACTATCACTGCCGTTGCTGCTACCGCAATGGACGCGAATACTACTGCCGAGTCCTACGAGCAGCAGCACGTGCATAGCGTATACGAGACTATCGCGTCGCACTTCTCCGCCACGCGGTACAAGCCCTGGCCCTTCGTCGCATCCTTCCTGTCGTCGCTGCCCCCCGGCTCCGTGGGCCTTGACGTCGGCTGCGGGAACGGCAAGTACCTGAATGTGAACCGGGACATCGTGATAATCGGCTCGGATCGCAGCGCTAACCTGGCGCGGCTAGCTCAAGACCTAAAAGCCAAGGGAAGTAACGGTGCCGACGTAGCAGGCGTCGCAGACGGGCTATCGCTCCCGTTTGGAGGCGCGAGACGCGTCGACTTCGCCATCTGCATCGCGGTCGTCCATCACTTGTCGACGCGGGAGCGTCGCGTCGAGGGCTTGCGGGCCCTGCTCGACTGCGTCCGTCCGCGCAGCGGCAAGGTCCTGGTATACGTCTGGGCGCTGGAACAGGGAACCAGCCGCCGCGGGTGGGACGAGACTGCAGATCAGGACCAGCTAGTGCCGTGGGTTATGAAACCTAATAAGTCCAAGAAAGAGAAGGCGGGAGAAGAGGCTAGTAATAAAAAGGAAAACAACAATACCAGCGGTGCGAGCGGTGCGAGCGGTGCGAGCGAGAGTGCAGGGGTAGCAGATGCTACGTATCAACGATATTACCATCTGTACAGAAAAGGAGAGCTGGAGGAAGATGCTCAGGCAGCTGGAGGCGAGATTGTAGAGAGTGGCTACGAAAAGGACAATTGGTGGGTTATAGCGAGTCCCAAAGAAGAATCCTCGTCGCCGTCTATAGGATCCCGATAGCAAATAGCAATAGCAATAGCAATAGCAATAGCAATAGCAATATTACTACTACTAGTAATGATCACGCTGTCAAGTTACACAAGCAGGCAGCCATGGAACTAAATTTTTATTTTGGAAAAAGAATAAAAAATAAAAAACAGAAAAATGCTGTACATACTAAGAAGAAAAGCCTAACTGCCAGCTACGTTAATTCGTATCGCTACCCAACAACTCATGACATACCCAGTCAGCCCAGCCTCGTCTGCCTATTCCCTCAACCCTCCCTGTCCTAGTAAATGCCCGCCCGTCACTACAACAACAACAACAGTAATAATAATAATAATAATAATAAAACCTGATACAAACAAAAACAAAAAGCTACACAAACATAGCATAATCCGTAAAAGCCCCGTTTCCTCGATACCCATACACATTGATTTGATAACACCTCTCGCCGTTTGACTCCTGCTGCTGCCTTGTCACATACCTCATACCTCATACCTATCTATCTATCTATCTATCTCCCAGCCAGCTTTTTCCGCGTTTTGCGTTTCACAAAAAGCAGCCACCACCGCGATCGGGTAAGTGGTGGTGGTGGTATGACTACAACGTGGATCGACTACCTATGGCTAGATAGAGATGATAGACAGACAGACAGACAGACAGTAAAGTAATAGGAACAAGCAAACGACACATACACACACAGAGGAATAAAACCCCGGAAACAAAAAAAAAACAAAGAAAAAGATACGTCGTCGTAAATAGTAGAACAATACAAAAAAAATAAAAGTAAAAAATAATAAAAAATAAAAATAAAATAATAAAAAATTAAAGCACTTTATGTTTCGTCCTTTTCGCCGTCCCATGATTGCGAGGAAGAGGAAAGACGGCCGAGAACAACAAGAACAAGAACAAGAACAGGCCAATCCATTCGGAATCTGAGAGTAGAAAGAAGAAAAAAGGGAAGGTAAATCTGGTATGTAGGTAGGTATGCCCACCTACCAACGCGAGCAACATCCGGCTCTTTTTTCCACCCACCGCCCAAGTTCCCAACCGTCCCGCCCGTACCTACTACCCCATTCCACCTTTTGTGAGTGTGTGTGTGTGTGTGAATGTGAATGTGAGTAATCTGTCTGTCTGTCTGTTTGTCTGTTTAAGCTTTTCCTCGCTTCTTCCTGTTGCTGTCGATACATGAAAAGTTCGTTTCCCGTTGTCAAGCCTGATTCTTCCAGATCAATCCAATCCAATCCAATCCAATACAAGGCCTGCTCCGACCCTTTAATACATCTCTGTTTCTTTTTTTGTTGGGTTTTTTGATATTTTAATTTTGATTTCCTCGGCATTCGTAGCACTCATAAATACCTCCCAACCAAGGTAAAGGGGAACCTAGGTCGGCAATAATAATTCAAGACCCAAGATCGAGTCCAATAAACAGACATATCTACGTAAAATCTCGTGATTAATCTTTTTCCTCTTTTTTTTTTGTCTTGATGAGACTTTGGTCTAGTGCCCACGTTCGTGCCGCGGGATATTTGTAATGTCGTAGGGTTCCGGCCGCTGGTCTAGGTGGTGGTGGTGGTGCCTTCGCCTATTTAACTCGGGAGAGAGGCTGTTGATCTCCGAACCCCTACGGCGTTTCGGACCGGTCGACTCCAGAGGCGGATAGCCTAGAGGCGTCATATACAGTCCGTTTGGGCTTGACGCGGCGCTAAGAGCAGGACTTGTGTTCGGAGGGGGGAGGGAGTATGCCGGTGTACTATAAGGGCTGATTCCCGTCGTAAGCTCGGCGACTCCGGGTAACATGGCTGGCCGCGGTGGCTGGTTTTGGGTTTGTATCGGGGCTAGAGGTACTCCATGATGCGGATATACAAAGTTGTCGGGGGATTGTTCAGGATAAATAGGAACGCGAGGCGGTACACTTTCTCTCCTCGACGCGAGAGGCCGACCTGGTGGCGCCGTCCCCGCACGGCCGTAGCCTCGTCCAGGTCCCGCATCGCGAGAAAGATTACCTTGAGAATGAGAATGGTTGTGTCGTGAATGTGCCCTAGAGCTACCGCGAGGTCCTTCTGACGTCGACGTCGCGAGGGCAAAGGGCACCGTCACTCCTGCACGACGTCGCATGTCCTGTTCTCCGAGTTGCCAGTGCATTGCCTCTGCCGCCCGCCACGGCATCGACATCTCCTCTGCAACTTTAGCCCACATCTCGGACTTGAACCTGTTTCCACCTTGTCAGCTACTAGAAACTCTTCGATCTGACGGATCAGGTGCCGGAAGCACTTGTTCCGAACTAATTTTATCTTCAACTTCAACTAACACCCGCAAATACTATGCTCACCTTTCATAAAGTCTTGCTAACTTATTTTTACGCTCTTCATCCCACTCGCTCCGCTTTTCGAGGTAGTTTTGATAGTGTAGCCTGCAGCTGATGGCACTTCTCCCCGGTAGCTTCTTGGAGATATCATCCCACTTGAGCCCACTGCCCCGGAGTTCAATGATTAAGGCATCTTCTTCAGTAGACCATTTACTTTGTCTCCTGGCAGGGGACTCCGAAGCGTGTGGTGACATGCTGCGCTTTTTAGACGAACTCCCTGTTGGAACTAGTCCTGGCCCTTGCGGTTCTGAAGTGTAATAGAAGGGTAACCCGCCGACAGGTACCGAAGTAATGGTCGCCGTGGTTGCGATGGACGAAGCCCGCACTGATAATCGATTGTACTCGTTGTACTCGGGAGGAGAAGGGGAAGACTCATCCGAGTCGGGAGCCTTGAGGAGGAAAGTGAGATCCACGGTGACGGTAGGAGCCAAGGAAGCCTTGGGTAGGCGGATGTTTATAGAAGCGCGATCTAGCGCTTGTAGTCCTCACGGGCTCTGAGGAGGTTGTAGTGAGTCGTTTTTCTCAGCACGGCTCGTGTTGCTTGGTGATCTGCCAAAACTGCCCAGAAGAGTTTCGGCTCTGTTTGCTTGATTTAAGGTAGGAAGGCAACAGTGAGTTCTCAGCTCGTCCAGATATGCGTACTGGAGTCTAAAGGGCAATTATAGCAATCCGATATTATCAACTCCTTAATACTGGACAGGTACAATTTGGAAACTATCAGTATCAGGTAGAAGACTGTATGATATTTGAGTTAAAAGGGGGGCCTTAGATACGACTTAGAAGTGAAGGGGAGGGGATATCTAGGAAAGCCAGGAGCTCTAGATCAGTAATGTGTGATAATAGTGTTTTTGTGAGTGAACCGCGGCATATGATTGGGTATTCCTCCTCAGCCAATAAACGAACACACGATAACCTAAGAGGCTTTGAAATAATAAAGCGCCGCCAGGCGGATAAGTACAGTACTTCAGTCAGGTATATATCAAATATTTGGCTAGCACAAGGTACTTTCTCTTGTCATTCATGATCTTTGGCCTATGGAGTTATTACTATAGTGGCAATGGACGTACCATAGGTCCACGTTGGGGATGCGCAGTGAAATTTGATCTCGGACGGGGAAAAACAGGAAAAGGAACGCTAGGCGAGAGATGCCTAGAAGAGCTGGCAGAGTAAAGGCTTTCGGTTGATGGGCAGCGCGTAGTGGTCAGTGGGCAGTGGACGAGTAGGTAGCCAGGGTACAGAGAGCCGGTTAGGTTAGTAGCCCAAAGCTCAATGGATCAGGGGTGTGGGTGTGAGAGGGTGTGAAATAGAAAGGTGTGGAGACGATAGACACCGGGTTTTCTACGTTTATAGGTAATAGGCAAGTTGTGTGAGGTATAATAGAGCCCAGCAGTTCGTGTGAGAGTTGGGTAACCTCACCGACTATGCCAGCGCAGAATACATACCGTCTGTTGCCCTCCTCCCGAGGGGATTTAGAAAGGGGGGTGGGAGGAGTTGAGTTAAAAAAGTGACAGCTTTCAGGTGATACACCCTTCCAAGTCGAAAGACATCTAGGGACATCTAGGGACATCTAGGGACGTAACGCGCAGTGGATATTCATCTGCCCGTGCCTGGGGAGACGACTTTCTCATTGCAAGTCGAACAAACGGCTCGTTGGCCATGCAAGCTGTTGACCGGGGGGCTGATGAAATGGCCACGACATTCATGCATGACCTCGCAGAGAACAATTCACCACTTTCCATGTAATTTTGGTTAGTACACTAGGGGTAGCTGCTGAATCGGCGGATTAATGACGCAAATTGAGCAACGAACTGGACAAGCATACAAACGAACTGGGTGTTCGAGAGACCCAGGGCATGACCCAGGACATCTAGGATTGAAGCATCCACACCCCTAGAAGGGTAGGTAAGTTGTCGGCGTCGGTAAGGAAGAATGTCAAGGCGTTGCGGCGCCGGACCTCAAATATAATGGAAAGGTCCCAGGATGTATGTATACTGCAACGTACGCTTTTAAGTCTTTGCGCCGTGTCAGAGTATCCGCATCCAGGCACGACAGGCAGCCTATCTTGCCTATCTTGCCTATCTTGCCATCCATGACCGTTCGGGGCTCTAACTGCCGTTCCCGGGGCTTGAAAACCTAGGACCCTTTGGCGATCTGTTGCAGGGCATCCACAAGGCTTGGGATAGATCGATTCGGAGAATGCAATTCCCCTTGTCGAGCTAATGCCACCGACTGCACATTCCAGAAGCCGCAAATAAAGAGAACGGGTGGCGGTGGCAACTACATACATACATACATGTAATGTAGTGTAGGCCATGAAACTACATAGTCGAGTGGAGATCATGAAACCAGACTCTGCCATACCTACCAGTCTATGCTACTGCTACCTAAGGGTAGTTTAGGTATGAGGTATCCATTGTAGGTATGGTATATGGGATGTACGTATGTAGCTACCGCTGATGTGCATGTGCGGATACGACCTTGACCTACCTGGAAGGGTTTGCGAGGGCTAGCGAGCTAAGAGAGAACGACGTACGTTTGGGATATACCAGTACCGGCCGGACGGGATAAGGACAAGCAAGGTAGGGCTTTCGTCCGGAGGAGTAGGGCACACTAGTATAATATACATAAGGTATAGCATACATATAAGTGGCTTACATACTTAAGTGTGTAGTTCTCTGCCTTCGTGAACATGGGTACATGGGTGTCGATATGTGGCATGTTTGGAGAGGTAGTAGTGGGTGTTGTCAGTTGAGATCGGAGCTGGTTAACCGTAGAAAAGAAGAAAACGGTGTGTGGGTGGAAAAAATATGTAGTAGGCGAAGAAGGTAAGGGTATTGTCTAAGTGATGCGTTCGAGGTTGCTAGGATGGGGTATATCATGTACAATGGGTATAGTAACTTTAAGTATGTACCTTACCTAGTATATTACATACATGCTATACTAAAGCATTGTATACCTAATGTATGTATGTAAGTAGGCACATGTAGTACTATAGACAAGACCTTATGTACTGAGTTTGCAGGTAGGTACGTATTAATGACCCACTAAATTTGGACAGCACTAACCTCTAGTGTTAATAGCAGGGGAAAAAAAAACTGACAAAGAACAAAGACCCTTGTTTTTCGCTCTCGCGGGAAAACGGGCTCTCTCTCTCTCTTTAACGCAGGGTACGTTGCAGAACAACCTGTTCTGTCTAAGCCCAACGTCTGTGCGTGGTTTTTTTTTTTTTTTTTTTTCACGTTTTCATGAACGTCCCCCATGGCGATTCTACATGCTACATGCTACATGATACATACTAACTACATTAGCCCTGGTTCATCTCATACATACGATCACAGTACATCATACGTCTCCTGTAATGGGATACGGGCGCTTATGCTTCTTATTCAATAAGCTTCTCAGCTAGGTACTCATCACCTAAAGAAGTCCCCTCCGCCCAAGTCGTCATAGGAGTCGAGAAAGCTGATCAGTGAACAAACCTTTCCGGGTCTCCGGGAATAGCGATCTGGGGCCGATGAACTGGCGGTCAGCCGACTAGTATGCATGATAGACATTAGACATATATACATATATAGGTACATAATACCTTACATAGATGGTTACTACCTACATGTATGTACCTATTTAGAACCCTACCTAGACCTACCTACCTATTATCTCGAATAGATGGACGTAACAGCTGTGCTGGCCTCCCGTTACGTATAGTACATATAGTACGTATACTCCTCAGCTTGTTTTATTACTCCTCCCCTTTTCTATTATTTTCTCTTTCCCCCTTCAACTTGCCTTACACGTCAGTGCCAAGAAAGGTAGGGCGGTGCCGAACTTCTGTTTTAATGGCGTGCATGGGGGAACAACTGCCATGAGCCATGAACCATGATCTGCTTTGCCTGCACCGCATCACAATTAGAAAAAAGTTGGTTTGGGTCCCATTTTATCATAGGTACATGCAGACATGATGCTTATGCTTGTCAAAGCTCTTACCCATGCGCCACAACAGGAGAGCTCGCGTTGTTTGTTTGCCCTACCAACTTCTGATAGGATAACAGCTCCCTGTCAGGCTGTTCCGTCTTAGGCTGTCTTATATTTCGCACCTCTTCAAGTGGAGGGGTTTGCTACGGTTGGACCGATGTATCGCGTGCGCTATGCTTGAATTCAGGGACTGGATTGTTAATAAATCGGGCAGAGAGAACAGGGGAGAATGAGAAGCCAAAAGAGGACAGCTACATGTCAACTACATGTACACATCTGCAGGATACAATTATATTGTATGTACCGCCTTTTTTTTTCTCCTTTGCGAGTACATACATATGCGAGTGTTGCGGTTGGCGCAATCTGTTTTACTTACTGCAGCTTCACTGTAACTGGTAACAAAATCGTGCTACGTATACTATTCTATCCTTGCAGACGAGGTAACAGCTCATTACATACCTCTCTTCACTTCCTTATGCAAGTACTTCACTGCCTACTTACATGTAGGTACTTGGTTTTCTGCACGCGCCGGATTGGTAGGAAAAGCGAAGCGTGGGGGCAGTAGTGGATGGGGTCGATGAGGAGAAGTAAATCGTTTACCGGCTCGTTTGAAATGTTGCTGCCCGAGCAAAGCGGAGCATATCTAGGCATGCCTAGGCATTATTATGCTTGTCCGTTTGTCAATCAATTAACGAGAAGCGCGCCACAGCCCTGTTCGAGTTTAAGGCACCTAGGCGTACATACCTATGTCAATCTCAGCCATTCTACTAGCAGCTGTGAGAAAGCGTTGGACGAAGCGGTAAACGATAACCTCCGGAAGAAAGGACACACGTAACGCTTAGAAAAATTACTACTGTTGGTCGTCCATCAACCAGTCGTAAGTCGAGGCAAGCCGTCCGTGAGTGTGGCCGTGCTAAAGCCTGATAGACCGGGGGGCGTGTAACGTTCGTGGTCAAGTGAGGCAAGACATATGTATGTACGTATTCTCTACCTTTTTCGGCCTAGGCTTCGATCGAACCAGATTGTCAGGAATCAGATGGGCCAGTCAATCCCGGGACCGTCTAGTTGGGCTCTATGTAGCCCCCAACTTCTCAGCTACCAATATGTCTGACGAGTTCCTCGATACCCCATTGAAAACATTTAGATTCCATCGTAGCCTACGTAAGCAACCTTCACATTTTGGGTTTCGGTACCTGCAACCCGTTTTTGCCCGGCCTCTAGATGGTTGTGTTGGCCTTACATTGATGGATGGTTCGGTTTGGTCGTCTCCTCCCGTTCACGCCACCGGTTGACACCCGTCTAGCCGCACTACCGTGGCTTCACCTAATATGTTCAGCTATTATTATACCCTGATTGAGGAGGCTCTTAGATAGAGATCAAGTAACGGTCTGAGCGCGACAAGACGCCCAGAAAATGTATATTTCGTGGCAGGCTCGATAGAAACCATTATGCTGCCGGATAGTTGGGTAAGGCATTGTTATCAATGGCGGTTTTGCTACTAAACCCATGCCAGGACATGTACCATACCACGTCGACCGAAGGACAACAACAATACCGTTATCCATTATTGCTAAGTCGGGCTCTGACAGCGGGAGGCTGACCGCCCTTAGGGTAGCGGTGAACAATACCGTAGATACCGGATGATGCCGGCAGGAATAGCGCATATTTACCTCCATAACGAGGTCCTGCTGCCCATGTTAGATACACCCACCTTTGGGCTTTATTGCGCTCATTTGACACTCAGAAATCAAAAACATCCTCGACATATTGGTAGAAGGACGGATACTGAATCCATTTAGGGCTGCGATATAAGCGAAAAGGGAATGCAACAAGGGTGTATAATAAATTAGGGCGTCAATCCTGGCTCGGATGGCGCAGTAGGTAGGAGATATATGACTTGTCAACTTTTATTCTGTCACGTTCCAGATTTCGAGGGCAGTAGATGGGTATTGTTTGCTCGGCGCTGTGGTTCTGGGGGGTGTATTAGAACCCAGCTCCCGTCTTCCCCGCGAAGCCCGCAGCCCGTAGAGCGGCTGAACATCCGCGCCTCGTCCTAGGAGGATTGATAGATCTATTTGGAGATCGCCGGTAGGCTACCGTAACTATCAACACATCGTAAGCAGTGAATCATAGGTGGGGGGCATGGTAATAATGATGCTGCAATGGCGTATCATTTCCATGTTTTTCATTTTTCCGGGTACAGGATCTCATGCTGGGTCGTAAAAAACTCGATGAGGCCAGATGAGGCCAGATGCACCAGGTACGATGAGGCCATATGTCCATATATCTCCTATCTTGCTTCGATGTTGCTGAAGCCTGTCGTGGTACCTACCCGATGAGTTGGATCTTCAGGTACAGAGACAATGATGCAAACGGCGCTATCCAAATCGTTGGTCCTTATTCAGATTTAGTGCTCCTTGTTTGTCCTACGTGACAGTGACAAGCGACTGGATCTCGGATACTGGCTGGCTAGTCGCAGGCATCAGTCGGTGGCCGGACGGAATCAATTGACACTTTACGATGGTTTTTTTTTTCTCTTTCCTTCCTCAAGTCATGTGCCAATTATGCGGTACCGATCTGAATTTGGAGTCAACGCTGAGTGGGTTAGGTAGGTGTGCATGCGGACACAATTAGAACCTTGGAAGGTTCTGATACGGAAAGAGAAAAAAGAAAAAGTCGAGAAGTCAGAAAGAACATTAGTCAAGAAGAGTTTGGAAAGAGGATGTTGGGGGTGCATAAACTTATGTTGTACAATGCCCAGATAGGTATCTCTAATGCAAGTGACAGTTGACAAGCATCATGACAGCATGGGAAGCAGCATGAGAAGTCATACCATAACCGCGTAGTCAGCGTAGTATATACTGCATGTACATACCTTCCAAGATCAATGTCCGTGGAACTTCTTTGTGGCTTGCATGTTGTGGAGTTGTGGCGTGCTTTTTTAGTTGCCGCTTCCCCTTGTTTACAGGTTACCCTTGCTAAGTTGCTACCCTAGCAGCCTAGAGGTAGCAGTGTAACCTATCGCACAAGGGTTTCAAACCCATAATTAGGTACCTCTCTTTCGAGATTCCCTCTTGCTCCAACTACATCCCCATTCTTGGATCTTGCGAATACATCGACGCACCCACAACGGAAATTTGCCTTCTTCCATGCAACTATTACCCAACAATCTCGTGTTCTCAACAGATTACCGAGTCTAGCGGCGATCTCATTTGTGCGGCCCGAGAAAAGCTTACCGAGTCGGTCTGGGGTTTGAGGCTTAAACGGCTCCAAAGATTGGCATCTGGAGCCTCACTCTCTCGCGTTCTAGCTGTATCACGCCACCTCCTGCACCGTGTGTACGTGGAAGAAGGCCTGCACGACCTTATCCAATCCCAGAGATCGTCAGCGTTGATACGCTTTTCAGGATCATAATCACCTCGTCTAAGCAGTACTACGATCTAAGCGAGCAATGGCGGATGTTCCGTTGCAAGTCATCTCCGAGAATTCGACCTCTGAACGGCGAATCACTCCCTCGTGGTCGATCACTCAACTGAAAAGGAAACTTGAACCCATCACAGGAATTCCTCCTTCATCTCAGCGCATTAGCTTGAAAACTGCCTCGAAGAAGTCTATTCCAATCGAAGCTGCAGATGAAGATGTTGTGCTTTTGTCGAATTTCCCTCTCTCTGCTTATGCAGAGCTTCATGTAAGTAAGCTGGTTCCCATAGATGCTTTAGGGTGGGCAGTTATCGAGCTAGTCATTGCCGTGGCGGTACTTTATTTTGTCGATACGTGTCATCTCACTAGTCGGCTGAATATGCTTGCATGCGCTCTATCCACCATTATGCACAGCTGCAAATGACTAACTATGTTGTCAAGATCATTGACACTCGGCCAGCTGGTGCCAAGATGAACTTCAATGACACGTCGGGCATCGAGAAATACATCATGCCCCCAGAGGAATACGAGAAGAAATCTGACTCGGTCTTGGCATGGAAAAAGGCGGAAAAACTAGGCCGCTTCAACCCGGATGCTCCCAGTCTAGAGAAGGCTAAGATTGACGCTTTTGAGTTTGAAGTCAAGAGTAGGGGCATAGAGGTAGGCAAAAGGTGCAGAGTTGGCGGCGACGACACTCGTAGAGGAGAAGTTAAGTACGTCGGCGAAGTAAAAGAAATTCCCGGCTCCATAGGTGCTTGGGTTGGAGTTCAACTCGACGAACCGGTAGGGAAGAACGACGGTAGCATTGGAGGTACTAGATACTGGGGCACTGAATCTACGCTTAAACATGGCGTCTTTGTGAGACCAGAAAGAGTGGAAGTGGGCGAATGGCCTGTGCTCAATGATTTGGAAGATATGGAAGAAATATAATTAAGTATTTTATTGTTTATCTATAGGTACATAATCCGTGATAGGGGGTTTTTTAAAGATGCCATAGAACTGATAGAGGTATCCCCACCAGTATGTTCATAAGGGATAATTAGGTAGCTAGTTAAAAAAGAAAAACATCATTTGGGGAGCACCCAGTCCTTAATCATTCCTACTATGTCTTAGTAGGCCTAGTTTTGAAACGAAATTTGTACGTGGTGTAGTTATATATATGATGCCTCAAAACAAACAATTAGATGCACAACATGTCGTCCATTCATCTCGTATGCTTTGAATCTACTTAATCATCACATTAATCGAGTACACACCTCCACGCCGAATTGGAGCATGGCCCTAATAGTGACGAGGGGCCGAGGAAATTTACTAAATAACGATTACCTAGGTACATAAAGTAATGTTCTTTTATCGAATATAATGGTTATTTGAAGCTAGTGGTAAATTGGTTGAACAAAGGCGGTGTGAACCAGGTTGACGTTATAGTGAACAGTGCTGTCCGACTATTCCACGAATTCCCTCAAACATAGCAGGTGTTTTATTAGATACCGTTAAAACGCTACAAGATGTTTGGTACTCAGCACACAAATCGGCATCGCGTCGAAAAACTTGATCCGACATCTCCCCCAGAGTATTGTACGATAAGAACATCAACTTATGTAGTAGTTACATTCGATGTAGGTTTGGTATCCAAGACAAGGAAAGCCTTTAAGTAGACAAGAGACATGGGTAGATCGTACAGATGCATTTTAGGAAGTAATATTGTGTTTGGTATCACAGCAGTGCCGAAGATACCGAGAAACCACAGTACTACCTACGTGATGTTGTACTCAGGAGGAAGCATGAGTTCCTAGTGGAACAATGTTTATGAAGAGATAATATTTTCCAGCTGACTCGTGAGAGGAACAGCGTAGTAGGAGGATTCTCGCTTTGAGATTACCAAACATGGCCTATAATATTCGCCCCATGCAGTAATTCAACTTGGAAATTTTACACGTAGGCATTGAGTTGCAAAAGAAGTATTTATGTACCCGTGAACTGAACGAACTATACATTCACCACATGCTATACTCAATTGTCTAACCAATCAAAAACGTGTATCAGTTTCACAATGGGCCATGTACTCGGTTTACTTTTATTATTCCAATTTAGGGGAAAGTTACTACCAAAACCGAGGCTTTGATATAGATAGCTGAATTTATACAGTTACTTAAGGATTAGCAAAGTACCAGCAAAACATCTACGGTAAGTTGATGCGTAACTAGTACATATTAACCCAAACATATGTACAAATTGGACTTTAAGCACGATGGCTAATACTATATGGAAATCTCAAGAACTCTATTGAATCGATATAAATTTGCCCTATAACAAGAACGATAAACACTTTAAACTAAGTAATTTTTCTACTTTGTAAGACTGAGTTGCATTGAGCTATATCGGAGTATTAAGGTTTTGAACATGGGGACCGTGCACTTTTCGGTAAAGTTATTGTGAATCAGATCTGAATCTGACATAGACCAGGGTCTTAACGTGTTTGAGGTTTATCTGCAGCGCCTACCAATTTCAGCAGGTATTCCGTACATACTAGTAGCTTCGGGATTGTACACAATGGACCGAGCCAATTATGGACATTTCCTTACTTGGGTAACTGAGCGCGTGATTTTGAGTTCGAAGTAATAGTTTGAATTATTTATAAGAATAAGTTAAATGATTATAAATGAAACTATTATAGAAATTAACTACTAGTTAGAAAGAGAGACTGAAGCTAAGCGAACTAGTAATTCCCGCGCTTCTCCTCAAATCTACCCCAGAATACGAACTAGGTATGAGATACCAAGTAACCTGGTTAGCATAGCGGGGGCGTAACAGATAGCCGAATTTCCGCATTTAGATATGCATATTCTAGATGAGGCTTGATATCTCATGCAAGACAGCCAACTCAGTAACAAGGCATCTATGATACAATAGTTATGTTAGATTGCAAGCATTCTATAAGCCTCAATCTATAGGGTGGTAACAAATACCAAAGTTCAAATCACGTTGTGATTGCGCGTAAGTATAGTAATCATAGTAATCCATCATGTCCGTTTACGTATTCAAATGGCTGTGCACCGGAGAATCCTACTATTGTTAACCGTGCCAAGCTGGCTTTGCTTTAAAATAAAGATGGTGCCAAAACAATGCTCGTCTCGAAATGTCCATATACGTATGATAAACTACATGGCAACAGTAGCGGTACTTATTAGATAGTAGATAGAAGACCTTCGATTAATAAACATAAGAGACTATATGTAACGAAGTCCTTTTAGACATATTGAACTGATTACCAATTACGTCAAGAACATAGGTAGTTATTAGTGTTACGCAACCTAAGGGAAAGGATGACCTACAGGTAATAGCATGTTACAAAACAAGGCCGGACTAGTGTCGTTGCGGCTTAACCTAGGGAGTTGCGACTAGCCGTCACTCCGATCTTGGCATTCCAATGCCGTCGAATCCGTTAGGTGCAATGCATATGCTGCACACGGTCGGAAACCGCCTTTTCCCCACATCCCACCCGCTCGCTATTCTCCAAGTCAAACCATCAACACGTACTCATACAACCTGAACATTATCCCTCGACTTCCCATGTGTGCCGTCCGACAAACGATCCAAAACAAAGCGCATTGCCGCCAGCATTGTCGATTATACCCGATCCTTCCACGATACCCGTAGTACCGAGCGCTTATTATCAATCGAGAAGATAGAGAAGCATCGCCGAGCTCGAAGAAGAATCGTATAGTTTTATGCTTGACTCTAGTGAGCATAAACCTTGCTGAGATGCGACACCAGCTCTGCGTGTGTGGCGCTAAATAGGGCCGTCCTCATACAGGAGCCAACGCACTTGTTGGATTTCTTCCTGCTTCTTACCGGCCTGGTTCCGTCTATTCCTCTCTTTTCCGCTTTATTCCGCAACGGCTGGCCGATCGTGCGAAAGCCAACAAGAGACTCAATATGGCGATGTCGACCGTCGCCAGTTCCGCCAGTGCGGTATGCCTTCTCTTGTATCTCACTTGCATCATTTCCATCGTATCCGCCGAGGTAGCTACTACGAGTCCGATGCAAACCCTTCCCGATTATTACGAACCATACACTATGGGCCTTACTCTTACCTCCGCGTCTGGTCCTGTTCAAATTGATTACAAGGTTGCGCCTTTAACGGCAGAGGCAGGTTTGAACCAAACAAACCAGAATACTCTGGAGGTATAGCATTATTCAATCCCACTCCATTGACGTAGCAGAGCTGAAATATATGGCAGGCATTCAATGTTCAAGGCCGTATGGTCATTGTAGACCAAAGCAACTATAATAAACTTGATGACAGTATCAAAGACGCTATGGCCTATATATCATGCGATGCGACTACCAACGACTCCTACATCACTCCTGACGATGTCTTGAATTTGGTTATGACTAAGCAGCCAAAGGCTATATTGCTATTTAGCACTTCTGAGGGGACATGTTGCTCTCTTGAGGGATCCGATCTTTCATTCAAATCTGTCTGGACTATGACCGACCAGTCGGATGCTTGGGAGATCAAGAACCAGACTGTCGAGACTACCGTAATTCGTGGGACAATATCGGGGACCGACGCCGATGGAGATTCTGATATCGGTCAATCACAGGGTGGGAACAACTCGGCAGTTGCAATGAGCATTCTATATAGTATCACTGGTTTGATTACTCTGCTATTTCTCATTATCATTGCTACCGGAGCGGTCCGAGCACACCGTCATCCCGAAAGATACGGGCCGAGAGCCAGCTATGGCGGAAGACCAAGACAGAGCCGAGCAAAGGGTTTAGCGCGAGCTGTTCTGGAAACACTCCCTATCGTGAAGTTTGGAGATCCTCAGCCCGCAAAACCGGATCCAGAGAACGAACTTGAGAGTATTTCGGGAGACCAGCAACAACATTCATCATCTCCAACGCAGCGTGAGTTGGCATCAAATAACGCAGAGCAAGGCGGGTCATCCCTAGATGCAGCAGCAAAAGCTATTTCCAATTCCACCACTGAAACCCCAGGCGCTGGCATGTCGGAAGATAGCGGGGCTAATAATGGGCCAACTGAAAACGATCACCTTGGCTGTTCTATCTGCACGGAAGATTTTACTGTTGGACAGGATGTGAGAGTGCTTCCTTGCGACCATAAATTTCATCCTCAGTGTATCGACCCGTGGTTGGTCAACGTGTCTGGTACCTGTCCTTTATGGTAAGTAATCCAAATTAACGTATTCTAATGTTTTGGAAACTAATAAGCATCCAACTAGTCGACTCGACCTCCGCCCACATGAGGAAGAGGAAGAAGACGGCGAAGGCGCTTTGGCATCAGCTCATCCAGATACAGTGAGCAATGGTCCCGTTGACAGTCACCTAGCTCCTCCGCCTGAGGATGAGGTAGACGCGACGCAAAGGCGACGGAGGTCACGACTCCTAGACTGGAATGGGCTGCGCCATGCTACTGTCGACGAGCGTATTCAGGCCCTTAGACAGTATCGGCAGACACAGGGAGCAAGTTCTGGTAATGGTTCGGCCGAGGACCAAAATCGACATGCGAAATTGTCAGACCGTCTACGGGAGAAGTTTCATATTCGTACGAGAGCTCACCCCCCGAGTGACCTACCACCCACAAGCCAATAAGCTGCTTGAGTTCACACTAGCACTTATTAGGTATACCCAGCCCTTTTATTGTTGGTTTGATAGATTAGTGTACAGTTGCAGCTGTTTTAGTGTGACAAATAATGCAATACGCGGTTTCGATGTGGTTATGAGGTGATGATATGAGGAGGGAAGATGTTATACCTCGGATAGAACGGCGTTAAATCTTATGTTGGAAGTTTGGGTATCAGGATACGAGGATTGCATTGGCCGGCGTTGGTGGCTATCGAGTTATCGGGTAGTTTTGCAACTAGATGAACCTAGGATTGTGCAGGCGTTACGCGAAGGACGCGATGGATTTGAAGCAGGACGGCGACGAGATAACGCCGTGAGAGTACAGATATATAAGTTTGTTACTCTTTAAACTGGGCTTTGCGTGCAAATGATATTGAAGAGCGAGTATGGTCCATCTCACTTGGTATTCCTATCTACTTGACCCAAAGGTGAACTTCTGAATCAATTGTTGGGGCAATAGATATTCTTGATCATCCTGTAACCGATACTAATACTCTAACCATACTCATTACGTCTCTTATTTAAGTAGGGCGTAGCTTAGATGGTTTACAATGGCTCTAACGTCCTTTAGGGAGCATCATGTGTTCAGCTATACCTAGATAATATCCGATCAAACATGACCCCCCTATAATGTACACGGACAACTAGTAGATTCTAGGAATTAGGTATCATTCCCCTTTTTAAAGGAGGGTAGGTCCAAACCTACCTTCATGTGATAGTGGTGGGGGAGAGCCTCAGCTTTGAAACCCTAAAGCCTTGCTAATCGGCAAGTTTGGTAAAAGTTTATCTCGTCTCACGCTTTAGGGACACGTCTACTTCTCTGCTCGGCTGAGCCTGTGGTAGTAGGGGAATGGTAGTATGTGAATACTGCTACGGGGGGCTGGAAACACTCTACTTGTGGCGTTCACGCAAGTAAGCAGGGTCGTGTTACTTGTTCTTATAGGATCGAGATATGTCAATGAATAGATCTTAGACAGATCAATTTAGGTAGGTTGGATAGAAATGTTCATCTTTCAGACGGCGTGTTAGATGTTAGTTAGATTCGAGGATGAAAATATGTTGTATTGTTTTAGGTTTCAATAGGGGCTCCTTGCCCCCGGGGATTCAAATACCCCTTACCGTGTTCCTCGCGCTTTCCTTCCAGGTAGTTTTCCTTGAGCTGTTAAGTGAGGTTTTAGGTTCGACCCCTATTGGCGCTATTGGTATCTCGCTTGGCAGATCATTTGTTTCCATCTGCACAACATACATACATATGTTTGACCGCGAAAGTTCATCCAAATGGGCACGCGCCAACTATAGCAGGCTTGGATCCTCAAGTTAAGATAAGCCGACAACCTTATTAACAGCGCTATGGCGGCCCTGGGGTCAACAGATTAAACTTTATGTGAGCTCAGTTGGCTCGGACTATGTCCTGCTTCTTTCATTTTGTGACTGGCTTCGGTAGGTCCAGTCATTACTTTGCTCGCTTTCCTCTCGTTTCCTTTCCTAATCATCCATTTTCGTTCGCTCCAGCTTTGAGATTCTCAATATAGGTAGTCTACTAGGTCGTGCTGTCGAGAATAAAACACTCGATATGGCTTCGCTTCTGCTATTTAGGGATGGCACGCCTTCGCTATCGGTTCCATCCCCTAGGCCGCTCGCTGGCACGGTTATTGCAGTGATCCTATCATTCGCTGCTATTACTATTCTATCATGCTTCATCAGTACGTGTGATATCTTATTCCATCTCGTACGGGAGGATATCCGTGTGCTAATAATAGATATAGCACAACGGGCGCTTGCCGTAAAGACATGGTCGCGTCTATCGCTTGTCACGTTATGTACGTCCAACTGCCTAGATCATCGCTCTACAGCCGAGCGTTATACGTGGATAGCTAATTTAGGACATTCATATCCCTAGTGGTCTTCGCAATTTATGTCGATTCCTGGGCCTTCGTGTTCGGGTCGAGTATTGTCGACTACGGCATAGGCGTCGACTCGAACTTAGGCGTCTGCTCGGCGGCCATTTTGCTGTGCTTGTTCTTCTATGTAACGACTAAAGTCTGTCCAATTCTTTCCCCTTCCTCTGCTCGTGTATTGACTTAACGCGAAACCAGATTGTGAGAATGGAACCCGTTCTTAATTGGAAAAATCCACTATGCTCACATTTCTATTTGGGCAGTTAATCTATATTTTCCAGGTCGAAAAAGCTGTATGTGCATGAATTGGTCTGCTTCTCCTGAATTAGATCTGGCATCTCACTAAAACGAATTAGTTTCTACTTCAGGGCGGCACGAAACGACGGGTCGAGTCTAAGCTCTACATTTTCAACTTGTTTGGTGTGCTCAGTAAGTTTATACCCATTGTCAGTTGACTAAGAACAAGGCTCGCTTACTCGTCAATAGCTATATTTGCGGTTATATGTATTTTGACTTTCATCTAGTAAGTCTGGAAAAGGAGCCTTGTAATGCATGAAGAATTTGTTACTCAACTGACCACCACTCAACAGCCGTACAGCGCAAATGAACAAGGGACAGTGTATCATTGGAATGGAGAAACAGGCTCTGATACCTCTCATAGCACTTGAGACTGTGGCAAATGTATGTTACACCAGTGTCCTCTTCATTCATAAACGATCAAGGCTAACGGACGAAATAGGTCTATATCATGGCGCTATTATTGAATCCGCTATGGAGTAAGACTTCTATATGATCCATATTCCATATTCATATGTCGGGTTTTCTTTGCGTATAAGCTGTCTTGGCTGACTCTTCTATCATCACTTGCTAGATATCTACTCGCTCAAGGGCGCCTCTAACGCACCGGCCAACCCCCCTGGTCTACGCTTGGCAGCAATACGGACCTTCGTTGGCGCTCTATTTACTACTACCTCAACTATAGTGTAAGTACTCCCTTCTATAGAGTCATAACTACTGTGCAAGTCCTGGGAACAAAAGCTAAGGGGAGTACCGCTTGAAGAAACCTTATAGTTCTTATGGTGCTCAACGGTGAGCCTGGTTGGATTTTCCTCGCGTGTTGTAATGCGGATAGTAAGTCAGCCCCTTCTTTCTCGCGATTATTATTTGCTATTCAAGCATGCTTCGACTCGTGCAGCGTAGAGCGGGCTGCATGTATCCCCTGGTCTACTTGTCCGCGAGAGATCAAGATAACAAACCTTGAGTAACCAGCCGACTAACCAGTTACCAGTCCTATTCTCTGCGTTGATTATCCAATGGGTCATATCACGCGACGATAATAATACCATCGCCTCCTCTTCCCCTACTTCCAACCCCCCCGACAGCCAAGCCACGTATCGTCCGCCCCCGCGCACACCATCGCTTCCTAGTCGGCGCAGCCAGAAACGCGCCATCTCGCTACCGTTGAAAACGACTAGTACCTCGCAGTACGAGCACATCTTCGGGGAAATCGAGCCCGAGACCGAGACCGACGTCGTGAGTGCGAGCAGCGTGTCTAAGCACAAGGCCGGGTCCTCGCGCTTCGATGAGGATAACGATGGTTTCCACACCCCTATCATCTACGACGGCCTAGAGGGCGATATCAGCGATGGAGCTAGGAACGAGAGAGCAACCAGCAGCATCTGGACAAGCCCACCACCACCACCATCTGCAGGAGCGGACGCAAGGGCGGACGGCCGAGATTCAGGCAAATCGCTTACTTCTACCCAAACCCCCACGCACGAAGGTCCCTCTGCTGTCTCGGCAGCGGTGGCCGCGGACCTGGAGCGGATACGCCGGTATCGGGGCCGGCGGACGAATTGGTCCTCCACTACCGCCACGACCTCCACGCCACCGCCGCCGCCGACGTCGACATCGATAACGTCAAGGTCGCACAGCCCCGCACCAGTACCACGAGCATCACGATCGCGGCCAGCGGCGCGCGGGAGCGGGAGCGGGAGCGTGCGCGAGTACTACATTAGCCAGCTGGACTTCGAAGAAGGAGGGGACGCGGGGTCGCGATGGCACGAGCTCATCCAAACCGAAGAAGAGGGGCGCGGGGAGAACGGCGAGAGGGTGGGTTGGATCTAATTAATTTGGAAACGCGAAAGACCAAAAAAAAAAATTGCAATCAGTCAGTCAGTCAGTCAGAGCGAAAGGAAAAAAGGGGGGAGTAGGCAAAAAGCATGTGATCTATGTGATGACCCGCGATACGCTCGCATAATTCGGAACCAAAAGCATATGCGGCATAATTGACAGAAAGAGAGGGGGAAAGTCGGTGCTTAGATCATGGTTGGCAACCTGCACCTATCTATAAGAATTTCGCATGACCTGGTTCCGTGTTTATATTATAGTCTCGGGGTTATATACGTTAGGTATGTTAGGTAGCTAAGGTTATGTATGGGTAGGTACCTAAGGTAGGTAGTTATAGTAATGTCTAGTGGTTCGCATATAAATCGCGCGGGTGAAGGGAACCCAACAGTAGAGAATCCTTCCTAGGTTATACCTATCTGGTTCCCCTATGAGTTTGGAATCACGTCACAATCTCCCCAACATTCTACTTGGACATCTCAATTGAAGAGATATTTTAATTAACGGTCTTAAACAATTCACTTAAGTTGAGGAATTCATTCGTTAGCAAAGCATAGCTTAATTGTTTAACCTAGACTATGAGGTAGCTAGAGTTGATTACAGCCATAAGATGCATCACACCTGCAAGACGACAATACAATTATGTTACTGCAAAACAATACTTGAATGAATTTCAATTCGTTGTTATTCGTATCTTCATGAATCTGCCTTGATCCTAAGATATCCTTTCGCGCATGTTTACAGCCTAGTAAAGCAAAGCAGATCCAGATGGATATCCAGCGGCTCAACCGGGTAAAAACCAGTCGAATTATGTACAAAGAAGTGAAATGCCGACGTTTTGTGTTCCCTCGCAATGCAAAATCCCTTACCCCTAAACCTAAACCTAAACCCCACCTAAAACAAAAGTGATAAAAGAATAGAAATGGTATCCCTCAGGGGAATCGTCTTAGATACCTGCGAAGATCCGGCCGAATGAGCTCAAGTCCGTTGGCGAAGACATGAGGCTGCCTTGGTTCACCATGAAATACGAGTACTTCTCGACGAAACCAAACTCGTCGCTGTCCAGTCCCTGGGTGACGGATCTCATGAATTCGTCGATGTCGCCATCCGTTGCCGCGAACTCGGTAACCCAAATAGGTTTGCCCTGGCAAGCGTCGTGAACCTTCTTGATGTGGTCCAGGAAGAGGTTCGCACCGTCATCACCTCCAGGTCCGTACCAATGGGCAGCGCAGAAGTCAACTTGGCATTGGCCGCCGCACGCGTTAAAGAACTGGTTAAGCCAGTCGATACCCATGCCCGGATTTTCGCTGCTGGAAATGGCCGGCGAGCTGATCTTGACCCTGCCAGCATACTTGTTCATGAATTGCTTGTGACCGTTCGCAGCATCCTGGGGAGACATGTTGGCCTGACTAGGGACATCAGGCTCGTTGAAGCTGAGGAGACTGTCGGATCCCGAGGCAATAGCAGCTTCGGCCTTCTCATCCCAGTTGTTAGAGTGGTCCGGCGCGGGAGACCAGAGCATAGGGTAGTAAGCAATCTTGGCTTGTAATCCACCGGAGTCAGATCCCCAGTTGTATGCCCATGAGATCTTATCAGTCTGGCCCACCATAGCGCTAACAAGGTTCGGGTCGTTGTACGCGGCACCTCGCTTGCTGACTGCGGGAGCAGGAGAAGGCGACGGGGAAGCAGGTGCTTCCGTTGACGCGGGTGGTTCGGGATCAGCTGGGGGCTTTGTCTCAGCCGGGGGAGGTGGAGGGGCCTCCGAAGAAGTTGGAGGGGGAGGAGGAGCCTCAGACGAACTCGGAGGAGGGGGAGGGTTCTCAGAAGAAGAGCTTGGGGCAGGAGGACTCTCCGCTGGAGGAGACTCAGGTGCAGGGCTCTCAACAGGGGAACTCTCCGGAGGTGGGTTCTCTGGAGCGGGAGTCTCAGGCGCAGGAGCCTCGGCAGATGTGCTCGATGGCGGTGGAGGGTTCTCGGGGGTAGGGTCTGCCGGAGCGGGGCTCTCGACCGAGGGAGCCTCAGCAGGAGCCTCGACGATTGGGGGAGACTCAACGACTGGCGCTTCAGTGGGTTTATGACCAGCAATGACAGTGTGGGTCACCCATTCAGTAACGACGACGACGTCAGTGTATGCGTATACGATCTCCTTCTTGGGGTGCTTGTGGCGATGAATAGGGCCAGCGCAGACCTCCTGGACTGAGGCTGCAGCGGCAAGCGCCAAAATGCTAAGCTTGGCGTGCATCTTGGGCGATCTTTGTGATCGTAGTGATTGTTGATGATGTGCTAGATGGTATTTTTGAAGTAGTCAATTTGACTATGTAAGTTATGCTCTGTATCCTTCTTTCAAGAATTGTTGCTACGATTTCCGTTGAAGGAGTGTTAAGGTGCCAGCAGTCCAGTCAAAGGAGGGAAGAGACGTATCAGATGATACTGTCAGAAATGAATGAAATTGTCGAAGGGGGTTTGTACGCGCTGCGTATTGGGGTGTACCGGCGACGAGACGGGAAGCAAGTCGTGCAGTCTATCAAAGACGCAGAAGGAATGATGCGAGTTTGATGAGAGATCAGTTGCACCCTTGGACAATAAATATTGGATGTAGTTGCGGCCGTGAGTGTGCGACGTTTGACGGAGGACAACACACAGAGGGTAACTATGTTGGTAGGCAACTATCAACTCAATGCCAGTCACAGCTAGGTGAGGCAAGTAGGTCGAGCTGGCGACCTTATAGAGGAAATGTACACGAAGGGAGAAATGAATGTACGGGGGTAAGAAAAAGAGCGGTGATTCTAACCGAGATGGAAAAAACGGTGCTGAGTGAGAAAAGAATGGATAAAGGGTCCGTGGATGGAGTTTTATGTTGCTGACGGCTGTGAGGAAGTAACACTGAGTGAGTGTAAGTGTGTACCTGCAGGTTCATCCAGCAATCGGGATGCCTGTGGGGCAAAGGGGGGGGAAGACAAGGAGCTCCTTCCACCTTTCTAGTGGCTAGACTCTCCTGGCCAGCCGCTAACTGGGGTAGTTAGCGTCTTTTTAGCTGCAGGAGATGCTATTTAGGGCCGGACGAAGCGCCAAGACTGGCAAGAATCGTACCAGGTATCGTCCTGTGCACTATAAAAGATCTCTTGGAAAGTCAATCCGATTAGCGCAAACCGATTCGAAGTTGACGGGTTTGTACCCAAGTACTAAGATACGAAGCACCTGTCCGCCAGTTCAGACGAAAAGTCAGCCAAACCCGCTGCTTCCTATTGGTTCTTTTGGGACGATATTGAATTGACAACTACCTAATGTACGTACATATAGGTACCTACCTGACATACATGTACCCACAATTCCTAATGCAGGTACGTCTCCTAGGCGGTTGGTTAGGTACATGTCACTCACTGCTAAAGGCTATTATAGTTGAACGGGCGCAACTTAGCAGCTTCTGATATAATGAATCAAACAAAATTCAAACACATTTCCTCCTTATTCCTAAGCATTCCCTTCCAGATTCACTTTATCGACAGCCTCATGCTTCATGCTAAATATACTTTATCAACCTTCTATGAAGGGAAGGTTCAGAGAGAAGGTGTTTAATGTTTCCTATTGTGCCATGTTTACGAGGGCTACCAAACAAATCTGCCAAGCGAAGGAAATCCACCAATCAAAAAATAGAGCCACCCGACTTTCGGTTAACTACAATAACAGGTCAGACGTCTTCTTACGTAGCGCATGCAGGTACCACTGCTAGAGCTGCAGGAACAAGGCACGCATACCTAGGTACCTAAACAGGCCGCTTAACACGAGGAGCGATAGGCTCATGGTGGGAGGAATTCAGGGGTTGTTAGAGATCCGTGTGTTAGTATAACCTTGTATTTTTCTAGTAAATTCAGCCTCAAAAGTACTCTATAATACAACCCAGCATCCCAGCAACAGTCATTCCTCCTGTCCAACTTCTTGATTCGTTCTTGAATTCGTCGCAAATACACAACCGTAGGAAGATGAATATTGTTACAAATACATTGTATCCCAGTTCACAACCTAGGTACATACTTCAAAACACTATCAACTATCATGTTACCGGTACCGAGTTCCTCTTCCCAAATTAACATGCCTTTTTAGTTAATCTACAGAACGGAAGGGAAAAAGGACAAACGGACTCGTCCACCAACAATACTGCGCGCTCTTTTCAACAAATACAGTGGCGGTCTCAAGTACAGGAAATGTATATACAGGATTAGTATTTTTCAACCCCGATTCGATACGATTCGATCCACATGTGAGCCGTGGGTGGTTGACCGAGAGGCTGCTTTTGCGCTCTTCCGCTCTTCTCCTCATCCCGGCGCCACAGTTTCTGATTATGCCTTGCTTCTCTTCGAGTTTAGCGTCTTACGTGGACACATGTTGTGTACCGGCCACCTGGTGATCTACGCAGGCCTTGTATATAATTGACGAGAGAGAATGAAGAAATGTTGCCCTACATACAAATGACGTGGTTTTGAGACGGGAGCGAAATTGCTCACCAAGTAATATCGCTACGACTAATTGCAGCACAGCGTTACAATGCGTTGCCGTACAACTCTGGCGGGAAACGGCATCAAAAGGTATTATTATGGGCTTCCATGCCCATATATTCCGCTCCCCAAGTTTCTGTGCCCCTTGTCCATTGTAACGGCACATCAAAGCTTGGCTTTTTCTCCCTTCGGATAGTAATCGGGCGATCTTTAATATTAATAGCCACCACGAACTGAGTCGAGCAACAATAGGCTATTGCGACGTCGACATAGTCCACAGCTGGACGCTTTTCAGCAAGGAAGTGTTTGTAGGTGGCTGGCTTCTCCCAGCGTCGAAACAAGCCTATCTACAAAGAAAAGAAGCTAAATTACTTTACGAGAGACATGTGGCTCGGTCTGGCAACCTATCAGATTTCAGGGACAATGGCCAAATTTGGCTGTGCTGACTGGGCAATTTGTTGATGCATGGGAGTGCAAACTGATGAAATTTCACGAAAATAATCCTCATCGAGCGCAAACCATGTGGAAGGCATTATTTAGACACGTCACTCAATAATAACTTGGTGACGGGCTACTTATTAGGTGGAGAGTCGAGAGCATATAGAACTAGGTACCTTCGTACTACCACCCGTCGAAGATGTATATAGACGCTGTTTGTTAGTGAGCTTATTCCTAAGCTGTTTGAATGGAGAGCAAATTAAATCAACGGGATTAGTTACAGCATCGGTTTATTTTGGTGAATAATTCGCGGGAGTATCCGAGTCGCATTATGAATATCAGTACCTACGTAGGTACTCTCAAACCTAAGGATTTAGATGATTATGTCTAAAATAGTTACTATGGCTTTCTAGCTACCATTGATCATATCATCATGGCAGTTTTTCATCCTGTGTCCGAGGCTGGAAGCTACATACGTACCTAGGTATTCAGTATATGCTGAAGGCTAGGTACATATCGCATGATAACAAAGCTTTATGTATTTCTTCCAATTTGTATAGTTAAACAATTGGTCATGGCAATTAAACAAAGCCTTTTAGGTGCACTGGCTTTGGCTTTCAAGTATTATTCCATAAGATCCTATCATAGGAACAATGAGCTGTTTTTAAGGAACCCTTTGTCAGTGCCATACGTACGGTCGATTCATTTGGTGGGTCGTTTGCTAATCAGGTAATTTGTCACAAACCTCAAGTAAGGTTGCCATTGTTTCTGTAGAAAAGAAGCTAAACAAGAACAATCATCTCCATAACGACCTTCTAATATAAAGCTCTAAAACAAAAAAAAACTTAAAATACTTAATTCATCTATTTCAAACCCAACTGCTTAAATTTTCCCTCTCCCTTTAAACTTCTCCATCACCTTTTCCGGGGTTAACATTCATCTCCGTTCATCAATCTAAGCAAGAGTCGGCCCCATATTAACTTCAAGATCACCGGTCCGTCAAGTCATACAAACGCTACCTATCAATTTCGGACCGCTCGATTCCGATGTCTTCCTATAGCGAACACTCGTGCTCGAGTTGCGACTCCGATGCCGAGTCGGTATCTTCATCGGTCCTCTACGTCGAGCAGGAACCATTCGTCACGTTTAGAAATCGAGTCCTTGACTTGGCTCTTCACAAAATCTGGCCCGATGCGACAGCGGATGAGATCACTATAGAGCGTATGATCGGAGGTGGATTTAATCGCATCATCGGCCTGTCTCGGCATACGGCTCAACAACCCGATAATGATATCCGATACATTCTGCGCATTCCCCGTGATGCAGATCAGCCATTAGACAGCCAAGTTGGTACTCTACGATTCTTACATGAACGCTGCAACATTCCGGCCCCAAAGGTCATTAGCTTCGACCACACAGACAACAATGAGCTCAATTCTAGATACATGATCCAGAATCGCATCCCGGGAGAAACCCTGCTATCATCTTATCCAAACCTTACCCATGAAGAGCGATGCAGGGTCGCACGGGAACTTGGTCATGTTTATTCCGAATTATTAGCCACCAAGAGTGCAACGTCCACTATTTTGGTGCCACCTGAAGAAGAGTAAGTATCCCCTGAATCAATGACACAATAGTGTATAGAGCTAACAATTACCAGAGATATTCGAGATCCTCCTATACCCCAAGATATCCGTAAGATGCTTTTCGATATCTTCGAGGGTCAGAAGGCTGCCGAGTTAGAAGCCCGGCCAGATTCCATCATCAGACCCGAACTTCTTGACCAATTCTGCGAGATGACCTCTGATTTGGCCGAAGAGGGTTGGTTTGAGGACTGCCAGATCTCTTTAGCACACTTAGACATGGAGCCGCGTAACATACTGGTGAATCCGACGTCTGATACTGAGCTACCGATCATCTCTGCAGTTCTAGACTGGGACAGCGCCATCTTCGCTCCTCAATTCATGTGCTGCACGCCTCCACTCTGGCTATGGGCGTGGTCAGATTACGAAGAGGAGGACGAGCGCACAGCAAATGACATACCACCCACACGGGAAGGACGCCAGCTGAAACAGCTCTTTGAGCAAGCAGCTGGTCCAAGATATATTCGGCTTGCTTATCTACCAGTTTATCGGTTTGCGAGACAGCTTGTTCGCTTCGCCGTCCAGGGCTTACTGTCCAATGAAGACTACAATGAAGCCAGAGAAATGCTACGAGAGTGGGAGGACTTTTTCTACGAAACTTGTTCTGATGAATCAAGCAATAATTCCGACAGTGAGGAGGACGAAAATTCAGACGCAGAAAATGAGGGCACTGCTGAGCAGGATGGGACGATTATCACCAAGGCAGCCGAGATTTACACTACTATACAAGACTATAGTACTACTACTTGGTCTGCTGAGGACGCCACTATACGGCAGGATGAAAGTACTACTGCTTGGCAATAGCAGAATATTCCAATCTGTTAATTCAAGCACTCTTGTTTAGGAAAATGAATATCTGGCAGTGTAGGATGAGAGCATTACTGGACTGGGAATATGGCGATCCACCAATGTGGATGGTGATGTATCCATAGAAGTTGTAATTTAGTGATCCGAAAATCCAAACAATGCAGACGGATATACACCCCTAATAATTACATTATATGGAATAAGTGCTATTTTGCTGTTGACATACAACTCTAAAAATACATATCGAGATCATATTGTTATATATTTTTTTATTTTTTATTTATTTTCCCCCCCAAGACCTATAACATTAGCTTAATGGAAAAGCCTGGGGTTAATATGACGATATTCTTCGGATACGCGTAACAGTGTAAGTTTTAATCATCTTAAGAAACCGTCTTAAATTCCTAATGATATTATAACCTTGATCGCCCTGAAATATATGCCAGGGACGGTGTATTTGCTGTACTTTATATGGGATAATAATTTTGCCTCATACAGGTAGGTTTCCTTTGATCATAACTAGCTCTTAGGTGTAGCTCTTACGTTCATCACCTTTTTATTAACTGAAGAGCTTTAATATACCTAGTAATCCACTATTCCTCGGCTTAAGCCTAATTTCTGGGTTCGGACCCTTTGATCAAGTGATATTCAATCTCGATAAGTTATTATATCTTCATCTACAAGGTACCTATCTTTCTAGAAGAGATCTACTCTATGGAAATGGAGACATTAATATGCAAGAGGTTCAGCTCCTGTTCAATAATAAAATACAATAATATTCTCAAGCACAAGTGTACAATTATCTGCTGAAATTTATGTATCCTTGCTTTCCTCATGATCACTATCTTCTATTCCCAACGGGCCGACCAGCTATATCACCCTTGAAAACCCATACTCATTTTATTCCCCCCACATTACAACAAATACGCTGGCGACTAGCTGTCATGATACTACCAGCTGCTGCTGCTAATGAGGTCTGCGTTACAGGCCTGACAATCCCCAGTATGAATCATAACGGTCAACAATTAGCGTACGTGGGGTACATTAGAAGCATGATCGTTTAAACATGAAGCCAGCAAAATAAAGGTCTTACTCATCTAGAAAGCTAGGAACAAAGGGTGTGTAGAAAACCATGAATTGCTATATAAAGCAGCTGTCAAGTGCTGCCACTCCAACTGCCCCTTTATTCCATTATTACATGACTCCTTAAATAACGACATCCAGGTCAGAACACGTACAGGATAAAGAAATTTCAACCATGTTTGCCAATGATGTGCCTTTCTACGAACAATTCCTTTCGAGGATATTTGTTATCATACAACTCATACAATCGACGTACTTGTGAACGAACCCATTGTTCCTTTCAAAGTACTCTGCTATGCCAATTATTTAACAATAGGTTGTGTATCCTTCTCACTGCAATGATTCTTAGAGAGATCATCATACAAGCCTTGGCTATAGTAACTTCACACAATACAGACCTGAGATACCGCAGAGAAGCTTATTCATTAGCCCCTTACGAAGTCTCCTTCGCCTCAACCGTCCTCACGCAGCCTACCTCGTCGTCATCACATCGACTGACCAGATCTTATACCACTAGCAAGGTACGGAGTAACTTATTGTTTATACACCTACTTACTACATTCCCTCATCTAACTTCATACGATTATTCAGTCTTCCCCATGCCGAAAGATTTCCGTAACAGTACCCGCCATCACTGCCCCTTGAGGAACGGGAGCAAGGGCAACTGCCGTCGTCTAAATGGCTACTGTTCAGCCCATCAGATCAAGTGTCTGATCCATACAACGGTCCACCTCCTGGGCGAACCCTGCCAGGATTGTGAGGTAAGTAATTCCTGCACACTGAACATCGTTTGAGTTATCGTACTAATATCCGGATTAATATAGAGCGCTGCCGAGGCGGCAGAGCGGAGGGCGGCAGAAGCTGACGCTCCCATGGATACAAAGGATGAGAAGCCATCCAAGAACAAGAACAAGAGAATAAAGAGGTAGTCTGGTTATAATGGCTGCCTTCCTTGTCTTTTTGCTATTTGGTTCAGTTGGATGGTCGAGTCGGCCCAATGGTTGTAATTAGGTTTTCAGGAATTACACCAAGATACCCAATAAACAAGACTCGATAAAACCGAACTAAACACATCGGTAGGAAATCCGGGTTTCGACTTCGGCAGGAGCCATGAGGTAAGGGTGATTGGCAGCAATCCTCTCTAACTTCTAGGTTTCACCGGTGTCGAATATCCTAGACGTGCCCTCTCCGGAGACCTATATAACACATACGCAGCGAAGACATTATACTAGTGACGGCTATATCCAAGATTGTAACTCGAGTATATGAGTATGCTTCAGCTTCTAAAAGTTTCTCGCCACCGTTCGCGATTGCTTAGATACTGAGAGCATAGCCCCTATCATAGATAGGAATTGTATTATAGCTAAGAAAAAAAATAAAAAATAAAAAAAAAAAGGTTTAACCCGCTTTTTCATTATTCAACTAGATTATTACATACGAATACTAAAATATTCGCAGAGCAGTGACCCGAGTGTGAGATATATTTATACGGGCTGTCGTAGAATTCAAATACCCCTCCCCTTCCCCCCTTTCTCTCTCTCTTTATTTGTACTATTTATGAGCGAATCTAGAGAGTTGCTCTCTTCTCGGCACACATCCATTGTTATAAGGGACTTATACGTTCTTATTGGATAAGATAAAACAAAATCCTTGCGGCTAACATATATTGCAGAACCTCACTAGCCTAATTCATTGCGTCGTCCATGCAATGCTTTATTGATTGCTACTACCTATTTACCAAATAGATAAAACTAACACAGCTAAAAGTGATGAGATTCAGTTTATTCAACAATAGTGGTTGAAGTGACCAATCACATATCATTATCCTAGTCTTTAGCTCTGAGCATCGCCACGATTTCAGACCACATGATTGGTTCGACGAACGAGCTGAGGCTTGTCCGCGTATGCTTGCCAAGCCAGCCATTCTCGACCTATCGACTTACCTCAACAAAAATCAAGATTCTTTGAAGTTCATCTTCATGAGATTGACACTCTTCCTGAGAAGTAATCATCTCATTTGAACTTTTCCCAAGTCCAGTCTATCCGATGGATAGGTATTCAATAGAGGCTAGATGGAACCGTCAAACCCAACTCAGCCTAGGATCCTCCCTCGTGTGAGCTTGGACAGTGGAGATGGCTTTAATTATACGTACTTTTTTCCAGACGATGACATCAGCTATCTCACCAGCGACGGTGCCCCTGGCTCTACCCTGGCGTTGGACGATATGTCAAGCGTTATGTCCCCGGCGACCGCGCTCACCAGGAGCAATTTGACTCAGAGACAAAGATATGAACGGCGAGGCCACACAAAGAGCCGGCGTGGGTGCTACAACTGCAAGAGACGGCGCATCAAGGTATTCGAGATTCGGGAGTTATGTATAACCATTGTAATTCAAAATACTAATATCAAGAAATAGTGTCAAGAAACACGCCCGGCTTGCGCGCATTGTACAAAGACGGGGTTGAAGTGCGAATATCCAGCAGTTCCACAAGTCATACACCAAGTATGAACCCCTTATAATTATTGTCTATCATATAAGAACCCTTACCAACAAACACAAAGCCACAGAATCAAGTCCCGCTATTCAGTCTACAAGATATGCGATTCTTCCAGCATTTCTTGCAGACGTGCTTCCCGCATCAACCTATAGGGAACGAAACCATATGGACTCATGAGATTCCATGTTTATCGCAGAATGTACATGCCGTAACGAAGTCAACCTTAAAGTTAGGATACTAATCGACTGGAAATGGTAGTACGAGTATCTCATGCACGCGATATTGGGCCTCGCGGCGTCGGATCTCATGTCGCAAGATCCTAGTCTAGTCACCTTCGCCATGTCGCACCGGCTGAAGGCGATCAGAGCGATTAAGAAGACGCTGAGCGAAGTCCCGAAATCGAATACTTTTGAAGAAGGAAACGCTCTTAGTAAGTAATCTACCGCCCTTTTTCCCCCGTCTCCCCTATTCTCCAACTGGGCAAGACTACCAACCCCTTAACCCCTTTTCACAATTATACAAGATGGCTTTTCCCTTTCCGAACCATCCTGGGACTAGAACATGCCATCAGACTCAACACTGAAATCCCCTTTACCATCCTACCTAAACTATCAATAAATCCACCAACCATCCTTCAACTTCTCCTTCTACTAACCAGCCTCCCCCCTCAACCAGTAGCAACCTGCTTCGCACTAACCTTCCAATCCGTAATCCTCGAGGACGGCATGGCCGAATTCATGACCTTCTGCCGCGGGATCATCCTAGTCTCGATCCAGATGTGGACGCGCAACACCAAGTTCCTCTTCCGCAACCTGCACGACAACGAGTCCGCCGCGCTCCTGCGCCCCTTCATGGAAGCACTAGCCCCCATCCGCCGGGACTGGGTCGACATGGCCGTCTCCAGCATCCGGGGCTTGGAACCCTTATGCGAGCGGCACGAGGTAGAAACCGAGTACTGCCGCCTCCTCCTGGATATGGCCTCGGCCCTAAGCGACTCCGCCTTCCGCGCCTACGAGCTCCTGTGCAAGCACTACGGGTGGTGGATCCAGCTGCCGCACGCGCAGTTCCAGCGGCTCGTCGACCCGGAGAACCAGACGTGCACGCTGCTAGCCGCGCACTGGATCGCGATCAAGCAGATCATGGCTCCGGTCACCGAGACCGAGCACCGGCTACGCGCACGCGAGCCGCGGCACCAAAATCACGACCAGGAAGGAAACAGCAGCAGCAGCAGCAAGAACAACGGCAGCATGAACCTAGGCATGGTCCGCTGGCTCAAGTACCTCAACCGCCAGGTCGACGCCGAACACCGGCGCCACAACGACTGGCCCGCGTGGGTCGAGGAGCAGCTCGACAGGGACCCGACCTTCTTCGGAAAGACGCTGCCTTGATTCAGACGACCTAATCTACAATCCACTACATAATCTACATACATACCTATAACAGACAAGCGGTGGGGCGTAAGGAGGAGGAGAAGGAGGAGGAGGATGAGGAGGAGTAATTCATCACATCGGCTTACTTGCTTACCCGACCCCAGGAGACAACGACGACGATAACATCACGACATTAACCACATAACCACACCATACTTAGGCAAAAGCCAACCAACCAACCCCACGCTTCTGCGATAACACCGACGATTAGCCTCCTTGGCTTCGCCTGATACCTACGGGCCGTCCCTTGACGATAGACCGAAGGAGCGGCTAGGATACGGCATTAGACCGGGAGTGATTCCTAGGATATTAAGCCGCCGGCGCCGGTGGCATGCAAGGACTTGCCTACAATACCTTAGGTACATATGCATGATAAGAATCAGGCTCAGGCTCAGGCTCAGGCTCCTCTTCTTACCGGGGATTTATCTCTACCTACCATGGATAGATAGATAGATAGATGCTCACTTAGCTAACCTACCCACCGACCTACCTATAATGTATATAGCCTCATCCCATCCCACCAGCAAGCGCAATCGGCGGCATCCGATCAATCCCTAACCGGGCCCGCCAAACGAACTAACTAACTAACGCACCGGCAATCCTGCCCTAAATAATCCCCGAGTCAAGTAATCCGTAATCCCCGTCATCCTATCCTATCCTATCCTATCCTATCCGGGAATATACACCCACCCACAAAAACACTTACTCACCTTGTCGGTTTCCGAGTGCTTATCTAATACATACCCTAACCACCGGGACTATCCGCTCGGTATTACTTTACATACTACCTAATGTATGTATTCCTTCCTTCGTTCCCAATCCTTCCGAATTTTCACTCTCTCTACATTATATTACGCCCATGCCGCTGCGCGGCACAGCTACCCATGCCCACTTGCTTACCCGAATCATCGGCCGAACCCCAGTTCCAGTCCTAGTTCCAGTTCCCGGCTTACGCTACAAGCCGTGTATCGCACACATACGTGCCTACATACGCAAGCCCTATCCCATCTTCTCTACCCTAGGTAATACATACATCCTTCCTTCGTGTGAAACCCGCAAGGCAAGGTTTCTCCCTCGGGGGTAAATGAATCTCGCAGAACGAGAGAGAAGATCCCGATGACAAATAATACCGAATCTAACCTGATACGATGAATGAATGAATGGATATTATCTGCCTGCTTACGTGTTTATCTATCCAACCCTTGACTATACGACGTAGGCACCTAAAGTATGGAGCCCCGAATGTCGTCTAGATAAACTCTTTTCAAGACCGAGATGACTAAGACGTAAACGTACAGTCTAGCTAGCCAGATACCCCTTTTGGATGACATACTGTTTTGACGATAATTACATACGATGAAGCATCACGAATAGCAACCGTCGCAAGCATCAGCATAATAAATGCTCTTCGCTTCAAAACCCCAAATATTCAAGCCTACCTACCTACACAAGCATATAGCCCTATAGCTAGCCAGTAGACTCGTAGATTAATTCCAAGTGTAAATGCCACCAATAGATTTGAATCGCTGAATTCATTATATTCAGCTAACCTAACCATTCTTGCGCTCTCAATCATAGCACGATGCCCGCCCAACCGAACCAACTCGTGGTGTTCCCGAGTCTGACCGAAAATTCCAGGAGGGCCACCTCCATTCAAAACCGGGACGACAAACACGAATCTAGGACGCCTTGCTCAAACAAAAATACGGAGCCCACCGTTTTATCTCTCTTGTTCCACTTTTCGTGCTCGACTGAGCCACAATGTAGACATCCAATTCTAAGTAACAAGGCTATACAGGGGTATTTACACACGGTGAAGAAGTGAAGCTTGAAGCAAAAAAAAAATATAATAAGCTTAAAAGAAGTGAAATCAAGCGGTTCCGACGATGTTTAGGGTAAGTCTTTGCGCAAACTCTCGTGGATTTGCGACAAAGGCAGCCGAGGTGTTAACGAATGAGGTACCGTAGAATACCAGCGAGGGTGCAACGCTGACTAGCATAGTACCAAGGATGAAGATTAGAATCGGAATCTGCCACGATCTGTTAGCTCTAGTATTCTAAAGAGAAGGGACGTATTTACCCAGACAAACCAGAGCATCTTATCACTGCTTCCGGTCTTCAGCCTCTGGGCGTGGGCTCGTTGTAGGTGTTCCTGTTGTTCCTTGGTGATGCTGTGCTTATGCCCGATCTCGAGAAGTGCGGGCACTTCTTGTGTCTGTGATGATCCTGACTCCTTCTGGTCGAAAAGAGCAGCACATTTCTCGTCAGCTACAGCCTCGGCTGCGGCGGCTGCGGCTGTGGCTCGCTTGAGATCAACATCTCTTTGTGGGAAGATGCTGCTATATGCTGGCGGAGGGCTGTCCTTAACGCCGAATCTAGAGAGATCCCACCATTTACTATCGGCATCTCGTGGGGGTTCTTCATCCCCAGATCCAGGGCGCTGACCCCGGATGTTCGGGACGAGCGAGCTGATACGTTGCATGACGGGAGCTGCGTATAGATAGGCATGGTAATCAGGAAGCACGGGTATCGGCGGGAGGGCTGGCATCTGCGGCATCTGCGGCATTTGCATGTGCGGTAGATTTTGGAAATGCATTGTCATGGAGTGCTGCAATTGCTGGAACTGTGCCGTAACTTGTTCCCGGAGAGCTGCCATTGCTGCGGTCGTTGTTGCGGGAGGAGCATCAACGCCGGTGGGTTCACGTGGAGTGGCATACTGCGGGAAGCTTGGTCGTCTCATGTTTAGCCAGTCGCCGCCTTCTTCGTGAACGTTGCTTTGAACTGACGAATCGTCATCGTCGTCACTGCTGTCTTCCGAAGAGCTTGGGCTCTCTGACATGAATTCCTCGCGATGTGCCGGTGATGGGTCCCATAGCGATCTTAGGGAGCTAGCACTATTGGCCCTACTATGAAGCGAGCCGTTGCTTCGGGATCTGGAATGGTTCTCGATCTGTCGGAGAACTCTGAGCACGTCACTGGATCGAGCAACGTCAGCGGGCGTCAAACCAGAGAGACTCCGCATGTTTGGATCGGCCCCTCTCATGATGAGACGCCGGACGATTTCTTGGTGGCCATTCATCGCCGCCAAGTGCAACGGCGTGAAGCCTCCCTTATCTCGCACGCCCACATTAGCGCCACGTGATAGTAGACCGGCGACAAAGCGCACGAGCCCGATAGAAGAAGCCATGTGAAGCATAGTCTGCCCATTTGCCCTTCTAAGGTTGATCTTCGCCTTGTTGGCGCTATCGTCTAGATCAATCAATTCTAGAATACGAAGAAGTCCCTTTTCTACGGATTCCGAGAGATCCTGTTCCAGGTTGTTGAAGTTTGCATTGGGGGTTGGACCACTGGATCCAGGGGAAGGACCCCAAGAACCGCCGGTTGCAGGCCCGTAGATGATATTTCTCGCGATATCCGCAACATCTGTCAGATTATTCCCAAGTTTATTGCCCAGCACGGTGAGTGCTGTACGTATTAGGCGATGTTCATCATCGTCGACGTATCTAAACAGAGGCTGCTGGTTGCCGCCAAACGCAAGCTGGGAAGCAACGCCCGGTTGTCTAATTGAAACTGGGACGATACCGGCGACAGGAGATGGCGGCAGAAGGCAAACTAACGATGTCTCGCCCCAGTAGGTCGTAGTAGTTGCTCTTTGTTCCCCAAACATGACTTCCAGACCGCCATTTGTGAAACCACTGCCAAGGATTGTGACCTCGACTCCTCCTAATTTTGGACCTTCGCCAGGGATGATCTTGTAGATCATCGGCTGCGACCTACTCGAGTTCATGACCGTAGGCGCATTATATATATTCTGACTAAGCGAACTATGACATACATTTTGTATATCATTCCTCACTCGGTTTGGACTAGGCGCACGGCTAGGATGAGCCGAGGACGGTGTAGAAAATATTTGAGATACTGGCACATTGTCGATACTCATGTTTCTGCTTCCTTGTGGGACGCCGATTTCAGCGTTTTTGCTGCTGGGTGTAGGTGGTTCTACCGAAGTCGGATATTGTTGTCCTATATTATTAAGGTTCGTCTGCTGCCCATGAAACATAGACTCCGTGGACATTGGGAAGCTTCCCATGTTTGACGAAAATGGTGATGCAGCTGCAGAAGTCACAGCTGATTCATTATGAGCCCCTAGAGGCATTATCTGTGGCGATTGCCCTGTCTCGAGCCTAGTCATTGCTAGGCCAGTAGGGAGCTTTACCGATCCACTTGCTTTCCTCTTTCGAGCAGTAGGGCCAGAAGGACTAGTGGGCGAACCCTGTCTAGATATATTGCGGGATGTTGTTGTAGTAACCGGCACAGACTGGGAATTGTTACCCGAAAGAGCAAATGAAGTAGCCGTTGGTAATCCTTGGAGATCAGAGGTTGCTGGCGACATGCGAAAGGACTGCATTGAGGGCTCGATATGGTGAACGTCCATTGCTACAGGAAGCGGCGGTGATAGAACAGAGTTCTGCGTGGCTGAAGCTGCTGGGAGATGTGTCTTATGATCGTCTGTTATCATAATTGAAGATGAAATCTGTTGGGCGATGACATTGTCCTGGTGATCTTTGATGGTAAAGATAACTTGGAACCCCATTTTCTCTCCGTGGTGGCGGCAGTAACAAGCAATGCGCATCGGCGCATCTACTTGAACGGTACCGTCAGGGACAGAGAGATCAGCTGGCCCAGCTCCCGTGGGATCAACCATATGAGGAGTGACTGCTTGCCAATCCTTGATTTCTTGGGTGTTGAAAACGATGACCCGCTGATGTTCATATCGATTCCATAACTCGTCCTCCTCCGGCTTCTTGTGTTTCTTACGGCTAGCACGTTTCCGTTCCCGAGTTATACAACCAGCACATATTCGTACTTCGCCACCATTCTGAGGCTTATGCTCATCATCCTCACTTCCGTCGTCTGACCTCTTTAAACTTGCGATATCATGCCCGGCTACCGCAGCTCGACGGAAAGCACGCTGGAGCTTCATAGGGTCTTGCATGGCACTGGTGCAAACCAACATAGTATAGAGTTCGAGCATGTCAGGAGACCGCGCCGCCCCGGGCTTTGCTAGTAACTTAGGCTTCGAAATCGTATGAGTTGGTAAGTGAAGCCTCTTGATACCAGGAGGGAGTGCGTGGATAGTGAGCTTGATTGGGATTTGGGTCTCAACTCGGGACTTGAGAGGCGTAGGTTGAACCACCAGTCTTGGCCTCTGCGCCGGCGCCAAACTTATCTGAGGCGAATAAGGTGGCAGACTATTAGCTAGAATACCTTTCGGATCTCGTCGAAAGGGGGGTTTGGGGGCCACCCTGTTAGCCCACGGACCCGTTGTAGGCGGCCATGACAGTAAAGGGTTCTGCTGATTTGACATGGTACCAAGATGGCTTGTGATATTATCGGGGGAGGGTGAGTTGTTAAGCATTGCCGCTGGAGAGGTTTCTTGGCTAATTATCATATTCGACGTGGGCGATCCTTCTCTGGAACCACTCGTTTTTAGCCCGTTCATCGACTTTGTTATAGAATGTTGCTAAATACTAGTTAGTGTGAAGAGAGTTAATGCATGCGAGTAAGAACGGAACGGACCGATTGTGTCTTATGATGACCCTTGATCCGCTTAGCGGCAGGGGCATTCGACATGGAATTCGCTGCTACAGGCGACTCTTGCATGAGACCGTTCGTAGCGGGGCTAGGACTACTAGAAGCGCTGTCAAAGTCGAAAACGCGGGACATTTCCATAGTAGTAGGGTCTATAGTGTCGAACATAAAGTTCGCGTCAGTATGTCTAGATTCATGTTCGAGGTTCCAGCCGGAAAAGGGCTCGTCAGTCATCATGGCCTCTGCCGAGCTCTGGCTCGTTTTCGCGGAGATCGAATTGCCGCTTATCAGGGAGGAAGAGGAAGACGCAGAGCCCCGGTGCGAAGGAAGAGGTAGAGTTCTATTGGGGTTGACCTGTTCCGGTTGGCCAAGGCCGGGTGGAAAAGGCTTTGGATCATCGTAGAGACCTGTGTCCAGCAATTCGCCGCTTGTAAAATCGAATAGATTCGTGCCTAAGTGAGCATCCTCGTAGAAGTCGAACTCGTTGCTGGCGGCGAAAGAGGGAGGTAACATCCCGGAATCGGAAGTAAACTGGTTCGTCCCACTGAACGGGGAGGAACCAGAAGTCGTCATGGCCCAGCTCACGCGGTTCTTGGGTACACCAAGAATGGGATACTATACGCAGTTGTGTCAGCGTGTTGGGTAGAAGTCGTGATCCAACACAATACCAACCAACAAATTACCCTAGACTGTGTCCACGCTGGTGACGTATATAACCTAATAGCAACCCCTAACGATGAGATGAATGTCGGGGTAATCTTCCGAAGCGCTATCTTCTAGCAAGTCCAACAGTATGAGATATAGCTATGCTCTAAAGTTACAGCAACATGCTTCCTCTTTTAATTCAGCTCAATTGAAAATTATTCAACGAGTATGATAATTTCCAACGACCCCGATGACGGGTGTTTATAGGCAAGGCTCGATATCCGAGCGATGGCTCGAGGGTGTTTGGCGTTCGATGCTTGGGCTCGGAATAACGTGCCGAATCGGTGAAAAGTTGCGGTAAGTCCTACTACAAGTTCTGCTTTGGTAGAAGTGTAGACTATGATGATGTCTATCCGTCTCGCTATAGGAATTCCAATACGTCAAAACTCCTAATCAATTGAAGATGACTCATTAAGAAAAGAGGCGATAAAGAAAGAAGGAAGGAATGAATGTATTGACCGTGATGGTGGTATGGTTTGTTGACTTTAGATTTCACCAAAGGCCGGGATGGATGTGGGATGGATGATTTGGGATGGGGGAGAAGGCAGGCGGCGTTTTGGATCAATCAATTTGTCCAGTCCAGGTCCAAGATAGAAGAACCCAGACAACGTGAGCATCGAACCCGACCGGGGGCACAAGCAGTGTACAAGCGCAGAGTTGGTGTGGAGAATTAAAAGACGGTCGAGGTTGTCTGGGTGCTGGGTTTGGTGCTGGGCTTGGTGCTGGGCTTGTTCAAGCGCAAAAGGGTAAGTTCGTTCGAGCACGCTAACTCAGACTAATTAGACCTAAGAGCTGGGTACTTAACACTTTCAAGGTTGTGCGCGGCAGCCTCCCCCCGGTGCCCGGAAAAACCGGGGTTTTCCTATCTTGGAAGAGTGCGAAAAAGGGTACTTTGAGTATACCATAGTATCTCCGAAAATTGTTAGTGGCTTAGCAGCGAACTATATAGTAATCAAGTAATCTCGCTTAGGCCACGTGTAATATTGCCGCTACTAAATTATAACCGTGTTAGTGCGGAATCTTCGACATCAAACGAAGAGCAAGCGCAACTAACTACATAACTTAAAACATCTGTCGTGTGCTCTACCTTCAATACTATATCTCGTATAAGAATCATAAGAAGTTCTCCTCGAGCTTAACCTTACGCACTCAAGGCTATAACCAGACTAATAAATAAGCTCAATTAAACCATCGTGCCTTTAAACCTCCCGCGCTTACCTATGCGTTTTACATAGTTCTGCCAAAAAGTCGCATTACGCAGTTGGCCTCAGCCCTCCTCAGCTTTGAACCATCTAAGCAACGCCGGTCATCGGGCATGCTTTGATATGCTGACCACGACTCGCGGGGTTTCTTCGCTTACCTGATACCCTTAAGGAATACACCTAGGACTGGATTAAGTACCTAATTCTTATTCATACCATCAAAGATCCAGAAATAACTATAACTAACTAATTCTTCTTATGGAGACTTTTTTACGTACTACTCAAGGCTGGTTAAGTTTATATAGTAGTCTATACTATTTATTTTTCCTATTTCTACTACGGTGCTTAGGGTTGCAGACAACTTCCAAAGCCGATTCCTGTTCCTGCGTCCAGTCTGGTCTCTAACTGGTCCCCCCAGACAAAACTAACTTAATCAAGGGTCCCTTATCTGATAGGTAATCTGGCTGATAGGTATCTGATGGAGGGGCTGATGACTCTATCCTACATACACTACACTACATACAACCACTACCAACCTAAACCAACCTCCTTCATGCTATCCACTGCGCATCTCCTACCTCCCTCCGGAAGGTCGTTGCTCTCTCTTTCTGACGACATGCCAGTCTCGAACTCTTGTCCAAGTAAGCGGTGCCCGCTTCCATAGCCGCTTCTGCTTCTTTCTTACCTATACTTCTCTAACTACAACTACCACTACAACTACCACTACAACTACTACTACTACTACCACCACTACCACTACTACGTGTTCTCCGTGTCCGCCACTCGCGCCTAACCCACGCATCCACGGGGAAAACTCCCCGATGGCAAAACCCCGTTATCTCCCCGCCCTACTGAGATCATGGAGGGTCACACTAGGATAGAGTCGCACTGGAATAGACAAACCTTCTCCGTCGTCGCTACGATGCGGTTTTAGCATACGCGGAATGGGCAGCTGTTTGGAAACTCTGCCCTCCGCCTAGAAAAACTTGGCGGAGTTCGAATGTCGTATCCCTTCGTCTGCAACTTCTTCTACATGTGTTTCATTCAAATCCCCTCCTCTCTCGTAGCCACCGGACAATTAGACAGTCCAGGTCCAGCCCCGTTGGCGTGCGAGATAGCCAGCAGAACGCACATATTGGCCTTAATTAAAAAATTGGATTTCGGTACTTTTATTATGCGAGACTCTTCCGTCTAGATCTTTGTACCTTGGGTAAAAACTGCAACGATCCCGCCATCTTACGATAGATCTACCAAGGTAAGGGTATCCGTCTCGGTGCAGTTGACATATGAAAAGAGGGGAACTGATATATCACCACTTGACCTTTTGGTGTGTATGGATCCCCTCTTGCAAGACCGGCTCAAATCAACTTCGAAGGCTGAGGCAAGAAGGAGAAAAAAAGGACCCTTGATCCCCCACGCAGATCCAGGGTCCGTCACTCACAAGGCTAGGCCAAGCTACAGCCAAGGCGCCCAATTATATAAGAGAGAAGGCCAACTTAGGAAGATGGTGGCTTAATAGCTGATGACATATATGTATTTGAGCCGATTCGGGCAGTTTGGCTTGAGTAAGCCGGTGTATGATTGATTACTGTAACCGTCACTACCGGACATCCGTCTTATGTTGTAGTTGACATCACCGGACTCCGAAAAACGAATGAAGTGTAGGAATCCGGTATTTGCAAATATATTATAAAATGAGACGAGTGTGTTACTATTAAATTACAAGGCGATCAGATTGCCGAACGAATTTCAAAAAAGAAAAAATATCTATCTATCTGTCTACCACGAAGATGGAAGCTCCTAAGCGTCCTAGGTAAGGTAGTATTGAAATAACTTGATGAAGCCGCTCTCGTGACTCTAGTCCTTACTCTAGTGCTTTTGCCTGAATGCCACCCTGCTTATTGTTCCGCTAGTAGATAGTGAATGCGTAGTAAATGATCGATGTGCTGGCTCTACACTATGCCTCAGATGTCGTGCTAGAAGAAAAAGCAGCCAAGGCATTGCTGATGGGAGGATGTCAAATAGTTCACGACGCGGTTGTGGCATCCCTCTTAGGGTCTTGGAATTCTTTACCAGCTGACGATGCTTCATCAGGGAAGCGAATCGTGCGGCTAGGTAAGGTAGGTGACGGTGTACTGTGGGGTGATCCTGGTACTAGCTCCAGAGGTTTCGAACCCGCTTCAAGGTTATCTCGAGATTCGACAAGTTCAGTAGCGTCCGCCGTAGTCCCCGTGTGCTCCGTAATAATGGAACCACCGACCTTATAAACGGGTCGCACAGATACGGAACGAGAGTCGGCAGAGGTGTGAGTCGCTGTCCCGTCCCTAGAACGGCTCCGTGGGATTATTCGTGCACCTATTTGGAAAGACAGGTCCTCAGGTGAGGACAGAGACCTTGAAATAGTTCGAGGGAGGTAAAATCCAAACTTTCCCAGGGGGATACTAAGCCCATGAACAACCTGACTAGTGATGAGTATGATATCGATATCCGCGGTAAGATAGGACAATACTTACAACGCTGCATATTACCATGAACCAGACTAAGACCGATACACTCTCTTTGAGATGAGCCACATCCCACCTCGCCACGCTTCCCTGGTTAGGGTTCAATGTATCGATGAATTCTAACGTCGCGTATAGATAGAAGATAGCTGAGCACCCAATTGGCCCAAAGAAACCCATGAAGACTGCCTGTTGAAAGCCGTATATCTGGGGAATTTTCTTATAGAATGCTAGGATAAGCGGTAGACGCCGAAATAGCAGTATTAAGATTCCGAGTGGGATTAGGCGGTAGATCGGAATGATGCTATTAGCTATGAAACTATGCCACTACGTAAGTATGCTCAGTTAGTGTTTGCTACTTGTAGAAAGCATTCGGCGTAACTAATTCAGGAGACTCGCTCTGACAAACGTTACTTGTGTGATGCTCTGAATCCTTGTATTATAATAGGGGTAAATAAAGAACACGGGCATATACATACCGGGCATACCGCGCCATACCACATGAATATAGTCACGTTGAGAAGCATATCTATAGTTGGTTGTAGAGAACTAGAAACAGAGAAAATGGTTAGTAGATTCCGTTAATATCAGGGGGTTGCCCTAGGACATGAAAGAATGCATACTAATCCACAGTTAGCAAATATGATAACAACCTATTCAATCTACATTCGCACGAACCTCATCAAGTGTTTCCAAGCGGAACCAGTCGTCCCAAGTAAAAACATTCCCGGCAATAAAGCAGGCCAGAATATCATCACTGCCGATCATACCACAAGTACCAGTAATGAAGAGTGCGAGCGAGAATGCGAAGACGAGGAAGCTCTCGCGATCCACGAATTTGTGTTCTTCGCAGAAATGAAGCAACTCCTTAGCGATCCAGCCAACGACCGCGCCGTATACCACGCTAAGAAGGATAGTATATCCCCAGGTCTCTCCGAACCAGAGGCCCATAGCGAGGCCGGCACCCCCTTGCTCATTCACGCCACCGTCGCCAATGTACTTGACGAGGTATAAGGCAAAGAATAAGAAGGGATATCCGAGGCCATCATTAGCCCCGGACTCGGCGATGATGATCTTCTGGAGGTCCTTGGGGACATTGTGATCGGCGAACCTCCCCTTCACTATAACATTGGATAGCACGGGATCGGTTGGCGTCACACAAGCCCCAATCGCGAGAGCATGAAGGAAAGGCAAGTTTGGCACCAGACCCCAGACGAGTAGACTTGTTATTATCCACATCGCCGTCATGATCGGCCCCAGAAGTAAAGCCAGTGGTTTCCATTCTTTCTTCAAATAGCGACTAGGTAGTTGAACGCCGGCTAGAACGAGCTGGACTCCGAGAACAAGGCGGGTGAAATATAACGTCTATGATGAAGTGTTAGTTGTGTCGACTTAAAATCACCGATAATTTATTCGATCATAAGACTCATATGTGCTATTTGTCAAAGGCGAATCTCGTAAATAAGAGCATCTGGTTTGATTTAGATGGATGAATCTTGAAGGATCACTTACGATCGCATTTAAGTTTTCTTCCGAGCCTGCATATTCAAGCGGGCGGACAAAGTTAGCAGCGTGGGGAGAGAAGACGAGGCCAGCCAGGAGTGATATGACTAAGTAAGCCGTCAGCCCTCCATCTCGAGTATTGTTTAACTATTGCAATACTTACGGGCTTCGGAAAGATAGAAATTCTCCTTGAGAAGGTAAGATACCAGACCGAAGACTGATATCCACCCTCCCAGCACACTAACAACAATGTTGAAGTTGGTAGGGGCGAGAGTCGGCATTGTTTAGGTAGTTAGAGATCAAACTCGGAGTCTCGGACAGACTGTTAAGTAACTCCTGAATCGTCCTTGCAGCAGCGCAAGGCAAGTAAGCAGTGATATGCCGGTGAAGTGAATGTTATTGAATCATTTGGTTCTGATGAAGTTGTAGTGGGCGTCAAGTTAACCGCCACCTTGGCTCTATGCACTTATTACAACGAGATGGTTTGAACGATTGGGTCACCAGCACTATAGTACCGAGTTGACCGCGACTTCTAAAGGGCGGTATTGGTCTAGGAGGTACTGTTAGGTGCTGCTCTTTCTGTCGCAATGAACAAGATAATCGATTTGGTGATTTAGTTATGAAAGCATCACTTAGGCTCTGTAATTAGTAGAAAAGAAATGATGCTACTGGCAGATAGGTATGTAAGTATGTATACCTCCTATCGGTCCATAGATCTACGAGCGATGCAAGGAAGAAAAGAAAGGACATGAAGGAGGACGAATTAGAACAAGGACTTGGCTGCTTCCGTACTCCACTTATATAAGTTATCTAAGATCGGTAATTTCCATTTGGCGAATGGGAACTTGGCTCTTGTTACACAACCAGACAAACTTGGATATTTGAGTTATGCAGTTACGAACTTATTACTAGAACACAGCGTGGTATTACGCAATTCATCTTCGACTAGAATATCTACCTACATATGAGTGTACCTTAGATAGGTACGCATATGCATTTCTAACGTGGTAGGTATCTATACTTGATATCCTGCTACCTAAACGGAAACGACCCCGGGTGGTTACGCTTCGGTCCGAGGTTCGCTGTGGCTTTGAGTTGTATGTCATGAGATTAGGCACCAAGTTTATACTTGCACCAAGTTTATACTGTTCTTATTGGAGAATTCAATCATCGTCGCTTAGAAAAAGTAATAGTCAAGTAGCGATAGTGTATCATTGTTATGTATGATTGTATGTCAAGGCAGCAGATTATATTATACTGCATCACTGGCCCGACGAGTCATATCTTGTTCGTAGGAACGTAATGTTTATATCAAAACTAGGTAATCAACATGAAAATTTCAAGTAGGTAAAGAGAGACGGTACTCCCCTCTGGGTGGTATCATTGCGCGTTACCCGGCGTTAGCATCGTGAGCCTATCGAGGTGCGCCTCATGAGCGATGTTCGGATCTTAATATGCAGGTCATCGTGATACACATGTTTATATCCTCTGTCTTGCGCCGTTCACGGCGAGCTCGTCTGCCGCTACATTCCCGGCGTCTGCCGCGTGGCCCTTTACCCATTGGAAGAACGTTTTCGTTCCAGCTTCGGTGCGCTCATCGATCTTAGCTCGGATAGCTTCGACGAGATCTTTGTTTTTCACCGGTCCGTCTTTAGTTTTCCAGCCATTCTTCTGCCAGTTCACATACCATTCCGTCGCGCAACTAATCGAATATTTGCTGTCCGAGAAGATGCGTATTTTTTGTTCGACCGGTACAGTTTCTAAGGCTCGAAGAATGGCCGTTAATTCAGCCCGTTGGTTTGTTTGTATTTCACCTTGAAGGCGCTCTGAGATATTTCTATGCAAACACGTTAGTAAATAAACAAAACATTCAAACCGGCTTCATAACAATTACCTTTCGTCACCGTGTCCAAAGAAGACGCCAACGCCGGCGGCAGCACCGACACGACCGTTGGCAAGGCTACTACCATCCGTGTAGACGCGTAAGACATCCTTCTCGTCTTCAAGTTTACCGGCGTCGCTGCCTATGGACTTCTTGCGCTTCTTCGAAGAAGGCTCAGCACCTTCGTCTTTTAAGAGGGCCTCCTGTGCCGCCTCATTCCCATGGGTCCGTATGTATTCTATTGCACCCTCGCGACTATCAAATCTCTTGTATTTCGGGCCTTTCCATCCCTTTATCGCAAGCGACGCCGTGTCCCAATCGGTATAAACTCCAGGCTCTCTACCGACAGCCACCGCATAAAATCTCTCTTCGCCTGGGGCGGCGGCAGACGTCTTCTTACCGGCAACATATGCCTCGGCGTCCTCCTTGCTAAGGAAGGACTTATCTATATAATTATTGTCAGCTCCCTAGTTAGCATCTAACGGGTGTTCGGCTTACCTACAAGAAGCACCTCTGAATCCCGCGGTCTGCTCCTGGCATTCCGCCCAAGTTAAATAGACACCCGGTTTCACTCCAGCTCTTACGGCATAGTATTTCTGAGAATCGGCATCCATCTTGCGTTTCCTGCTAGTCTTGGCCGTTGTTGTATTAGCGGGTTGCGAAGCGGATTTCGACGCTTGACCCTTCTTCGTTGGATTCATCGGCATGTTGAGTAGCGGAAATGGTATATCGTTAAAACCAAACTCGATTACACTTGTCACAATTGTCCATAACAGCCCGAAGGATCCCGTAGATATAGTGAGTTGTCGTACTTGTTCGAAACACGCGGCTTTGTTGCGGAGAACAGGAGAGTGGCAGGTTATTGCGGACGCAAAGGTGCGTGTAAGGCGGTGTCGGATAAGTCAAAGGAGTGTCATTTTCATTGAAGACGGGTAATTAAGACCCCCAAGAGAGGATCAAAGGTGGCGTCCGTTCTCGTCAGAGCTCTCCCTGTCTATTCTTTCTACGATGCGAACAAGATGTAAGTATATGTAAGTCTTGGGGAAGAGGGGAATCCCATCAAAGCAGTTGGCCTCAGTCATTGCATACCCGTGGGCATACGAAGTACACCAGACGAGTAGATTCAGTTTAGGTACTTTAAGAGATAAGATAAGAAGACACTGTCTTAGCTTTATGTCCTGGCTTGTAGGTCCCCACTTTGGTGGCTCATTGGAACCGTTCACTCGGAGCTACCAATACCTAACGACTTATCCCGTTTAGGCATATATCCATGGGTAATACTAATCATAATCACGGGAACCCTTCGATAGCTACATAAGGTATTTTCATAATTTCTTGCGATTGGGTATAGCATACCTACATGACGATCTAGCGTCGGTCCAAAAACATACAACGAATATCCTTTGACGTCCGCCATCAAGGACTTGCCTATGCTGATCAGGTTCGCGGTCCAACTTATACATAAAATGTCTTGAATAAAACGGGATGCATATGATGCCCTAAGTGTAGTTCCCTTCATAACCACCTAACCATGAGACGCCGCGCCTTTCAGTAATGCCAATTCCGGCAAGGGGACTACCTAATTCCTCTGCTTGCCTCAAAACCAAACTCCATGGATGCGTAGGGGGATTAGTGAAAAATATTTATGCGTGCAGGTGCGCCTCGACTGGTAAGCTCTCAATACTGTCCGATTCCCACTCCCAGCCTAGGAGAGTCCAGTTCAACTCCTTGCGCCAGTGGAGTCCAAGGCCTTGACCGCCACCACACGAGCCTTCCCCGCAAGCACCAGAGGCTCCGCACGCATCGTAGCCTCGATCCTCGGAGCTCATACCACCTGTTAGCGGCATACGATGGCGAAAGACGATCCTGCCCATTCGGGAATGTAAAATTGCCATGGCACACATTGTGCACGGTTCGTGGGTCATATACAGCTCAAGCTCATGACAGAGGTAACCATCAGGGCAGGGGTGGTCTTCGTCGAATACTAACTGCTCGTCGCTAAGTAGAGGCTTGTCTTGGAAGGCCTCAAATTCCACCATCTTTTGTTCAGACTTGGGTCGATCCTCAGCTCTCACTAGCTTCTGTGCTACCATGCTGATAGCCCTGAGTGCTGCGTGAGCCATGGGGTTTCCGATACGTCCCGTCTTCTCTTGCTGGTGCCAGCGAGCATCGGCTGCGATGGCGACAATCTGGGTCGTCTCTTTTGCCTCGGGATCCGATTTGGTAGAGTCCTGGGCTTGGGCCTCTAAGTTTGAGGCATCCGGCTGTTTGACGTCCTGTACGATACCATTAGGCACCTCAGCAGCACTGTGTGTAATTCCATTCACACCTCCAGCAGCTTGGGGATGAGGATTGCAATTGTCACCGTCGGCCCCTGCACCCTCGCCGTTAGAAAAGTCGGACTCTCTAGAGCCTTCTTTTGGGGCGGTTTGTTTTCCAAACTCATTCTTTCCAGGTATCGTACGCTTGACGATAACGGCGCCGATAGGCTCTCCGTAACCGGCTTCCTGTGACTTTTTGGCGATCTGGTGCGCCAAGGTCATCCATACGGAGGCGTCGCGAGAGACAACCGCCTCCGTTCGAGAGATAGTACTTGGGTGAGGGCCAAGGGGGTTGTTCTTCCTGTAGACAGTCTGCCAGAACTGTTGTGACCACATGTTGGCCTGGACCTGAGAGGTGGGTGCCAATAAAGGAACAGGGATCGTCCCTACAAAGATGTCATCCCTAATGTCATCAATGTTGGCGAGACCTTTCACTAGTTCGTCGTAGGACATCTCATCCTTAGGACCAAGCACGATGTAAAGCCAGTTGGATTTACCAAGATGAACCTGTCGCCCATTGCCTTCATTCATGAACTGGGTCTTGAGATGAGGTGGTATGTCGGCAGGCTTGACGCACCGACGGAGGTGAGGGAGGTTCTTAGCTGCATCATCACCAGCTAGAGCTCGGGCAATACTATAGTAGGTAGTGTTAGCTTGTAGTGTAATTCCTAGGGGAAACATCCAGACTTACTTGACAACATCGTTAGTGACTTTATTGGGAGCTCGCGTGACATAGGCTAAGCCGAGAGAAAGGTTGTCTCTTAGTTCGAGTATGGTCTTAAGAGGTACTAGAGTTCCTAAGGCAATATCGGGAGGGATAAGATGTCGGGAGACGGGGTCGAGCGCCTCGACAACTTCCTTCATGGAATCGCTCATAGCGGTAACCCCCGAGACAAGGCGTCAAGTTTGTTTAGGTGCCGAGTTGAGCTAGACTGTAGAAGGGTGACCACCTATTAAGTGCAAGTTTGAGGTAAGAAAGGGTTGAGTGTAGGCGCAGGCAACAAGGCAATCTGTAGGAACTGCGACGTTGATGTAGTAATTAGAGCGATGGCCAGCCGAAATCCAAGAATCTATGGATCCAGCAGGATCAGATTAAACGAGAGAATTGATCAAAAATGAGGTTGATGTGAGAGATCTCAGCATTGTGCTGGGAAGTCGGGAAATGCATAGACTGGTGGAGAGGCATAGGCCGCGCTCTGGGAAGATGCCAAAGATTTATTCGTTTCTAGGTCGAGGAAGCCAAGAACCGCGCGATTCTCAGGTCGATCGAAAAGCACTGTCCGATTTCGAACCGTCGCGGTTTCTACTAGGCCTGTGTGGTATGTCAGTATTTTACGTATGGATGATTGAGGAAGCTTGTAGTTGCTCTGTTGTTGTGTTTTGAGTGTAGAAAGTAGGTGATGAGTTAAAGTTGAACCCTTGCAGGCCTTGCAGGTACGGGCTGTTGATCCACTTCATGAATATAGAGGTGGGTCGTACCTGCCTACAGAGAAATTTCTTGGTGGGGTTTATCGATAGAGCCTCTATAAATCTCAGGGTCCTACCTACTTTAGCCTTACATGTATGCACTGAATGCTTTACAGTTAGTTACCCGACTTCGCTGCCTTTGGTACAAACATAAAGGGTTAGTCAAGGAAGGTGCCTCCATGTACATACCTCAAAGAGTGTTAAATTGATGTTCTACATTATACATGGATATAAATATGTTTCTGCTGCACTATGACAACATCTGTAGCTGTGTGATTGGTCAATCCTTTCTGTTACTCTTAACGTCTTTAGTGTAACATAACGACCAATCGGAATTCAATGCAAGTCTTATATTTATCATTGGTTTGTACTCCTTGCCTGGCGCCTGTGTGAGCATATACCATATGTCATAGGTACGCGTATGTACTGACATCTAGGAAGCCTAGATCTAGAGCCTCAGATTTGCAGATATGTCTGATAACGTGAAGATCAGGGCCGACTCCCAAATTACCAGACGATTATGGCGTGCCAAAGACTTAAGATCTACCTATACGTGCCTAACATACATTACATCATATATGCGGTGTAGAGATATTAGTCTGGCAATTATAACGAGCCCAACCATAGTACGATAGTTCAGAGATGACATTTGATAATGGGTTGAGCGTGGTTAGACTCTAAACCTATCCACAGAAGCCCTCGACTCTTAGCATCTATACTTCCTACCCTATCATCTCATCTCTATATAGTACATTCATCATATCTCTGCTGCGTTTACGCAAACACTTTCTATCATTAAAGCAAAGCACACGGCCAGGGGGTTCCTATGCTAGGGATGCTGGGTTTAATGCTACTGCAAGGCTGATAGTTGGGACGATGATTTAGGTATACGTGAGTAGGTATGTTACATCCCAACCAGCATCGCCCTTATCTCCCCCTCCCCTTTATTTCCCCGCGAATACTGCGCTCCTAATCCAGCACGTGGGGTCGTTATTCTCCATGGCGACGTCTGTGAGGTATTTATTGGAAGACGTCCGCACACTCACCCACCTTCTTAATAGCTCAGAAAATATATTATTGACGAGTCTAGCCAAAGTGCAGCCTGCAGAGCTACATAGTCAGCATTGCTTCCCCAGCTTTACGTTGCAGTATGTCGTCGGCCTGGCACCCTAGGTATGAGCGCGATGAAGACGATATATGGAATATGTAACCGTCGCGGCCATGTGACTAGGTTTAGAGGCGGGTTAAGGTAACAGCTTCCGACCTTTAAGATATTACATACACGCGAGCCTATACTAGAGTTGTAGATTGCAATGCTGTTCAACAAAGTGCGACCCAGTTTTAGGAGGTCAACCCCACGACTATTGGATCTTAGGTGTATGCTGATCTCAGATCGTGAGGGGTTTGCTGACAGGGTTTGATAGGCGTTCCTTGGGGAAATATTGGGGTATCTGTTTTCAGCCCCCCGGGGGTTACTCGGGCGTGAGACATTGTCCGGTCAGTCTCTTAGTTATATCATTACTATGCGTTGAATCCAAAAAAACTCCTCTCGCCAAGACGGATCTCCGGTAAATCTCTCATCCTACGTATGAGGATAAACTTATGCTGTGGCATTGCGCTACCTATATGTCTAAGCCCGTCTCGGCGCCGAGGTGAATACAATAAAAAATTAACTTGGGAATTGGGATAAGCTGAGAGATATCGCCAAGTTCGGAGTTATGTTGAGTGGGTGCGAAGTGGCTAAGTGTAAAGGGGGCCAGAACAAACAAACCCGAGACTTGATGAGGAAATATGGCGATCGATTCGCCGGTTTTCGCTCTCTTGCGCCTCCGCGCTCACGAAACAGCTTGATATGTGTAATCCCCGTTGCGCGATAATTACGTTGCAGGTATCCAGACACCACCTGGGATTTGATGCCAGCGAATCAGTTGCATTAGCACTTACATGGCACACATCCTCCGGTCGCAATACTCACGGATCCAATAGCAAACAGTCTAAACGGATATGATTGCTCTTCATAGTAATAGAGATATATACTTAGCAATTTTAAAGGTTGAGATGGATTATGGATGCGCGGTTTGTTGGAGAGATTACGCATTTGGACACTTGATTTGTCCGGGACACTTATACACTTATACACTTACACACAAGAATTTCCTATACAATAGCGCCCCTCTCCTCCCCCCACTGGCTTTGGAAGTTTGAATCTCCGTAAGTTGACGACTACTACTTAAGTGCCTACCTATTCAGTCTAAGCCTTGGCCCTTAGCTCAAGCACTACCTATTAAGCATCAGAAGACTAGGGCGTGGGTTTGACTTGTAACTTATTGTTACACCCTATTAGAGTTTAGGTGGTCTTAAGTCCGTCTTAGCCATCAAACCTAAGAAGCAGGGACACAAATAAAAGGGCGCCGTCCCTGCTAAGAAATCTAAGCCTCTGGACTTATTTATCTTCGACGTGAAAAGCATTCGACTGCCAGCCTCACCAGCATAGCTTGCCTTGGCCTCATATCGTAGAGGCCTGCCAAGATTAAAATCGGACCAACTATTGAGCGCAGCCCCGTGGTCGACAAAACAGAGCCTTATCACATATTACGACGACTCGCAAAAAGACGTGTTATAACGTCAGAACGTCAGGACGTCAGGCAACGCCGCAACCGCTAGAAAAGTCTTCGGACGACATCATAAAGTCCACAACAGCCCACTTGCGCCCACCTCAATCGACCTAATCGACCTAATCGACCTTGTCGGCCCACAGATAGAGGAGAGGGAGCCACTATTTCCATTCGTTTCTTTGACAGAAAAAAAAAGGTGATATCAGAAGCTCAGAACGAGTCTTGAGAAGACTGAAACTATTAAACCTGCATCGGTTACCTCGGTCGCTTTATTCTCGGCCTTGACCTTTCACCCTTAATTTTTACCGTCATCGATCATCGATACCATTTCCTTCATCGTATCTCTTCTCCTTGGCATACTCACACGCGTATTGGTACGACCTGCAGTTCTCTATCGGACCTGTTTGGGGAATGACGTGAGGCGACTAATACGAATATTCCACACATATAAAATTTTATTTTTTACAGTACCGAAAATCATTAAGCGACCTGTTAGTGCAGTGCCGGAAAACCGACAATACGGGTAGGACGGTCAGAAGCTTCTGTCAATTGACAAGCCCAGCGTCCTTTTTGGGGCATTTTGGAGGGGGTGTGCAGCAATCTACTGCATCATTACACTCTGTTCCAGCACTACCTTACTTTCTAGACTGATCCGATTCGCCGATCTCGCAGCCTCCCACCCTCCTTTCTCCTATATTGGACGGTACTGTATCTCTTGGTACTGTACCATTTGCGTACCATTTGCGCTAAAAAAACCTTAAACCAGCTAAGGTTAAGACCCTGAAAAGTCTGGAAACAGGACACCTGGAAGGTTGGAAGGTTGGAAGGTTGGAAACTATGACACCCCGTCTTCACGTAAAGGGAACTGGCCCTATGGAAGTTGTTGTGCCGTTTGACTGCAGCAATTCTATGGCGCACCAGTATTCTCTTAGCTCACAAGGTATGTACATACGTTCTTCAATACTTTTGAAAAAAGCACATATACTTTTCTCTTCATTACATTCAATATTTTCCCAACCTTAGTGCAAGTACCCAATTCTTTTCTTATTTTTTTCTTGTTCTTTCTTCTTCCTAGTCATCACCAGTCCTAAACAACACACGTAAAGCACCTGTCACATCATCCCACCTCTGATTCCTTTTAATCCCTGTTACTGCAAGATTGCATAAATACCAAGGCTGCTGCATTTCCCTTACCTAGACTTGGCGTTCCAAACTCGGCGCCCCGATAATCGGTTGCATTTGTTGCAATTACTAAATTAACCACATCTTTTCTTCTCCTTTAGATCGCAAACCCACACGTAGACCATCACAATCACAACAATCATCGCTTGCTCGGACGGCGATGAACAATCAACACCAGCGTCAAGTTTCTACTACGATTCCTCGATCTATACCTACACCACCGGAGCAAATCATTGCGACCGAGTCCAATCCTCCAACTACAAGCTTCGACGCCGCCCTGGCTACTATCTCAAGAGATGGCGCGTCTACATCACCACCAACTCCCACTTCCCTGAATGGTGACGGTGCCGTACCATCCCACAAGAGCACGCCTATCCAAAATGGACTCGCGCCACCTACGCTCAACAACCTTCCTCATGTTAGCCTCGGCCCAGTTGCGCATCCCTCTGCGCATCCCTCGTCCCTGGCTAGCGCGCTCAGAGCCCTGAATGAGGGGCCTTGCGGAGGCGCCTTTCGCGATTTCCCTACGCCTCCATCTAACGATTCTCCTTACACAAAGAGTATCTCGTCTACTGCTCCGGCATCGCCTCGAATGTGAGTTCCATACTATTCTAATTCCTATGCTCTAATACTGACTACTTGGGTTAGCCCACCCCTGCGACAGAACTCCGGTTCCCAAACACCTCGCGTACGACCCCATGCGACAACCCTCAGTATTCCCGGTATGACTCGATCGCTTGTATCTCCTGATGGGAAAATTGCCGATCGAGATGTCGCCGCGAAACTTGTCATCATTATGGTTGGCCTCCCGGCTAGGGGCAAATCGTACATCACGAAGAAGCTTCGGAGATATCTCTCTTGGCAACAACACAACACCCGGATCTTCAACGTCGGAAACCGAAGACGTGTCGCCGCTGTAAGTTCGCCAACCATGCATCGTAAAGATAGTTCTATGGATATGCCAACTCCTGCAACGACGATTTTGGTTAACGGTGCTCAGCCACCAACTGATTCCCCGGCTCGGCAAAGGTCGTCGCCTCAGGATCTGGATCAGGATGACCCCGCCCCAAAGCCCATGGACCAATCCGCTAAATTTTTCGACCCCAACAACGAGCAAGCGTCGAAATTGAGGGAGGAGATCGCCATTGACACCTTAAATGAGCTACTAGATTACTTGATCAGTGGCGGAGGCTCGGTTGGAATTCTCGATGCTACAAACAGCACGATCCACCGCAGACAGAGGCTTTTCGACCATGTCAAAGCTAGAGAACCTCAACTAGGCATTCTATTTATTGAGAGTGTCTGC